ACTATTGTAATGTGAAAATATTTCATGGGGAAATATACCTGTAAACTCATTTTTCAAACAAATGCCATCTTCATCTCTGTATCTAAACATGTTTTTGCAACATTTTCCATCAACCTCTTGTAGCGCTGGCAAATGATTCAAAATATCTACAATAAATCTGTCAATGTATTTCCTTTAACTTATTGATTTCTGTAAAAGCATGCCATACTCCAGTAATCAACATCTATGTAACTATTGATATAACGGTGACAATGCAGTAGAGGTAATGTATACCACAACCCATCTGTTTGGTGTACATGTAATTATTGTTACAGTTGCTCCTTAATTTTCCCTCTGTGCAGGTGTTTACACTTTAGCTTACATTGTACATGATAAAGAATGCTAGTTACAATTAGACATTACATATGTGTTACATTTTGTTATTTGTGTGTTATATTTTTACACGTGTGTTACATTGTTATATTGTTATTTGTGTGTTATATTATATTATATATATATATATATTATATTTACATATCCCTATTGGTATCGAACTGTATTTTCATTTTCCTCATGCAAGAAAATGAAATCAAACAGAACATCGTGATACCTGATTTTGAAACATAATTGCGTATTTAAGCACATAACGAGAGTCTTGATATCAGTCCTCCTATTTCTGAAGTATTATCTTAGCGTTATCTCAACATCAATTTTACGCTAAATGCTTCCCACAAAAAAAAGTTATCAAAATGATTTATGGTATGAATGTTAAAGAACATTTTCGTCACAATGAGGGATAATGTGTTAACTCCTATCCATTTATTCCAAACATACCAAAACCATGAATCTAATTTAATGATATTTTAGCTGAAATATCCACAGGTATTGAAAAATAAACATGGGACACACATTATATAACTGACATATAAAAAATGGACAACAGCTAAGTTTCTAAACAAACAAAAGCATGCGCTATAAGGCTCTTCACTTACCCATCTATACGAGGATAGCCGACAATGAAACAGAAAACAGAAAGTAAGATATTGTAGAATGTTTAAACAATGAATAGAGCTGTACAGTAATTAAGGCTTGTGATATACAGCACACATCCACTTTGGTGCATTATCATAATGAGTATAGTGTGTGATGTCAGAAATAAAACAATTTAAGTGATGTCATCATATAATTATATAATAGCATTATTAATACTGTCTATTGATAATAGACAACTTTTACGTCTGTGAAATGACATCACAGAGAGATTTGGTGCTCACCATTGAATGGTCTTTATTGGTTCTATGTAAGTTGGATATTTTCCATCTAATAATTTGTTTGTTGCATTGACAGGTGAAACAATCATATCATTACAACATTATAGAAGAGAGATCAACATAAGAAAAGAATATTCTCCAGAGACACTATCGTCCATTTTGTTTTTCTTATCAGTCCTAAAATGTACACAATGTCCCACTAGCAGCATCCATTTTGTTTTTCTTATCAGTCCTAAAATGTACACAATGTCCCACTAGCAGCGTCCATTTTGTTTTTCTTATCCGTCCTAAGATGTACACAAATCCCTACTAGCAGCGTTCATTTTGTTTTTCTTATCAGTCCTAAGATGTACACAATGCCCACTAGCAGCGTCCATTTTGTTTTTCTTATCAGTCCTAAGATGTACACAATGCCCCACTTGCAGCATCCATTTTGTTTTTCTTATCAGTCCTAAGATGTACACAATGCCCCACTAGCAGCGTCCATTTTGTTTTTCTTATCAGTCCTAAGATGTACACAATGCCCCACTAGCAGCATCCATTTTGTTTTTCTTATCAGTCCTAAAATATACACAATGTCCCATCAGAAGGATGAAAGGCATATAGATGGACCTAGGATGAAGATTTGAACAGCCCTGTATGAAATTAAGTGCATGGCAAATTTCTCCAAAGAAAAGATGGAATGTCTGTGTCAGATGATACATAACACAATTTGTTTATGTATTGCTGGGTTTTCTGCCCCAAGAACAGCCACGGTCATTTTCAGATGGGGTAGCTGGTGACTACCTCACTGAACAACATACAGGAGGTCTTTTATATGGTATTCAGACAAATTAAGTCAGTTAAGTTTCAAGTCCAAGGACAATACCAAGAGAGCACAGACTAGCCAATTTCTCAGCTTCTGAGAAACATCAGACAACATGTACGTCATGGGTAGGGAACATAAAATTACACACCTCCTGAAATTACTTAATCCAACCCTCTAACTGACTCAGCTATAGTCACTCTGTATAACCTTTGCTGTAGTACAAATACATTAAGTTTGAAGTCAACTTAGAAATATATGTATTTGATATAAATGTCAATCTTATTATTACTATAACATTCTTAACGGCCCGTCAACACATAAAAGGTCATTAGGGCCATCAACCAGTAAAAATGTCAATCTAAGTTTCTGGAAAGTATGTATTACTCAATAGGATATATATCAGTTATATTTTCTTATGTAAAATGATCTCATTTCAAAACCTAAAAAAAATGTAGGTATCCTCTGGACATCGGTTCTGGACTGTGATGTATTTCATATAAGCCATTTTGTTGAGGCGTATCACATGCACTATTGACCTGCGTGACCTTGCACCCTGATAGTTTTGGTTGCTGTAAAATGTCATGCTTTCAGAAAGAAGAAAAATAGTGATTTAAACAAAGGATACCAGTACACTAGTATGAAATGTTGGAACCAAGTTTTTTACGAGACCTGTCCATCACGTGTTTGTGACTGAAACAGATCATCCAGAACGGTCATTTGCAACCGTATACAGGTTGATTTTAAGATTGAAATAAAAATAACGTTCTCATGGATTTAATTAATCCTACCTTTTAATATGAATCACAGTAATATCTTCTTAACTATTATGGTTGCTTCAGAAGCCATAGCAGAAGTTTACAATATTCTGTTGTATCCTTGGATCAATTAGTCATCAGGTCAAATTCTAGAACGACAGCCATGCTTGTTTATGATAAGAATGGCTTTGCGTAACTTAATAGAAATAATATAGGACTATAAGAATTTCTTTAGCATGCAAGGGTCATCATTAATATCTAACAGTACAGACATTGATGGAGAGATTGTTTAGTAAACAGTACATAACATCAGGCCCTATATCTGTGTGTTGACAATCTTTGAAGGCTCCTAAGCAAAACAAGTTCCATAATTGCTATTTTACATTTTTCAAAAATGTCAATGAAATTAAAGACTATCTGTGTTTAATTCATTTGCAAACTGCTATCAAATGTTTCACTGAGGATCTTGATAAATTGCCTTTCGTTTTTCTGTTATATCAATGAACTTTGGTCAACGTAACGGTTACCACTTTGTTAGAACTGCCTTCTGTTATCTGTTTCCGGTATATCAAACATCAGCAATAGTGGATAAAATTGAAAAAATCACTGAAAACTGGTCCTTCGGCTTATAACCCAGAAAATATGGTACATTAAACAACATAAATAACTTTAATTAAGTTCACCAACAAAAATTCACAAAATTGGCGTTTCAATTCTCCTTCCGCATCAAATAAATATTTTGGTGCAGGTCATATCATAGGATCACACCTACAAATACCTTGTTGTATGTGAACAGGTGCAGTTACATATACCGTATATATTTGTCAACTATAGGAAGGAAGAAGAGGAATCTTGTATCACAAAATCATTTTATTGTCTCTTATTTGGGACTACACTGGTAATTAAAAAAACAGAAATGAGTAAGTGTTCATAGATATGCCATAACTTTGTTGGTGACTAAATACAAAAAAAAAAATGTAGACATGCGAAGATTAAATGTTGATTTCTGTAAAGTACAATCATAATGAACATGTGACATCACATCTAAAATGTGTAGTAAAGATGCGAGAGCATTTATGTATGTTCATTGAAGTAAATGTATGTTGTAACATGTCATACCCATCATCTTGATAATGAAAGATTGATCATGTGAGTGACATGTGAGATACCTTTTGTAAATGAAAATGTGCATAACATTAAATTGGCATCTAGCAAAATGTAGTAAACATTTTTAATCTATAAACATGTATCTTCTAATATGGTTTGGTTTGGTTACAAGAAACATAAAGACAATAGCAAACAAATCAAAAGATAAAAATGTTCTCACATGTTGCTGGAAGGGAAACTTCAACAAAATGAAACAATATAGCATCCATATTTGGACAAATTAACCAATTATGAACATACTGATAAATTGACCAGTTATGAACATAATGATATATAACTTTCTCTTTGTTTCTCCCCTCAAACTTCCACAATCGCTGTTGCTAGCACTGGACAATAAGACCAGTGGTAAACAAGCCATGGACCAACATTTTAGATCCTGTACAGTGATTATGATCAGTTTTAGCAGATCAATTACAAATACATAAAGATGTATTATCAAATATATGGTAATACCATGACTTTAACGGACATTATCACTTTGATGACAGGTTAAAGTCAAGTGATAACATCTCAAGAAATACTTAGGAGATCAATTTTGAGTACATACTTGTTGTCATGAAGGACACTTTGCTTTTAAATAATTGAATATCATTATCATTCATTTCAGAGTAGCATCTGAACTACGATGGAAAAAATAACCCGAGTGAATCACAAATAACTCATGATAAAAATACCGCTTTCATCGATAACTGGTCAGGGGAGAGAATCAAAATAAGGAAGTGAACTTCCAACAGAAACAGGACAGCAATATTGGTTTTGACCGGTATGAAATGTTAACATATGTATGCAATGATCGTCTGTTTTTACATAACGATAATTCACTTGTTAAAAAAAAGAAATACAGCCATTCTCATATTCAAATATGGGCAGTTTTTTGATCAGCTGATTAGCGCTATTTACGACCTAAAAAACACTCGCGAATCATCATTGAAAAGATGTTGGCCTACTGCTGTCGATTTCTCAAGCTCACATGTATATGGATACGTTAAATTAAAATTTTATGGTTATATATACAATTACCCTTCTCCGTCACAACAGGCTTGAATGAATCCAGATTCGGTCGGGGGTCACTGTTACTTCTTTGTCGGTCGTACTCAATTTTTGTCTCCTCTGTCTCTGTTTTGGTGGCCATGTTCGGCAATACCCATTTTTGGTTTACTTCCGGTTTGAGTTTGAAAAATAAAATAAAATGAATAAAATAATTAAATATTGTTTCTCGGTTATTATCACAATTATAGATAATATTATTCAAGCCATTGTCACTGACAATGTTTAATTCCAATCTTGGTGACTCATGAATCTAATCGCGATTGTGTTACTAAAAATAGTTTTTATAAACTGTGTCAATAACCCGTGACTTGTGACGTCAAGACACGGGATAGACATCCTGAAATACACAGGTTCCACCTGATGAGAGCATTCGCAAACTGATCAGAGAAGCCGTTAAAACACAGCTAAGGGTATTTTGGTAAGTTATATATTTTTATGAAAAATTGTTTGTTACATGCTAAACCATGCATACTCGATTGTATATCCCGAACCTGTGTTGTGTCAGGAAGTCCGTGGTTGTATATGGTTGTGACAACACCTGTCAAAGGAAACCATTTCGGTGAAATTCACTTTTAAAATACGATCTACATTCTCTACGTCAGTTATTAGTGAAAATTCTATGTAATGGACGACCGGCTGAATTTACTCAAATTAAAACTTGATTAACAGGAAATGTGTAGCCGTGCGTTTTACATTATATAGGCCCACAATGTTGATTTCCAGGAATTGCAGTAGAATCATTTTACAATGAAAGGGCACATTTCTTATTATTTTTCTTGTGACAGAGATTATTCAGTCGTCATTACAACCACACAATTAACGTATATATGTATATTAATCAACTATAAAATTTACTCAATATCAAAATAAAATGTATTTATTTGATAGGATTTTTAATAGGATTTAATAGGATATATTATGGACGCAGGCCACAAGCCTCTATATCCTTATCAGTTCATACAACACGTTGAATTTTTAGACTACTTCCTGTATCAATGAGCAACATTCAAACTAAAAATTGAGAGTTATGTTACTACGGTTACAGTATTCATCTAGGCTGTTTCATAGCTCAATAACGCGGAAAGTAAAGGAAATATCAACGTGAGAGTGTTTTTTTACTACTCATATGGTCTTAAACATATTTCTAGTCATTCTAGGATCATAAAAGTTTTTTACAATCGTGGACACGTTTATTAGGTGCTTCAGGGTTGGTAAATTTAGATCTCTGCAGGCGCTCTGTATATGTGATGTCTCTAAAACCAGATATCATCTTGGTAGCACACCTCTGCATGTTTTCAATTAGATCAATATATTCCTCTATTAAACACAGATAATTACAAAAAGGATATTTTCTTATCAAGTCTAGTCTTATTAGTAATCATAATAACAAGCTATTTAGATATTCCAAATATTTTGTTGTTAGGTAACATTGGTTATAAGTTTGATACTGTAACTTGTTTTCCGAGAGAAAAAATAAAACATGGTGTGAAGTGAATGAAGCTGCGGATGAGTGATAATTTCACCAAAAGTACAATTCTACCTTTCATGACATGAACCCAGACACAAATCTAAAATAATGATTCTGTAATCGAGAATAAGTCTTATTATGCACTGATTAAGAGAGGAATGACTCTTTTATGACTCTGAGTTTTATTACTGAAACAGAGGAATCAGGCTGAATAGTAAGGTATACATAGAGACTAATATACCTAATTATTTTATATAAAGTAGATAAAAAGTAGGAATTATGTAGCATTTATTAAAATCTAAAGTTGTATCTAATTATATCAGTATAGATCGGTAGATGTTGTTACTTTGATGTCTCTTATAAATTTCCTATAACATTATTTGCAAATTTACTCTTCTGGTACCAGAATATTTGCATAGAGTCCAAAATTTTAATTTCAGATGACTATACATTCCGATAATAGTACTTAGTTTGAATGTAATATATTGCTTAAATGAATGAATATATATGTTCTGACATTAGTGAATGAATTGAAGTCATATAGCTAGTCATAGTCATGTAAAAGTGTGACACAGACTGCACTACATCAATGTTTCTGGTATACTTATAAAAAGAAGATATTAAAATTTTAATCTCATTCACCCAGTCACTTGATCTCTTCCTAAAACGTTATTTTCAAGAGCTGGTTGAACAAAAAAGTTCTCCCCTAGGGTAATGCATCCAGTTTTTGAGTAATCCAGAGGTAAAGGTATCGCATATCGAAAAAGGAAGTAACTCATTTTAATTCCCAAACTCTAGACTGTCAAGAACTCTGCTCAGCTACGCTCTTAAGAAGGAAACATAAAAATAAAGACACTGCTACATGTATATGTAACTATGAACCTTTATTTTCATATGTTGCAATCAACATCCCTTTTAATTGTTTCCATGTTAAATATGTATAATCCAAACCTGAAGCTCAAGGTCTGCTACTCTAATGTGTAGAATCACATTTATAGCTGTCTTCAAAATGACTCTGCGTACATCCTTGGCCATATGAAAGGCTTCAGGAGATTTCCATGGATAGTGTAGATGCAGACGGTGAAGTATTCCATATCCGGGACCAGTTTAGTAGTTTTTAAAAGAGTTCAGGAAGGTGTTCGAGAGAATGATTGACAGGGCAAACATGAGGAATGAAACCATATTACAGTACCAGGTTCACATGGAGAAACAGACACACAGAAACATTTATGTAAATAGGCCAATTACAATCAGATACTATCATTTCACTCTTTCGTGCCATTTTGTGGACAGTTGATATCAATCAGCAACAGAATGACAGATTTACAAACATGTTGTCACATTTATAATGTTACTTATGTTAAAATGCATAAAAACATCTTTTCTTCTGTCCCACAAAATTGCAAAACGTGAAAAGAAGTGTCCTTTCAAAAAGTATTTTCTTCATTGAAAAAATATTTCCAGTTTATTGAAGTTTTTGAAGACACAAAATGCATACATTTTCAGTGGAGAGAAAGGCTCATGAAACAGATCACATCACTTTACTTTACCCTTTACATTCTTACATTTCATACAACTTTTGGGTGTGAGGATATTTGAATTGTCTTGTTATTTTTCAGGTCATTGCAAAATCCATTATGGCTGCCATCTTGAAATACACCTTTGAACTTCTCATGTTTCACAGGTGCATTTTGCAAAAAATTGCAGGGATTGCTAAGGAAAGGAAGTTGATACAAAGCTAATGCTTTTTTGTCCTTGTAGAAAGTTGAAAGTGGCAGCCATGGTGGCCGTTTTGTAACATTATTGTGCAATATGGTTTCACTTAATAATATTTATTTAAAACATCTCAAGTTCCACCAGCTTAATTTAGCAGAAACTTGCTGGAGATGATCTTTAGATGATACTGACCAAAAGTTGTTATTGTCGGCGGTGGTCCATAATCCAAAATGGCCATACAATATTGAAAAATGTGTTTAAAACTTTATCCTTGGTACCACTGATGCTATTGGGTTGAAATTTTGTGGGAATGTTTTGTACTGAAATATTCTGAATGATTTTAATTGGTTAAGAATTGTTTCCACTTTTACTTTACACTTTTAACAATTTACCATATACATTATACTCAGAACACCGTTATGGCCCATAGGCCTCTTTACTGCAGATCCTTGTTTTCTTCAGGTTGTGTAGCGGTAGTGGCATATTTCAACATGGAAATGTCATTATTATCTTATTTTAGATCATCATACCTTCTTCTTTCTCCTACTTTCGGTATTTTGATTGTTTGTTTTTCTCTCTATTTACAGATTATAATATATTCATCAACGATAAAAACATGTCGCTGTATCCAACATTAGAAGATATGAAGGTCGACAACATGGCCAAGGTATGAGAACATTGTCTCAATGTTATTACACTACCATCATCAGACAGGGGGTTGTTCAAAGCATCCTGTATCTGTGGTCTGTAGTCTGTCATCCATCAGTCCTTAATAATTGTTATTATCGCTATTTCTTTAGAGACACTGGATCCATCTTTCTCCAATGTGGTATGTAAGGTTTCTTTTGGTTTTCAAGTGTGCCCTTTTGATCCTGGGACTGATCAGAAAACAAGTTTTTACGGCTGATTGGTGATCATCTTTGATCTGACAGTTGCAAACTATTATGGCTTTTTCTTAAGATGGATTCTCACATTTTATCAAGAGCAAATCAGAGAAAATAAAAGAAGAAAAAAAGGAAAAATATCCAACTTCTAATAAACAAAGACCAATTAATGGTGGACACTACAATCCCTTCTGGATATATAAGTTTGCTTTAGCTGATAATGGTAGGTTGTTTGAAGCACTCTGATCCTCATACCATTTCTTATTATAAATATGTCTTAGGAAAGTACTGGATGGATCTTTCTCACATATTTCATATAAAGGTTCCCATTGGTCACTAGTTGTGATATATCATATATTTAATAATAAATAAGAAGAAGGAAGGGAACGATTCAAATTGGAAAGAATAGATAAAGTAGGCACCAAGATCCTTTTGGGATCTGGTGTTTTGTTTACATTACTTCTTAGACCATTATATGAGGATGGCAGGCTGTTCAAATTATCCTCATTGTCTATTTTGTCCATGTTCTTTTGATCTTTATACCAGTCCTTGTTATTGCTATGTCATGAGAAGTATTGGATGGATCTTTTGCTCAAATTTCATTGAAAAGTTCCTCTTTGTCTTTGTGCCCTTCTAATTTTGAGACTGATCAGCAGAATGCAACGGTTGACAGACAGCTATCTTGGATTTTGATATAAAATGATTTACCTTTTTTCCTTGAGAATTATTGGATGGGAATCTAGTGGTGCATGCTCATTTTTTGAGATTTGTTAGAAAAAAAGAAGTGGCTGATATGTGGCCATCTTGGATTTTGAAAGTGAACATTAATTATTGCTATTTCTTAAGAACTATTGGGCAGGTCTTTAGTCAGATTTGATTTGTAGGTTTCCCTTGTTCTTTTGTGGTATCCACTCAACGTTTAGACATACAATAACATAATGGCTGAAAGGCAGCCATCTAAGAATGAGGAAAGGGATGAAACTGAAAAAATATGCCATTATGTCATTTGAAAAGATAGAAACTATACATTGTACTGACCTGGAATTTCCTTTCGATCGGCCACTTGGTAAAGAGATTCATGTTCTGTATTTGATAGGCACAGATGCAGCACGAGGCAGCAGCACATGGGCAGCCACAGGTGACCTATCCACAGCAGCAGCCACCTCTTGTATACCCTCAGCAGGGCGCGAGTGGGAGCATGTACCCATCTCTACAGGGTGAATACATGGGCATGCAGCTCAGCCCCGAGACATACAATCAATTCCAGATTGTACCACAGGTAGGTTTTTTTGTGCTTGAAATTTGATAATTCAAATTTTGCTTTGATGATAACTTTATTTTGGTAATAAGCCCACAAATATTTATTGCAAATTCTATAGATTTCTAAAGCTTACTTCACTACACTGAGATCATATGATGGCTCCCTAGAACTTTTAATAAGTCATCCTCCCTACATTGAGGTCATGTGATTGCCCCCTAGAACTTTATTACATGATAGTGCTAGAAGACTTAAATATGGAATTGAGCTCTACCTTATGTGCATTATTTGTTTTGTAATTATACATTGCGATTATATTCCTTTCTACTCACATTCTGTGTTTTATACCTGTACATTATAAATACAACCATTTCTACTCACATTCTGTGTTTTATACCTGTACATTATAAATACAACTATTTCTACTCACATTCTGTGTTTTATACCTGTACATTACAAATACAACTATTTCTACTCACACTGTGTGTTTTATACCTGTACATTATAAATACAACTATTTCTACTCACATTCTGTGTTTTATACCTGTACATTATAAATACAACTATTTCTACTCACACTCTGTTTTATACCTGTACATTATAAATACAACTATTTCTACTCACACTCTGTTTTATACCTGTACATTATAAATACAACTATTTCTACTCACATTCTGTGTTTTATACCTGTACATTATAAATACAACTGTTTCTACTCACACTCTGTTTTATACCTGTACATTATAAATACAACTATTTCTACTCACATTTTGTGTTTTATACCTGTACATTATAAATACACCTATTTCTACTCACACTGTGTGTTTTATACCTGTACATCATAAATACAACTATTTCTACTCACACTGTGTTTGTATGTGTTAGCAACCTATGGCGGTGGGTGTACGACAGACAGGTGGAGGACAGACACAGGTTGCCCCCATCACTGGCAACAACAAGGGACTCCAACGGGCAGAAATCAAACAGGGCATCAGGCAGGTGATAGCATGCAAGGATGCTGACAACAAGATCGGGCTGCGATTAAGACATGTTAACAAGGTAAACTGACGTGTCAGTCAAGTTATTTCTAAACTTGTTTAACTTACCAAATAAAAAACACCCCACAATACATCTGGAACATTTACGATTGTTTGAAACTTAATCAATTGGGAACAAAAATGTCAATATATTAAAAACAAATAAGAAAACACAAGAAATAAGTTTCATGCATCAAAAAAGAAACACATCTGCTTTTTATATACCTTACTTTACCAAGATTGTGTTAACATAGTAGCGAAAAATTGTTACCCTGCCAAGGGAAGTAATTCTATTCAGGAAAAGTCTATCAGAATGTTTTTTCTTCAAAGGGTGTTACGGTAATTTTCACTACAATATTATGACTTTGCTAGGTGACAGTTATTTATGTGTGTATTTCTGTCACACTCCAATGATTCTCTGTTTCAGGGTCTGTTTGTGGCCTTAGTACAGGACAACAGTCCAGCTGCTCTGGCTGGCCTCCGATTTGGTGACCAGATTCTGCAGATTGACGAGAACGACGTTGCTGGTTGGGACACTGATAAGGCACACAAATTTCTGAAAAATGCCTCACCTGAAAGGATTGTGTTTGCTGTTAGAGACAGGTGAACACATTTGAGCTTTATTGTGGCTGTAAATGTTTACAATGAAACTACCCGGTAGTTCATTCTGGTCGCTCCATCTCTAGATGATGGAAGTGAGTTGCATGCTTTCGTTCAGGGCAAAAAATACCTTAGTGCATTGTTTTGTAGCATTGCTGGACATGTCTGCTGTACATGTGTTCACACTTAAAACAGGTGTTTTATATGTCATTGAAAAATACCAGTATAATGCAGATAGCTGTGCTTAAGTGGTCAGATTAATTGGGTCTCTCTTCACAGTAACATACATAATTATTTGGACATTCAAACTGCAATCATTAGCAAGATATTGAGTGCCAAGTCTGACAAAGGCTGCATATCCTTATCATAATGTATAGAAACCCTTGCTGTGACTGCTTCAGCACAATTGATACCTAGCGTCACTGAATTTAAAACTTTTCCAAGACATGAACCCTGACAGCTTTCATGTCAGCATTTTCATCATCTTTTTTTAAGTCCATGGTCTACATCAAATGCCTCTATTATTGATGTGTTTTTAGTTCCAGAATCGTACGTCCAGCTGAAATCTCTTGTTTCATTCAAAACATTATACAAACAATTTATTTTTATAGATATCTCCTAACTTGAATACCAGACATTAATTTGTATTATATTCTGTAGACCGTTCGAGAGGACCATCTCTATGCAGAAAGACAGCAATGGCTACATTGGCTTTGTCTTCAAGGATGGAAAGATTAAATCTCTGGTGAAGGATTCATCAGCAGCAAGGAATGGTGTTCTTATTGAACATCAACTGATAGAGGTCAATGGTCAGAACGTGGTGGGACTCAAGGTAAGGTCATGACCTTATAGAGGTCAACGGTCAGAACAAGGTCACTATCTGATAGAGGTAAATGGTTAATTATGCTTGTATATACACTAGGATAACAATGTATATATTGATCATATGAAGGCAATGTGCAGTGTACCAAACTCAACCCCTTGATTACAGAGTTATTGCCGTATGTTGAAATTTGTTGTCTAGAGCCTAACTTTGCCCACAGTTAAGCAAATATTATGAAACTTTGTGTATGTATTGATCATACTAAGACAATGTGCTCTGTATCAAATTCAGGGCCTTTAACCACCAAATTACAGAGTTAGTGCCCTTTGTTAAAATTTCTCTTCCATAACATAACTTTGCTTGTATTTAAGATAGGATAATAAAGCTTGTGTATACAGTGATTACATGATAACAATGTGCAGTGTACCAAATTAGAACCCACAATGCCATGATTACAGAGTTATTCACCTTTGATAAAATTGTGTGTCTTGAACATCACTTTGCCTGCATTAAACTAGGATATTGAAAAAGGATACAAAAGTCATACAAAGGCAAGGTGCATTAAGACAAAGTCAGGGTCCATAACCCCTCAGAACACAGTTATGGCTTTTTGGTAACATTTTAGTGTCATGAGCATAGCTTTGCTTGCAATTAAAACTAGGAGCATTAAACTTGGTGTATACATTAATCTTACTAAGAGAATGTGCTGTATACAAATTTAGGGCCCACAATCTCTTGATTACAGAATTATTGTAAAATTCTGTGTGCATTTAAGTCATTTTCAAGGACCATTCATTCCTTTCACTGATGCTTCTGTCGATATGATTATTATAATTCTTGCTCGCATGAGAAAACAGAACTGAAATTATTGGGATTATCTCGCTTTGAATAATTCTACAAAATGGTGGTCTCCAATAATGACGTCTCTGGTGACATATTTTGCAAACATTTCTGTATTTTGTGATAAGTAATGTTATTTATTGGTCTGACTTTCATGATTGTTTTTAGGATGATAGAGTTGGGGAGATCTTCGATGCTGCTGGCAGGACAGTGACCATCACCATTATGCCAACTTTCCTTTACGAACACATTGTAAAATGGTATGTTTGAATTTTATACTGTAACTTACAGTTATTCTCATTTCACATAAAGAATAGATATATGTTTTATCAAGACCAATTTAGATTGGTTTGGATTGATATTTCTCTTTCCATTGTCATGTATGTATTTCCTTTAGTTGCATTGCTGTAAATGTGCAAATTACACTCAAACATATGAATGTGTGCTACATATTACATACATATTGAGATATACATGAAAAATAACCTCCACATGTACAGTTCGCTTAATGGAATCGCAAAATTAACCTTCAGTAAGAATAACCATGTTGATTTGATATTACTCCATCGCCAGTGAAAATAACATTGTTTACAGCAATAAGTGTTTTCAGGATTAATGGGATTATATAATATAGCAGTTTCAATGTACAAGATCAGGCCCAATTTCTTGATATCTTTTTGAAATGGAAGATATTTACGACTGTATTTACCAACCACCTTCCCATTCCGACAAGACTATATATTGTTTTTTATGTTTCGGCTGTTCCTGAATCCAGCATATAAAATGTTCACTCTTTATATCTGGATAGCAAAGAAATTCACACTTGTTGTTAATGTAGTTATAAGTAAATAACAGAGTAAAATTCAATATAAATACAAGATGTCCGGGCAAATCCTCCATAGCATCCAATCAGGTTCCTCTGAATTGACCAGGTCACTTGTCATTATATCAACTTGAATAACATTCAGAATACACTTTATTGTAAGAACCTTTTGTCATGATACAGTGTATGAAATGAATTGCTAAAATGTGAAATTCAAAAATGCAAGGTAGCATTGTTCTGGTGAAGAAGATCAATGATTGAATATATTGTATATGATCAGTATCTGTAATCTAGATGTTTCTTCTTTTGCAGCATGGGTAACAGTATAATCAAGAAGCTGATGGACCACTCCATCCCTGATGTGTAAAACACTGTGGTACACTGATAAATAGACATCTAAACATTATGTGTTGTGTCTCTGAGGGAAGAAGGGGATCTCCAGTGCATCACACCATTATCAACATTCCTTGTCACCTTGGCAATCTGTCCAAAACAAGGAATTGTTTCATTCTGACTCATTGTACATTTCAACATGTAACTTTCGCATTTGTCGCAGGCTTTTTGTTTAGAGAATCTTGTTCAGCTTGTGTATTGCTGAATTAAATATTTTGTGTTATAAAATTTACCATGTTGATTGTCTGTATAATGATAAATCATAGTAATTATATAGAATTATAGAGAAATATCACAAGCATGTCTCTTATTATATGTGTATATTTCCTACCTACCCTAACTTTTGAGAGCAGAATTTGAAAGCAAAATTTTTAGTTTGAGCATTCAAGTCTTTTTTAACCTTAGTTTTAATGTTGCACCTGTTATTTATAGGAGTATTCTATTTGAAATAAAACTTTCATGTGATTAGCTACTGAAAGGAGAAGTATGATGAGTGACAGAAAGGAATTGGTCAGAGACAGAAGTGAATGTGTTCATTTACGGAAAGGAATGTGAAAAATGATGGGCAAGTCAGCTCTAGGTTAGAGGCAGTGATGATCAGTGTTAGAAATATCATACTAGGGAAACATTGTTTTTCAATAACTGAATTAGAATTAGGATTATCCTGAATGATGTAAAGAGTTCAATCCATCTTGTTGAAGGTGTTTTCACTATTTCTATCAGTTGTACATTTTAGTGCTGCCTTGGGATTTTAAACTAGCAGTGCGAACATTACGTTTATGTAAACTTTTTTTTTTTAATCACCTCAATTAGGTGAAAGTTGGCAGTGGTAATATAGCATGTTGCTTTAACAACACATGTACCTAGGGTTCACTGAATGATAAATATACCTTGTTCTCATGTTTTTAATAAAAAGAAAATTTGATCTATTTGATCCAGGAAAAGTTTATATTTAACTTGGTTCTTAAAACCCTAGTCCAGCTTAATAACGTAACAAAATAAATAATCTATGTTTTGACTTAATAAAGGAGGTTCAAAACTAGAGAATACATTTAATCATTTGAAGGCAAAACAAATTCCCAAAAACAGAATTGCTACAGACTGGCATATCATTGAATTACTAGGACTTGTTTTTGTAGAAGTCTTTTTATTTCCTAATTTATTTTCTATCACACAATAATAAGATGTAAGATGATTTTTTAATTATTATGAAAAATTAAAGGTCAACCTGAGTGCAAAATTATTTATTTTTTTATGTAAATATGTAACATATCCTGATCTGAAATGTAAAAATAAAATGGTATTTGAGTTGGAAACAGCCTTCTTCACTGTGTGGTGAAAGCTAATCAGCCATGGAAAACATGGACCAGAAGTGACACATCCAAGGGCATTCTATTTATTTGTAAGGAATATTACTCTGATTAATGACATGCACACTGTTTCACAAAACCCCACACTGTTTGGGTAATGGGACGTATTATACTGTTCCTTAGTATCTGTTTTCACCTTATTTGATACAATCTTGATATACATTTCAAGTGTCAACACATACAAAATAAAAGCATGCAAAATATACCTGTACTGATATAATGATGGTAGACCATGATTATCCCAGTGTAATTGGGATGAGAATGTACACAGTTGTGTATCACAAGCTTAAGACCTATTTTCTGGAGTTTTGATTAACAATGGTCCCCTATCATAGATAGGGATTTCTGGTTTTACCTCTCGCGATCTGCCTAATCTTTCTTCCATGTATTATAATCACAAGTCTAAGGTTAGATTTTGTCGCTGCTTTCATACATATGTGTGCGGTGTTGATGGCCGTGGAAGTAGAAAGACCACATAATATGTGAACACACTCAGGTTGGCCTTTAAGCATGTGTTGTTATATAGGAAGTTATAAAATGCATTGTTATGACATTGTTTTGATTGTTATATAAAGTGATCTGCTACATAATTTAGTATGTATCATCTATAAACCATATTCAAACAAATACAATTAATGATTACAACTCCAGGTTTTTTTTTTCTTATCAGATTTTGTGAAGAACTATGTCATTTGGTATGTGACTGAAAGCCTACTGATATCAAAAGGCACTGAATGATTTGGTCAGAGAAGAGAGCTTAGTTAAATGAGGGTTATTGATTAGGAGAAAAATGGCTGATTAGAGACCTGAAAGTCATATCTAACGTTTCCACCTTAGATATGAGAAAGTATTGAAACCATTTGTGTATCCTGAAACACATCTCAGTATTATTTTTAATAAGCAGAAATTAGCTGTTTTTTCAAACTAGTCTTACTTAAAGATTAAATCACTATTATGTTGAGGTTATCGGGATGTAACTACAATTTAACACATGCAAATGGAAAAACTGGTGATGCCAGTTCTGTAAAATTTGTAGTTATCTCCCCTGAGAACCTGAACAAAACAGAAAGTTGATCTTTATATTTACAGGTTTCCTTAATCAGAATACAGATGTGTTTTATGTGCACAAGGGAAACTTTCATTATCTGTAAATATTGATAATGAGAATTACAAAAGTCATAGAATCAATCGCAAAGGTAACTTATCATTCACAATGCTGCAACTTACCATTCAAATGCTGCACATGAATATACATTTTCATACAACACCTTTGCTCTCATTAATTGGCTGATTTTATCATCTGACTGAAGTATGTCTGTGACCATTTTGAAGACAGAATTCACTGTTTTGTAACTAAAAATTAAAAAATGATTTTAACATCATAACATCCCAGTAGGATGAAGTTGGCTGGATACTGAGGCAATCTCATTTGACATAGTCCTAAATGAAGTGTCATCTGATAGAATGATCGATGTATTTTTTTCTTATTTGATAATAAAATAATAACATGAATTATCTTTCTTTTGCTGTTTTGTTACTCTTCAAGAAATTTTGATGCAGTATCCTGATAGAAGTATGATTAAGGGGTGGGAGAATTAGACCCATGGTTTAAACAAAATTGAGTACTTGGTATGTTTCATTTGGATGTTTGAAATAAAATGTTGTTTGACTCAAGAAAGATTTACAAGAGTACACTAAATTTCCCTTCTTTTGCCCATCCCTTAGTTTCTTGGGAACCCAAACCCTCTATCCTAGTATTTAAACCAAATATTGGCAACAGAAGATTTTAAATCTGCTTCACATTTCTCTGTATTGGCCCCTGCCCTCTGTCTGCTACAGATGTGGGTGGGAGGCAATTGTGTTATTGCCTTGACCTGTTAACTTCTCGTACAAATCACACTTGTGATGAAGGACTAAGCAGATTCTGACCAAGTTTGGTTACAAGCAACGTTTTGTAGAAATGGTGGGTCTCGCCCCCATGAAGCCTAAAGAAATAGAGCTAATTATTTTTTAAAATCTACTCCTCCGGCAGGAATGATTAGTTTTTGCCCAAATTTGGTCTGAAGCATTCTTTGGGAAAGGAAAATCAAATTTGTATAAAGGGTGAATCTCTGCGCCTTGGGCATGAGGGGCAGTGCCCAATAGGGAAATAAAGCAAATTGTTGAAAATTATACTCTTCCTGTAGGAATGATTGGACCTTGCCTAAATTTTGTCTGAAGCTTCCTTCATTGAAGGGTAACCAGTGGGTCTTTTGATCCATGGGATGGTCCAATAGGGGAAATAAAAGCAAATTGTTTAAATTCCTTTTCCTCCTGCAAGAATGAAAAGATTTTGCAAAATTTGGTCCACAGCATACTTGGATGAAGGTGAATCAATTTAGTCTGAAGCTTTATTAGGTAAAGGCGATTTTTGTATTAATGGATACGCTGACCCTCTGGGGCAGACAGGTTATGTTCAATAGGAAAAAGGAAACTTCAGAATTAAGCTATTTCAATCAAAGCAAGTGTAGTGATACATCCATAATGTGCCTGTTGTTTTTACAGAAATAGTGACATACATCATCGGAATATAGGTCTGGATCATAGTAACATATCACAGGTATAATATAGTGTAGGTCTGGGCTATATATAGTAACATATCGCTGGTATAATATAGGGTAGGTCTGGGCTATAGATAGTAACATATCACTGGTATGATATAGTGTAGGTCTGAGCTATATATAGTAACATATCACTGGTATAATATAGTGTAGGTCTGGGCTATAGATAGTAACATATCACTGGTATAATATAGTGTAGGTCTGGGTCATTGTAACATATCACTGGTATAATATAGTGTAGGTCTGGGTCATTGTAACATATCACTGGTATAATATAGTGAAGGTCTGGGCTATAGATAGTAACATGTCACTGGTATAATATAGTGTAGGTCTGGGCTATAGTTAGTAACATGTCACTGGTATAATATAGTGTAGGTCTGAGCTATAGTTAGTAACATGTCACTGGTATAATATAGTGTAGGTCTGGGCTATAGTTAGTAACATGTCACTGGTATAATATAGTGTAGGTCTGTGCTATAGATAGTAACATATCACTGGTATAATATAGTGTAGGTCTGGGCTATAGATAGTAACATATCACTGGTATAATATAGGGTAGGTCTGGGCTATATATAGTAACATATCACTGGTATAATATAGTGTATGTATGAGCTATATATAGTAACATATCACTGGTATAATATAGTGTAGGTCTCGGCTATAGATAGTAACATATCACTGGTATAATATAGTGTAGGTCTGGGCTATAGATAGTAACATATCACTGGTATAATATAGTGTAGGTCTGGGCTATATATAGTAACATATCACTGGTATAATATAGTGTAGATCTAGGCTATAGATAGTAACATGTCACTGGTATAATATAGTGAAGGTCTGGGCTATAGATAGTAACATATCACTGGTATAATATAGTGTAGGTCTTGGCTGTCACTGGTATAATATAGTGTAGGTCTGGGCTATAGTTAGTAACATGTCACTGGTATAATATAGTGTAGGTCTGTGCTATAGATAGTAACATATCACTGGTATAATATAGTGTAGGTCTGGGCTATAGATAGTAACATATCACTGGTATAATATAGGGTAGGTCTGGGCTATATATAGTAACATATCACTGGTATAATATAGTGTAGGTCTGAGCTATATATAGTAACATATCACTGGTATAATATAGTGTAGATCTAGGCTATAGATAGTAACATATCACTGGTATAATATAGGGTAGGTCTGGGCTATAGATAGTAACATATCACTGGTATAATATAGTGTAGGTCTGAGCTATATATAGTAACATATCACTGGTATAATATAGTGCAGGTCTGAGCTATATATAGTAACATATCACTTGTATAATATAGGGTAGGTCTGAGCTATATATAGTAACATATCACTGGTATAATATAGTGTAGGTCTTGGCTATAGTTAGTAACATGTCACTGGTATAATATAGTGTAGGTCTGGGCTATATATAGTAACATATCACTGGTATAATATAGTGTAGGTCTGAGCTATATATAGTAACATATCACTGGTATAATATAGTGTAGGTCTGAGCTATATATAGTAACATATCACTAGTATAATATAGTGTATGTCTGGGCTATATATAGTAACATATCACTGGTATAATATAGTGTATGTCTGGTATAACATAGTGTAGGTCTGGGCTATATATAGTAACATATCACTGGTATAATATAGTGTAGGTCTCGGCTATATATAATAACATATCACTGGTATAATATAGTGTATGTATGAGCTATATATAGTAACATATCACTGGTATAATATAGTGTAGGTCTGAGCTATATATAGTAACATATCACTGGTATAATATATATATAGGGTAGGTATATAGCTATAGATAGTAACATATCACTGGTATGATATAGTGTAGGTCTGGGCTATAGATAGTAACATATCACTGGTATGATATAGGGTAGGTCTGAGCTACATATAGTAACATATCACTGGTATAATATAGTGTAGGTCTGAGCTATATATAGTAACATATCACTGGTATAATATAGTGTAGGTCTGGGCTATATATAGTAACATATCACTGGTATAATATAGGGTAGGTCTGGGCTATACATAGTAACATATCACTGGTATAATATAGTGTAGGTCTGAGCTATATATAGTAACATATCACTGGTATAATATAGTGTAGGTCTGGGCTATATATAGTAACATATCACTGGTATAATATAGGGTAGGTCTGGGCTATACATAATAACATATCACTGGTATAATATAGTGTACGTCTGTGCTATATATAGTGACATATCACTGGTATAATATAGGGTAGGTCTGGGCTATAGATAGTAACATATCACTGGTATAATATAGGGTAGGTCTGAACTATAAATAGTAACATATCACTGGTAAGGTTGGCTTTATTTACTCTTGATTTATTTTGTATATATTGTTGTAAACTCTACCAGGAAGTGATTATAATAAGTCTGTCACCATCCACCTATTTCAAGTACTTCCTGGTGTAGTCACCTAATACTGTTGTTGATCACTGGGTAGCCTATCAGATTCCATTTTTATTTACTTCAATTCTGGGGTGTCCTGTAACATTTCTATCCCTCTATCATTGTTATCCAGGTGAATATTTCATCCATGAAATACTGAGTAAATCAAATATCTTAACTACAAGATTATATCAAATACACGATTCCCTTGATGCATGTATTTAATTCTTTAACAACTGGCACTCCACATCCTCCATTACCTACTGACAACATTTCTCATTTCAGAAATGTACAATAATGTTACATCTATTTTGCCATGACACTTTTGTCATATGCATGTAAAATTCAACTCACAACTACTCAAACAACTCAAACATGTTGTGGTTCATGGTGAATTAATTTCATTGATGACATAAAATGAAAAAGTTTAACAGTTACTTTGTACAAGCGATGAAATCAATACCATCTTCGAGTTGTCATCCCAGCAAAAGAAATTTGACATTAATAGATAAAGTACCTACTGTAGATCATTGCTTTAAAACTAACAAGCAGTTCCTATTTGACATCAAGCCATCTGAAAGGGTTTTCATGTGATAATCAATCCACTGCAATGTAAGAAGGTGAAAGTTACCTCCCCTTTATCAGCTGATCAGTTGGGGAAGGACATTGTCCACATCATGGCATATGTCACAGGAAAAAGTCAGTGAAGACCCAGCAGCCTGATCTATTTGTTACAGCACTATAGGGTTAAGTGTCACTAGATGACACAGCTCTACACCATTTTTCTAGATGACCCATGATGCAATGCAGTGGTTATAAGGTAAGGTCCTCTTCAGAGCAATGTGTCTTATTGAAGGTTTTTTCCCCTCTACATCCTTTTTGCCCTCTGAGGCAAAGTCAGACACTTCCTGTAACAATCTAATCAATCACAGACCATCCATAGCCTTATCAGCCTGATTCTGATTGCTAAGGTCATGTTTTTATTTTATAAAAACTGGCACATCCACTGAGCAACAATCCAGAGGTCAGCACAGTGAGAGAACATTCTGTAAGAGACCACATCTGTGAGAGAACATTCTGTAATAGACAACTTCTGTAAGGGACCATCTCTGTGAGAGACCACTTCTGTAAGAGACAACTTCTGTAAGGGACCATCTCTGTAAGGGACCATCTCTGTGAGAGACCACTTCTGTAAGAGACCACTTCTGTGAGAGAACACTCTGTAAGAGACCACTTCTGTGAGAGAACACTCTGTAAGAGACCACGTCTGTGAGAGAACATTCTGTAAGAGACCATCTCTGTGAGAGACCACTTCTGTAAGAGACCACATCTGTAAGAGACCATCTCTGTGAGAGACCACTTCTGCGAGAGAACACTCTGTAAGAGACCACTTCTGTGAGAGAACACTCTGTAAGAGACCACTTCTGTGAGAGAACACTCTGTAAGAGACCACTTCTGTGACCTCTGTGAGAGAACATTCTGTAAGAGACCACTTCTGTGAGAGAACACTCTGTAAGAGACCACTTCTGTGAGAGAACACTCTGTAAGAGACCACTTCTGTGAGAGAACACTCCTGTAAGAGACCACATCTGTGAGAGAACACTCTGTAAGAGACCACATCTGTGAGAGAACTCTCTGTAAGAGACCACTTCTGTGAGAGAACACTCTGTAAGAGACCACCTCTGTGAGAGAACACTCTGTAAGAGACCACTTCTGTGAGAGAACACTCTGTAAGAGACCACTTCTGTGAGAGAACACTCTGTAAGAGACCACTTCTGTGAGAGACCACTTCTGTAAGAGACCACTTCTGTGAGAGAACACTCTGTAAGAGACCACTTCTGTGAGAGAACACTCTGTAAGAGACCACTTCTGTGAGAGAACAATTCTGTTTTGTAGCTGGGTGGAATTTACTTTAGTTTCAAATCATTGAAACTAAAAGTTTCTGTATCATCATTTTAAGTACAATCTTGGAGGTAAGAAGTGTTTTACATGTATATCATTATAAATTTGAGGATGTCATCTTTTTATAAACTTCTCATATTTGCTATAAATGTCATTGGGTCTCAAGTATAGTGAGATTCAGTGGCAATAGAAACAAAGTTATGTACTGTCAAACCATACCTCCAGGTTCCTCAGGGGTCTGAACAGGGTGTCCTCCACAAGGGACAATGTGTTAAGGTTTTCAGAAACCAAGTTTTGTCTTACCCTTATGACTTACTCTCCCTGATTGTTCTTTTTCATGAAAAGCAAGATTTTGTTAGGACTACAGTACAACAGATACCTGCTATTCTGTCATGGGTATCAAAGAATGGAAGTGAGGCTGAGACTGTAACAATATATATAGACGGTTGTAATGGCATCCTGGACTTACAGCAACTTGTCACTTGTGTTCTGATGTTATCATAATGTCACAACAGTTATGACTGTTGCTCCAGACAGTGTCAGTTATACGATCACAAATGATTTCATCATCAAAGAAAACCGTGCCACCTTATAAAAAAACAAAATACCAATAAGCAACAACATATACAACAAATATTTGAACATTTTTTCTTTATTGGATAAAAAAAGGTCATTTGTACAATTTGTAATATGCTATTACATTCACATTTTATTTGGTATGACATTGAACATCACGCTCCATATTAATGTTTTAATCTCTTATACTACAGTTCCACCTATCTTTGCACATGCAGAGGTCAGAGCTGAATAAAATGATCTCTTTGTCTGCTTGCTGTTCCAGCAGATTTTGTTTCTATATTCATGTTTTTCATCAGTAAAGAGAATTATAAAAAATTCATATTTTTTTCTCGTATAAATCTGATTTTTTTTTCTTTGATAAAACATATAACTCATGAAATATGTTGTGATGTTAAAGCAGATAAGCATTGTTAAGTAAAATATATTTTTTTGATTCCAAATTTGGTTAAAAATTAATAAATACATTTAAGAATTATCAAATGATTTAAAATTCACCAAATTACATTAAAATCATCAAATTCTTTTGATCAGATATAGGAATGTATAAAGATCATGCAGGCATAGGATATGGACATGGTTTTGTAATACATGTGTTTGTATATATAAACATCTATGAAAAAAGTTATGGATATTAAGTTTCACCTCCATTATAATAATACCTACAACAATCTCCAATATATTAAAATTACTGGATTTCTAGGATCTCTGATCGCTTCAAGACAAAAAATTCTTTTCATTTTTCTCTTTCTAAAAGATTATCTTTCCTTCAGAACAACACTATTGGGATAATGCTTTAAAGCTTAAAACATCTATCAACACAGCAATAAACAACTAGCTTGAACTTAGTGTGTAGCTGTGTATCTCTAGAACCCACCCCCCACCTCCTCGACCCAATGCTTTGCCCATGCCAATACCATGATGTTTTTCGCGTAAAAAAAGGGAATGTTTGTGCTTTAGTTTATCACAGCCATTGATTCAGCATATTATTATCAACAACATAGATGTTCACAGATTTTAATGACTTTGTCTCCTACCCAGAAAAAACAAAAAGTAGTTAAAGAGTTATACAGAATTCTATACAAGTCCTACACAGAGTAATACAGAATTCTATACAAGTCCTATACAGAATTCTATACAAGTCCTATACAGTGTAATACAGAATTCTATACAAGTCCTTTACAGCGTAATACAGAATTCTATACAAGTCCTATACAGAATTCTATACAAGTCCTATACAGAGTAATACAGAATTCTATACAAGTCTTATACAGAGTAATACAGAATTCTATACAAGTCTTATACAGAGTAATACAGAATTCTATACAAGTCTTATACAGAGTAATACAGAATTCTATACAAGTCTTATACAGAGTAAAACAGAATTCTATACAAGTCCTTTACAGCGTAATACAGAATTCTATACAAGTCCTATAAAGAATTCTATACAAGTCCTATGCAGAATTCTATACAAGTCCTACACATCCCTCATCATACGTTATCGTACTTCATTCTGTATGTAAACATCTTGTTTTTTTTGGTACATTCATATTTTTCCATGTTCTTTGCCAACTGGTGGCAGTATAACAATTTTTGTACAACATTTTTCAGTTTTCCTAGCTAGATTAATTCCAAAAAGATTTAAAAGAGGCAATCTCCCTGTCAGATCCCTTGAATGTTGGTACATCTCCACACAATCTAACCTCTGGATTCACATTTGATTTTAAAAATAATGGAAAGTAATATACTGTAGGATTTGTTGCACGTTTACAGAACACATACAATTTATATTAATACAGGTGAGATATTGATGATATATGCTGTGCATGAGTTAGTCTGTTCTAAACAATTCTACAACAACACATAAACAGGAAATATACATTATATACACTGGATGAATAATGTTCTAAAAATTATAAAAATATGTAAAACGATATAAAAATATGTACTTACTTGTTACATATATCAAAACTGTGGTCCGTATATATATGTAAAGTACAATCCATTAACTCTAAAATCATTGTTCTCTCGGCATTCACTTTATAGTCCTTTTCTTAATTGACCTTTGGCCTTTGACATTTGACATTTTTTTGTCAAATATTCAAATCAATCTCATACAGTCTTGGTATCTGTGAGGATTTTACTTTATCTAGAATCAATGCACAAAATTTCTCTGATGACGTTCTGACAAAACACTGATGACTTCCTGACAAAACACTGATGACTTCCTGACAAAACACTGATGATTTCTTGACAAAACACTGATGATTTCTTGACAAAACACTGATGATTTCTTGACAAAACACTGATGATTTCTTGACAAAACACTGATGATTTCTTGACATAACATTGATGAAGAAACTACCATGAAATATCCATAGCAAAAATTTTCTTCTGCAACAAGATGAAATTTATCCCGAAGCGATGTATTATGGTCTTATAAGAACAGTTGAAAAAAGGCACAGAAATGAATCTAATCATGCATAATTTGTAATTTAACTAAAACAATTTCAATTTGTGCCCTACAGCACTTGAATGTCTTTCATAAGAATATTACCAAGATGTAAAAGGATTTTAAAGAATTAGTTCTATCTACACTATTGGGCCCCTCCCCTCCAACTACTGGAGACCATGACCTAACAAATAAAAGAGATTCTTGTTCAATCAACAATGCTTCAGACCAAATTTGGACAGAATACAGGTGAAGAAGGATTTTAAAGAATTGCAAAATTTCCACTTTTGGGCCCTGCCCCTCAGGCCCCAGGAGGTTAGACCTACCATTTATACAAAATTGATTCCCCTTCAATCAGTGATGATTCAGGCCAAATTTTGATAGAATCCTACAGAAGGATTTTTAAGTATTACCAAAGTTTCGCCTTTTTGGCCCTGCCCTTCGGGCTCAGGGAGCTGAGACCAACCTTTTATTCAAAATTGTTCCCCTCCCCTAGGAATACTTCTGACCAAACTTGGTCAAAATCCACTCAGTTGTTCATGACAAGAAGCAAACTCTAGAACAAATATCAAGGATGGCAGATGCTGCATCATGGCATAAGTTTACCAGTCCTTCAGTCCTCAAAACACTGTGGAATTAAATATTAGCACACTGCCTGGAGCAATATCAAAAAATCATTGTTAACATAACGCAGTACATTGTACTTGATTTTCTATTTCTAAATTGAGGCAATGGTGATATATCTGAAGCACATATATACACAAAAATATGTTTGAAGGAATATGTGTACTGCTTTAAGTTTAAAACTAAAACTTCCATATTCCAACTTGTGTCCATTTGAGTGATAATCTCATCATTCCTACAATATGGACTTGACATTGAGACTTTGATTACCTTATCATGACCCCTCCACCCAGAATATGTGTCAGACAAATTGGTTTAGATTCCTTACCAAAATAGCACAATCCTGAACCTGTACAGAAACATCTGTAAATTGGATAAAAGTCTTCATAGTATCCAATACTGTATTATAAAACTGTCTAGCTGATCTTTAGAACATGTTATAAGTGAGTCCATTATTAAAGTGCGTATTTGTTAATGGTCAGTTTTTTGGTTGACCATCTGCCATTGCAATCAGTGTCAATCATTGTCTTGTATTTGTAAAATAACTGTCCATCGAATTGTTGTCCTTATAGACTGGAATGTAAACCTACATGCAGACATTTTAGATGTCTGATTGTTCTGCCCATGTAATCGCCGAACTCTGACCATCATTAGAATTCATCAGATTCCTTGTAGTTTGGCTCAACTGCTACAAAGTAATCATCAAAGAAATTATAGAGGAACTCAAAAGTTGGTCTGTTCATCGAGACCTTATCCCAGCACTTTTTCATAATATCGTACATGGAATCCGGGCAGTTACGTGGCTTAGCCATACGGTAACCCCGTTCTACTTGTTCCAGGACCTCTCGGTTTGGCATTCCTAGAGTAAAACATAAAATCATCACTGTACAATTCTACATTAAATAATGCAATACATTTACATACATCATTTAACTGGAGACTTGAGGAGAATCTTACTATCTACTATCATCACTGTACAATTCTACATTAAATAATTTAGTACAATTACATACATCAATGAACTGGAGACCTGAGGAGAATCTTACTAACTAATCATCTTAAAGTGTACCCTGAGAGTAATTTTATATTTAGATATAATGTTAAGAATGCCGTAAAAATAATAATAATGAAAACCCCGTCAAAATCCGTTGCCCCAGTGTCAAGTTATTTAAGCTCAAAGTTGTCGATTTTCACCTGTCCGCCCAGACCTAATCAGCCGAATCGTCATTTCTGCGGAATCGAGGCTCTTCTACTCGTGACGTCATAAGTTCAACAGAAATGGCAGTCAACATGACTGACAGTGACAATGACACCGCAACTGAGAGCGATTTGAGCATGAGTTTTGAGGAGTCTGATTATGGTGTGAATGATGTCTGAAGACGGAATCCAGCCCTACCGATTTGAACTGGAATTACAAGACGATGTATCCAGTGAGGAGGAAAATGACCCTTCGAAAAGTGACGATCGCTTGGGCAACATAGATTGGCACGTACTTCACTAGGTCTCATCAGTAGTCGTGAAAGTAGTCGAACAGTGAATCGTCGTTTCAAAGAAACAAAATAAAATTGGGTGTGGTTTTGGACTAATTTTACTATCTTCAAGTCTCGATCAACAATTTCTGACGTCGGGAAATCGCGTTTGTGCAAGACCATGCATACATTCACGAGGTGTCAGGAATTTTCTTACCGAAGAAGTTTCGTCCGAGGGGAATTTTTCTTTCCAGGGAATTTTCGTAGCACTATGGATATATATAGATAGGGTGTCAACAACCAATTATAACACCCTCCGCTGTGTTAATAATAAAAATTTGATGTTTTAGAAGTTTAAACAATTATTTGACTGGTTTTTACCCTAGCACTGGTACGCGTCTGTTGTTAGCCGACAGGCATGTCGCCTCACAGGTGTCACAATTGTTTTTTCCAGCCACAGAGGTGCTAATTACCTAACCTGGCACAGGTGTGATTATGAGTTTAGATGACATCTCTACACCGTGAACTGTGTTTTCAAATCAAGATTGGTGATCTTATTGTTATTTTTACGATCGCAAAATTAATAACTAAACAACATCGTCTGCTGGAAGATCTAAAAACCAAATACACCTTATGCAAACAACATACACACATAACCTATTCTATAGATTCTAATAATTCTATTCTATACTATATAATAGTAGTATGAAAATTCTCGGGGTGAAAATTCCCGTGACCCATTCACGACTAGGCCTTCTCCGAGTATTAGGCGTTCACAATTACGAAGGAATAATATTCCTATGACCGCCCAAGTCATAGGCTAGACTATCAATTTAAAATGTTTAGTTGTAGAATTAATAACAAAATATCAACCTAACAAATATACTTTTATTTAATCAACAATCAGTTTTATTTATCGACGTCATGCATCGACACCCCATCAGTGTTAGTGTTAGGACAACCATACACACCGCTTCCCTGGTCGATAGGAAGCCATTTTAGCGGATTTAAGCGCTAATTCACCGACCCCTCGTTCACTACCTTAGATATTGCGAAGATGTGAAGTACTTTCACGTAAATAAACAAAGAAATTACCACGGAAAATCCCAAAATAGATCACAATCACATGTAGCACAGTAAAGACAATATGGCTGCATCAACAAAAGCGTTGAACTTATGACGTCACAGGTTTGGGTGCCCGAAAACGAGGTCAACGCCTCTCAGCCATAGGTGTGTTTTTCAGAAAAGTCGCAATTTCTCAGTAACGGAACATTCCACGGCATTCGCGTTTTCGGCATAGTGTATTTTATGTGCAGAACTATTTTTCAAGGTCAACATAGCTGACCTCTCAGGGTACACTTTAATTGGTGTCAATCTTAGTCAATCACTTAGTTTGAAAAATTATGTATAAAAAAATCCTGCAAGAAATAGCAATAACAATTGAACTGGCAAAATCCAAAATGCTAACCTGTCACATGTTTAGTTATCACTACTTTTGGAGAGGTAATGTAGGGATCATTTTCAAATCTTGTATACGGGGTGATTTGGTCCCTGATTGTACAATATCTATTTGATCAGCCCCAATATTACAGTATGATTGTATGTATAACACCTACCTGTGTACTGAGGGTATGACTGTATGTATAACACCTACCTGTATACAGAGGGTATGACTGTATGTATAACACCTACCTGTATACAGAGGGTATGACTGTATGTATAACACCTACCTGTGTACTGAGGGTATGACTGTAGGTATAACACCTACCTGTATACGGAGGGTATGACTGTAGGTATAACACCTACCTGTATACGGAGGGTATGACTGTAGGTATAACACCTACCTGTATACGGAGGGTATGACTGTATGTATAACACCTACCTGTATACGGAGGGTATGACTGTAGGTATAACACCTACCTGCATACGGAGGGTATGACTGTAGGTATAACACCTACCTGCATACGGAGGGTATGACTGTAGGTATAACACCTACCTGCATACGGAGGGTATGACTGTAGGTATAACACCTACCTGCATACGGAGGGTATGACTGTAGGTATAACACCTACCTGCATACGGAGGGTATGACTGTAGGTATAACACCTACCTGCATACGGAGGGTATGACTGTAGGTATAACACCTACCTGCATACAGAGGGTATGACTGTAGGTATAACACCTACCTGCATACAGAGGGTATGACTGTAGGTATAACACCTACCTGTATACAGAGGGTATGACTGTAGGTATAACACCTACCTGTGTACAGAGGGTATGACTGTAGGTATAACACCTACCTGTGTACTGAGGGTATGACTGTAGGTATAACACCTACCTGTGTATAGAGGGTATGACTGTAGGTATAACACCTACCTGTATATAGAGGGTATGACAAATAACTTTATATAAGGCAAGTGACTGTTGATATGACACTTACCTGGGTATGGGACCTGACCATGTGTCACTATTTCAACCAGGAGGATGCCATAAGACCAGACATCTGATTTGATTGTGAAGCGACCGTACAAGGCTGCCTCTGGAGCTGTCCATTTGATAGGGAACTTCGCACCTGATTCAAGATAAAAAAATGGCATGTAGTGAGAACTTGTAAATCCTTATTTATCATTTATTTGTGTTACTTACAATGGCTAATTATTATATAAATTCACATGTAACAGACATTTAACAGCATTGCTTAGACACCAATCTACACAGATCTACAATTCTAAGTAACATTTTTGCCGTCCGTATCATGTGCACTATAGACCTGAGGAACCACATTACAAGATCATTCTGGTTACCTAACATGTAACACTTGAAGAAAGAAACACAAGACACAGAAACCCAGTATTGATTACCAAATACAGAATTTGTTTTCCTTAATCCATGGATACTTCTGACCATTATTAGACAAATATCCTTTATCCTACAAGAAGGATACAATTTCCCTCATTAGGCCCCACTAATAAGGCCCCAAGGGGTCAGAGACATTTATATCGAATCAGTTTTCTTTTAGCCTACATAGGATGCTACAGACCCAATTTTGACACTAATCCAGTCATTCTTAGAGATTTCCCATATTGGGCCCAGATGGTTGAGTCCCACTGCTTATATGAAATATATTCCCTTTCCCCCCAAGGATGCTTCTGACCAAATTTGGTCAAAATTCACTCAGTTCTTTATGGCTGCGATTTTTTAAGGTCTTTATAACTAGCAGATATATTTAGAGAAAAAAAATTAGGAACAATGGATAGACAAAGGCGCCACAAACGATTACAAGTAGATATTTAACCTACCATGTTTGGGGTTGTATTCGTCATCCTCTATAATTTTGGCCAATCCAAAATCTGCCACTTTGGCAAGATTATTGTCACCCACTAAAATGTTCCTGGCTGCCAAGTCTCGATGGATGAATTTCTTTTCTTCTAAAAATGCCATTCCACTGGCTACCTATAATGGAAACATCAAATGTTATGAAATCTATGGCTATTACTTTATAACCTTTGAACCTCAAATTTAAAGGTCATCAACAACAGAAAATGATTCTAGCATCAGATTAAAAAAGCTGGAAATATCCTCAACTGATTTTATAAAGCTTCCTTCTAAATAAAACATAAGATATATTATAAACTACTGCTTAAGATATATTTGAGAAACTACTTCTAAATAAAACATAAGATATATTTGAGAAACTACTGATCAGTTCTAAATAAAACATAAGATATATTTGAGAAACTACTGATCAGTTCTAAATAAAACATAAGATATATTTGATCTATACTGGCCTGTGTTTCAACAAAACTGAGAGAGTTTTGACTTTATACCAAGGTATATCATTTGACCTATGAACCCTACACGATACCAACTCATCCTCCAGTCTGGTTAGTTGAGTTCCAATATGGTGACAAAAGATGAGGTTGAAGACAAGTACTGTAAATCACTTATATTCCGCACGGTATCTATTTTCACGTTAATATGCAAGGACAGCCAATCACGAATTCAAATCTTTCGCGATTATTTGTATGAATCGCTGTTGTTAATTTACTTTTAATGTAGTTTACACTTCTGTTTAGTTTATCTAATAACTCATCATTTACGAATTCAAAGTCATTTCTATAGCGCGAAATAATGAATTCGTGAATATAACTGCCCAGGTAAGTTCAATTTCATAATCATGTGTGTGTTATTATTATTGAGACTTCAGCTTGATATCAATGAAACAGATCAGTCTATAAACTTATGTTCCATTTTGTTGACACCTGCCAATCAATGGATATACATATATCATGGCAGGGTTAATCAGGGGTTTCAACTGAATTTTTCTACTGTGTCCCCATGAACATGGATTAAAACAATCTATAAGACCGATGGTTCTTGCCAATATTCAATTATTATGCTGGTCCATTATCACTTACTTAGACTTACTCTGATATCAAATCCATCTGGAATGTCATCGTTCAAAATCTATACACTAAATTTGGTTCAAATTTGTCAGTAAATATTTCTTAGACAGAAATTTTCTATCTTAATGATATTAAAGTCCTGTAACTCTGACAAACGTTGATAGATTTTCACCAAATACAAACTTATCAGTGATCTCATTGATCTAAGGCAATCAACCAAATTTGGTTCAAAGATGATGCAATAAAATCTGTAGTTAAACCCTAAAACTAAAGAAAAAGTCTGTAGTTAAACCCTAAACCTATTGAAAAAATCCGCAGTTAAACGAAATTCGGTCAAAATCCATTTAGCAATTTACAATTTTTATGGAAAAAGTTGATGTATGCCACGGTATGACAGCTCATTTTTTTTAAACCAGCTTTTTCGGCAAGGTGTGTCAATATGCCCCTTTATTGGGATCACATGACAATACTATAGCTATTCAGTAGGTGTAGAAAATGTTGTTTCATAATGACCTATTTACAATTGTCCAAAAACATATATTTTTTACCTGTGCTGCTATGTCGACAAGCTGGGGAAACTTGACTTGCATTCGTTCATCATCTCGCAGGTAGTCAAGTAAACTGCCGTGAGACATGAGCTCAGTGATGATGTAGATCGGCTCTTGTTCTGAACACACAGCATACAGACGCACCAGCTTATCATGCTTGCACTGCTTCATAATGTGAGCCTCAGCTAAGAAGGCAGTTACAGTCATGGATCCTTCCTTCAGTGTCTTAATAGCAACCTCTGTGGTCTTGTTCCAAGTTCCTACCAGCAGAAAACATCAACCAATAAAGATATATCTATACAGGTACTTATCAAACATAGCTCGCTGTAACAAAGAGTCAACAAAAAACAAAAATCTAGACTAAATAAACCACTGTATTGCTGCAAGCTTGAAGTTATTATACCATATGATGTTGTAAACATAAATAGATATGAATCAGAGCTGATGACAAGTTCTAGGGTTTGGTACTGATTTGTAACATGGTGCGACAAGACAGGACAGGATACAATGTGATGTAATAGATGGAAATGGATAACACTCCCCACTTCCCCTCTCCAAAATAAAATGGCAGGAGTGAGTTGGAAGATAGTCCATCATATTGTGTATATTTTGTAATGTTCTTGGGGAATTTAACCCCGCTATATCTGCCACCATCAAATGGCGCAAAATTACATGCCCAGCAACTGATTTACATGCATGGTAAATAAAATATTAGGAAATATATGTTATATGCCTGTGCACACGGTACTTTATGTACAGACATGCACCAACACCTGTCAATGTCTCTGACATCCGTAAGCTGATTTTCTACTGACCTCTCCAGACTTCTCCAAACTGTCCTGCCCCAAGTTTCTTGGTAAACTCCAATGTGTCTCTATTTATCTCCCAAGCATCCTTTGTTTCACGTGATAAGTCATCCATAACAGGCTTTGGCTTAGGACACGGTTTTGTGAGCATCCGACACAGTCCATCTGCTCCTTCTGCGAATGATTATATGATAAGCAATTGTTAGTTTTATCTTCATCTTTAACTCTTTGTTTACTCAATTCACCATTTTGGAGTTCGGAAACGGCTGGCAGAGCCAGGTTCTCTAAGTATGGCACTTTTTTGTGAACACAAGGCTGATTAAGCTCACTTCAATAAAAAAATTGTTTATGAATGTGTGGTGCTTTGAATAGCAGTATGTTGACATCATTTTTGCTGAAATTTATCATATCAAATTAGTAAAAATCTTTATATGGCTATAAATTTCAATCCTGATTGACAAATTGTCTGATTCACTGTGTTATTATGAGGATATTGCAATATAAAGAAAGATTTAGTTCAAAACAAAACATATTATTTTTTTCAATGAATTTATATATCTGTCACGTAAGCATGTATAGTTTGTCTATAAATGGTAAGTTTTAATTTGAGTTTGTTTTGCGGTGTAAGGACTCTTAATTGTCCGCACCACTGGGCGGATATACGTCACGGGCTTGACCGGTTGTGCACGGAATGGACACTTGTTTACGGTCCACAGTTTTGTGAGTTCGTGTAGCCGATATGTAAATATAGCTGTTTCCGATATTGTGAACAAGGCACAGACGACAGACTGTGGTAAATTATGTTTCTTTCTTCCGTTTCCATATGGTTTTTTTTCTGGCATTATTTTATCCATGCCGTCAAATCTATCGGGTCAAGCAATCGAGGTGTCGGTGCGCTTCAATCATGCGTAACTATTGTTGATACATGTAGTACACTTGTTTTGTGGTGTGTTTCTGCTATATCATTTTAATTTCATACTTCCTATTGATTTCTGGTGTATTTAGATAATATAAACATAATAGATTGTTGTGTGTAGAATTATTTAATAAATATAGGGTTCTTGTCCGTTTTAAAATTCTATGGAAGCCCTGAGCTAGAGCTATAGCGTTAGTTGGAGTGTGTACGCGCACTGGGTAAAAAAGTATGGAAGCCGTGAGACGCCAACTTCTATGAATTGTGCTTAGTCGTGTTTTTATAGCCATTTGGAGCCGCACACTTATCCCTTTATCTTTATTATATTGATTTACGTATATTTACAATATATTAATGAATATTTATATTATTGATAATTAATTATTAGTTAATTAGTATGCCAGGTGAGAGTGAATCTGTGTGACTACAGCATTATTTTCCACTATGTATTATTGTAGCTTCACATAACGGACTAGGATTCTCAGCTATCAAGCCAGGACCAGTCAGCTGTGCCAACTCATTGTGACTCCAGCGTCAGGACCGACCGGATAAGTTCTCTTCGCCAGGGTCAAGGTCAGCATGGAATACATGTGTTGGGTCGTTACGTAGGCCAGGGTCAGCGACTTGCTTGGAGGCTGAGTCACAGTATATCTACTATTGGGATGGCTGTCGTGTCAAGGACACTAGTGTGTACATCCCAGCTTTCCTGTCGTGTCTTGGACACTAGTGAGTTTGCCAATTTGGGCGTTTCAAGCAAGCATGGTGCTGCTTGATGTGTTTATACCTCTTGGCTCTGGATTGAGCGTGGTTGCAGGTTAGCGACTGTCTTGCACCGGAACTGTACCAGGATCCCATTCGTCGTTGTGTGTGTAGCTACAGACTGTAACTTGTAATAATTGTGTTTGTGAATGAGTGAATTAGTGAGTGTGACGTGTGGGTATTATAGGTTTTTTTTTTATTTAATCTCTTTATTGTCATCATTGTAAATAAACATTTGTCATTGCAATCAATCTTTTCGGTGTTCATTCCCCGGATCGCTGACCGACGCTCGTTCCACGTTAACAACATGGTGGCAGCGGTGGGATTAGCCAAAGTTAGTTGTTCGGGAATAGAATCCTGTTTGATTGGTTTCAAAGTCTAGATAACAGTTGAAATAACAGTCTCTTTCTATCCATTAGTATCTTTACCTTGTGCAATACGTGTATTTTCACCGGTGTAGTGTACATGCATTTTCACCTGTGTAGTGTACATGTTTTTTCATCTGTATAGTGTACATGTATTTTCACCTGTGTAGTGAACATGTTTTTTCATCTGTATAGTGTACATGTATTTTCACCTGTGTAGTGCACATGTTTTTTCACCTGTGTAGTATACATGTATTTTTACCTGTGCAGTACATGTATTTTTACCTGTGCAGTACATGTATTTTACCTGTGTACATGTATTTTCACCTGTGTACATGTATTTTTACCTGTGTATATGTAACTTTACCTGTGTGCATGTATTTTTACCCGTGTACATATATTTTTACCTGTGTTGTACCTATGTATTACTAACCTGAGTAATGGTGTATAAGTTCTGGCAAACTGTCCAGTACTCTTCGTGCTGCAATGTAGTAGCCTTTGTTTTCGTCCATGTTACGAATTTTGTAGTGTTTGACAGTGTCCCCTTTTGTGGACTCATGGTCATGCACAGACAACACATAGTTACCTGTAAAATATCACACAAACAATTTAACATGAACATCAATTAAGTTATCAGAAGGATGAGTCATCAATATACTAATCATTGTACAAAGGTATTTACCTGAAGTTGTACTGAGTATCTAACGATTTACCTGTAGACATTTTTACCTGTAGACATTCTAGGTATCTAACTCTAGACATACTGAATATCTAACACTGATATTTATCTGTAGACATACTGAATATCTAACACTGATATTTATCTGTAGACATACTGAATATCTAACACTGATATTTATCTGTAGACATACTGAATGTCTAACACTGATATTTATCTGTAGACATACTGAATACCTAACACTGATATTTATCTGTAGACATACTGAATACCTAACACTGATATTTATCAGTAGACATACTGAATATCTAACACTGATTTTTATCTGTAGACATACTGAATATCTAGCACTGATGTTTATCTGTAGACATACTGAATATCTAACACTGGTATTTATCTGTAGACATACTGAATATCTAACACTGGTATTTATCTGTAGACATTCCAAGTAGATTTACAAGTGTTTTGACTAACCTGGACATGTTTCACTTTCTCTGATTAAAAAGGTTCCAGGCTCTGTGCCGTGCCCCAGTAAGAGTCGTTCACTCTCCTTCCTAGACAGACTACCCATGAACCAGCTGAAAGGAAAGAAGTTTATTGTGTAAATCAATTTCATCCTTTTTTATTTGACACGCATATCGCACATCATTCGTTACTCGTATCCACGGGTGATTTTCTGAATCTCATACTTACTCATATGCATCCAAAGTATCTTCTTTTGCCACATAGTTACGGGGTATGTAACCTCCATCCTGGTTACTATATTTAGAATCAGTGTGTCTTGCTAGCCACCAGTCAGCATCACTATAATATATATAGAAAATGGATCTTGATTATTCATCAGTGATTTAACATGGATATACAAGGCAAATAAAACTAAACTTATCACAGTTCTTCCCCTCCCAGCACCCCCCTAACAAAATAACAAGTGCCCCTCCATCCATGCAATGTATTAGACTCTACCATACCTGGGTATTGAGAATAAGAGTTTTGATGTTTCAATCAATTTCACCATTTTTGGACCTGCCTCTCAAGCCCCTAGGGGTTGAGGACCATATAATTTTTAATTTTGATGCACTTTTGGCCATGCAAGGTTCATTGAATTTGGTTTAGGATTTTCATGAAAAAACCAAAAACGTTAAAAGTTAACAACACATGATGCCAGGAAAAGGTGATCACAAAAGGTCACTTCATCTATGAACATTGAGGTTCAGAAGTCTATATCTCACTTCATTGACAAACGAGTTTTAGATGTCCATGATAGTAGGGTTTAGTAGGCCACGACAGGTGAAGGAGGCTAAGACATTAGGGTGAAGGAAGCCAAGACATTAGGGTGAAGGAGGCCAAGACAGGTGAAGGAGGCTAAGACATTAGGGTGAAGGAGGCCAAGACAGGTGAAGGAGGCTAAGACATTAGGGGTTAGCAGTCTAAGACAGGTGAAGGAGGCTAAGACAGTAGAGTTTAGGAGTATCAGACGGTAGGTTTAGGAGTCTAATAAAGTAGGGTTTAGAAGTATCAGACAGTAGGGTTTAGGATTCTAAGACAGTAGGTTTAGGAGTCTAAGACAGTAGGTTTAGGAGTCTAATAAAGTAGGGTTTAGGAGTATCAGACAGTAGGGTTTAAGAGTCTAAGACAGTAGAGTTTAGGAGTCTAAGACAGTAGAGTTTAGGAGTATCAGACAGTAGGCTTTAAGAGTCTAAGACAGTAGAGTTTAGGAGTATCAGACAGTAGGCTTTAAGAGTCTAAGACAGTAGAGTTTAGGAGTATCAGACAGTAGGCTTTAAGAGTCTAAGACAGTAGAGTTTAGGAGTCTAAGACAATAGGTTTAGGAGTATCAGACAGTAGGTTTAGGAGTATCAGACAGTAGAGTTTAAGAGTCTAAGACAGTAGAGTTTAGGAGTATCAGACAGTAGGCTTTAAGAGTCTAAGACAGTAGAGTTTAGGAGTCTAAGACAGTAGAGTTTAGGAGTATCAGACAGTAGGTTTAGGAGTATCAGACAGTAGAGTTTAAGAGTCTAAGACAGTAGAGTTTAGGAGTATCAGACAGTAGGCTTTAAGAGTCTAAGACAGTAGGGTTTTAAAGTCTAATAAAGTAGGGTTTAGGAATCTTCAGATAGTACCAGAGCTAAGAGTATAACAAGGTTGTGTCTACTATTATTTACCTGTCATCAATAAGGAAGAGTAGATCACCCTTCTTAAAGCTGAGGTCATCCTCTGCACGGGCATCATAGTCATACAGGGCTCGCAGCTGGCCTTTGTGGGCTGAAACAACACAAATAGCACAAAAATAAAGTCATGTTTTTACTTTAAAACAAGCAAATACAAAATTTTGCATGATTTGAGCAAAAACAAAAATTGTATCAGGGATGAGACATTTTACGAAATACAAAAAATAAATCCTAAGAAATGGTGGCATGTAGCAGTGTAGGAGTATGATGTGACAGGACCTACCCTGTATCACCTCAGTTATTTATGTCTGATCAGGACCTACCCTGTATCACCTCAGTTATGTCTGATCAGGACCTGTACTGTATCACCTCAGTTATTTATGTCTGATCAGGACCTGTACTGCATCACTTCAGTTATGTCTGATCAGGACCTGTACTGTATCATCTCAGTTATGTCTGATCAGGACCTGTACTGTATCACCTCAGTTATGTCTGATCAGGACCTGTACTGTATCATCTCAGTTATGTCTGATCAGGACCTGTACTGTATCATCTCAGTTATGTCTGATCAGGACCTGTACTGTATCACCTCAGTTATGTCTGATCAGGACCTGTACTGTATCACCTCAGTTATGTCTGATCAGGACCTGTACTGTATCACCTCAGTTATGTCTGATCAGGACCTGTACTGTATCACCTCAGTTATGTCTGATCAGGACCTGTACTATATCACCTCAGTAATGTCTGATCAGGACCTGTACTGTATCACCTCAGTTATGTCTGATCAGGACCTGCCCTGTATCACCTCAGTTATGTCTGATCAGGACCTATACTGTATCAACTCAGTTATGTCTGATCAGGACCTATACTGTATCAACTCAGTTATGTCTGATCAGGACCTGTACTGTATCAACTCAGTTATGTCTGATCAGGACCTATACTGTATCAACTCAGTTATGTCTGATCAGGACCTGCCCTATATCACCTCAGTTATGTCTGATCAGGACCTGCCCTGTATCACCTCAGTTATGTCTGATCAGGACCTATACTGTATCAACTCAGTTATGTCTGATCAGGACCTGCCCTGTATCACCTCAGTTATGTCTGATCAGGACCTATACTGTATCACCTCAGTTATGTCTGATCAGGACCTGTACTGTATCACCTCAGTTATGTCTGATCAGGACCTACACTGTATCACCTCAGTTATGTCTGATCAGGACCTATACTGTATCACCTCAGTTATGTCTGATCAGGACCTGTACTGTATCAACTCAGTTATGTCTGATCAGGACCTATACTGTATCACCTCAGTTATGTCTGATCAGGACCTACACTGTATCACCTCAGTTATGTCTGATCAGGACCTGTACTGTATCACCTCAGTTATGTCTGATCAGGACCTACCCTGTATCACCTCAGTTATGTCTGATCAGGACCTATACTGTATCAACTCAGTTATGTCTGATCAGGACCTACACTGTATCACCTCAGTTATGTCTGATCAGGACCTACCCTGTATCACCTTAGTTATGTCTGATCAGGACCTACACTGTATCACCTCAGTTATGTCTGATCAGGACCTATACTGTATCACCTCAGTTATGTCTGATCAGGACCTATACTGTATCACCTCAGTTATGTCTGATCAGGACCTACCCTGTATCACCTTAGTTATGTCTGATCAGGACCTACACTGTACCTATCACTTTAGTTGTGGTGTTATCATTATAACTGTAGCAGTAACTTCCTGATTGAGAATCATAACAGATAAAATATCAACCAGGTAGATAGATAAGGTCATCTATACAGTGTTATGTCTGTGGCACGTCGTGTTACATACAAATTCCTCTATTGATAACATAATCTATTACAATTTTGCCAGTGAAATGAAGGAGTTTATCAGTTTGATGGGGTGGTATAACTAATCTGAGTTTTCTAGCCACTGCATTCAGATTTAATTTTCCTGTTGTATAGATAACGTTGAGTTAGTTTTCTATCAAGTCTTTTCCATGTACATTTTAATATGTGTATATGACATTCTTACTAGGTAACAGCACACAGTGGTAGACTACCACCAGGAGCAGTCAATTCAAATGGTGTCACTGTAATGTCAAACTATCAGATTTCGAAGAAAATGTTTAAATTTCCAAACATTTTCTGAATACTCCTTTATGTTATATTTGGATTTTTTTTTTTATTTTGCCTTTGAAAATGTAACAAAAAGAAAACTTATTTGTTTCCGAATCAAATATCATATATTTCACTCATATGACAAAATGTATCTGGTACATTTTCCCTAAGTGCAAATATAGATATTCTGTCATACTTGTGAAACATGTAAGATATTTAATGGAGAAATCTGTTTTTATCAAATTGATAAAAAGATTATACCATCATTGCAGGGATGATATAAAAAATCTTTTGAAGTTTTGACCCATCAGAAAGGTACTTAATAGACACTGTATTCCAATTCACAAATTTTCATGTATGGATACAAATGAAGAGAGGACAAAATATATGTTTTCATCAAATATTTTCCTTGTAAATTTCAGATTTTCACTGATCTGGTTTCAAAGCAGTTCTCTAAGCATGTTGTACCAGATAACCCTATAAAATGGTAAAATTTCACATAAAGTGACCAATTTAAATGGCATCTTATTTCATGTCAAAGACACCCTAACATTTTTTAATTCTGGTTATTTTATGGGGTAGAAGTCAATCACAATGCCTTTGATACTCAATATTCCTTCAATCACCCTGCATACCTTCGGGTATCCAGACGAAGAGGGTCAGGATCCTACTAACCTCCAACCGAACCGCACCCGGTGTTGGCTCTACTACCCCTCTCTATGCTTTATTTTATGTTTTTTGGGGGGTTTTTTGTAACTTTTTATTTTTTTCCAATTTTCAAACAATGCATAAATATAATATACAACAGATATTACCATGTATAACTTGCACCCTATACCACTCATTCATCAAACTTAGCTTAGGTTTATTTTATGTTACAATTAGCTTTTATTTCATTTTTTTTTTCACTTTAAAAAATGTAATAAAAGGAAAAAGGTGGATGTGATTTACACATTGGCACCAACTTATTATGATATTGGGTGTTATGATAGGTCAACTTGGACACTGAACTGTCAACAGGAGATAGTATGTTTTACAATCAATAGTTACTATACTCAGTGGTCTTTCTGATATATCTGAATAAATTAAACACAGTTAATTTGAAAATAAAAGCATACAAGATATGTTTGAAAAAGACAAGATACCCAAGGGAAAGCCATCCATATGCTACAATAATCTATCCTGTGATAGTTTTAAGTCAGAAACAGAACTTACAAAATTATCTTGCATGGATGTGCCTACCATGATTAAACATACATAAGTGAAGGTATCAATATAATTGAGATTTTATGTTTAATTCAATTGTCACAAAATATCAGTACCCATTATCATAATCTTGTTTTTCCACTCTGTTTTATTTACTACCAGGTTTGCCTATTATAGTACTTCTGGTTCCTGTGACCAGCTTGGTAAATATCACAATGGATAGCATACTATGATATTTTTTTCTAGAAAACAGAATATCATAACACACTGTTGTGGGTTCCACTGTATAAAGTTTCCAGCTACATAATTACATATTTTTCACATACAGCATACATATATAAAAAGAATACAGATATTATGCCATATTCAAGAAACACATTTGATATCATACGAGAAAGCAAATGTACTTTATTTACAGCTGATTCCTTAAAAAAGGCCCAGATCACATGGTATTGTTGCATCACAGTTATACACTAAGTACACAGCTGATCAGGATAATATACTTATTGTGTCACTCTGTGCTGGTCCAACCTCTTCTGTCTCTATTCTCGTGGCATTGTTTCATTTCTATTTTTTTTATATCACAGTGGGTCAGATCACATGAATGACTGTGGTTTGTATATTTACTAGATAACAGAACAGTCACATGATCAACATTAATCTCCTACATACTATAATGTAAATAGAGTATACTTCCTTATAAGGGCATGCTATCACTCCTTATAAACACACAATATACAATATATGCATGTATAAGTGTAGAAGGTTTTGTACATATGAATCAGTATACTGTATTAAATAAGTAAGGTACACATATACGAGACAATCTAATCTGACACCCTGTGGGACTCTGTCATACTGCTGAGTTTAACCTGTCTAATCTGACACCCTGTGGGACTCTGTCATACTGCTGAGATTAACCTGTCTAATTGACACCCTGTGGGACTCTGTCATACTGCTCAGATTTACCTGTCTAATCTGACACCCTGTAGGACTATATATACAATGAATGATGCACAAATAAAAGCATTTTTATACATATATATTAACAGGGACAGCACTATCTCAGCTGCATAACAACCCTTTTCAATCCTCAGAAAAGTTTTGTTTTCAGAATATGAAACAGAATTTGCCATCAGTAAAACTTTACTGACCCCTGAAATAAAAGACTCTTGGTATTATCTGACACAAGACTAGATCAATGCCTTAACACTTTACAATTAATATTATAATAGTTAATAGAAGTTCATGCATAGATCTTTTACTACACCAATACTAAGCTATAGAGAGAAGGAGGATCACTGGTATTGTATAACACAATATACATTACCTCTCGTTCTGTGGTAAGCTGAAATGCCAGGAATTTATTTATTTACAAAAAGCTCCATCAGATACCAGTAATAACTTTGTGACCCATTCAGTATGTATCATTCACAAGATACTTCAGCTTTCATATCAAACACTTATTTGTGACTTATATTTGTAAGTTTCTCCCAAAATATGAGGTATTATAAAGCCTCAAATAAAAAATTAAAAAAAAAAAAAAAATAGAAATAAAATATTATTTTAAGCACTTACCTCCTTTTTTCGTATTTAACGCTGTCTCTCTGAAGCTGGTAAAGGCCCTTGATTTACACAAAATTGAGTATTCTTCCCCAGAACATTAGAAAAGTGAATTCAGACAAAACGTTTTCAGGCAAAAAGAAGGAAAATGGTTTTAAATCTTACTCCTCTATTTCCTCTATTATGGCATGAGCTCAGGTGGGAAGAGGGGATCGGACCCATCATTTATAAAACAAAACAGCCTATTTATCTAAGTAGAAAAAAATTTCAAACTCTTTCCTTCTGTTTTCCCTATTGAGCCCTGCCCCTCTGGCCCCAAGGGGACCTAAGTCTAAATACTGGTCTAATCCCAGGAAGCAGAGACCAACAATTTACACAAAAAAGTTCTCCTTCCTCCAAAAAGGCTCCTGATTGACACACCACCCAACAGAGAATCAGACCTATTCATTCAACTAAGCTTAATCTGCTACACCTTAGGCTGCTTCAGACAAAATTTAAATAAAAACCCTTTCTACTCTACAGAATCTTTAAGAGTTTGCTATATTTGTGTACCCTACTGGCTTGGCATCTCAGGCCCCTGGGGCCAAGACCCTCCATTTGTACACAAACAATATTTCTTCCCAAAAGGATGCTTCTGATGAATTTGACAAAATAATGTCATTCTACTTTACTAAAGAAGGGTTTTAAAAACTTTGCTATATATCCCATATTGGGCCCCCCTCTATGGCCCACTGGGGCCAAAACCATCCCTTCCATAGTCATTCCCGTTCTTCCATGGATGCCTCTCATAAAGTATGGTCAAAGTCATTCATGACTAGTATGTGTAGCGTTTTAACAAAAAAGTGCCAAACGCCTTGCCATGTCAAAAGCCTTCAGACTGGTGAGCTAAAAACACCTCAGATAAAAGTTTCTGCCAAGTTGTAGAATGTCAACATCATTTATTTCTATACACAGAAAGAGAATTAATTCTTGCTTTAAATTTACAGGCTAATAGTGCATCTGGTATATACATTTATTGTTGTATAGCAACTTTATCTATCCAATGAGGAAGATACTTGCTGAATACTTCAACACGAGATATTTATACACTTCCTGACCACAACCTAACAGTACAAAGTTCTGTCTTAGTGTCATCACCAGTGACGGGAACCCTATCACTGTGGTAAAGTTAGTAGATAACACAAACATCAACACAGGAAGTATATCATTTATAACCTCACAAATTGTTTTTCTATATAAATATAATTATTACAGCCAATCAAGACAATGAAGCCATTTCCTACAGACCAGTTCATTTTGTATGGCCAGTCTCTCCTTTGAAAACCAGTTATGCCATGTACACTCAAAATTTTACTGACAGGTCTAAAATTCAGAATACACATTTTTTTCTTAATTGTTTGGGTACAAGTCATAAATGGAAGGTTGGATCATTTGTTTTCAAACTCCAGTTCCATGAGTAATTAACTGTTACAAGACCTATACTTATAAGTCAATTCTCCAAGATCTCTTTCCAACAATAACTGTAAGATAAATGAGAAATCTGAGAGGGATCTCTTGGTTATGTATAAGTTGGACCTTGCTTGCTCTTTTGTCTGCCACATAACTAGAGACTAGGGGCACCCTGTACATATATATCATGGCAAACCTGCAACATCCAAGTGCATGGCCTCAATCATGTATATTTCAGCTGATATCAAAACATCTTTGTTCACAATTACATGAAGTGTTTCTCAAATGAAGAATATAAAGATCGTATAACTTAATCTGGCCGATACGCATTTCATCTGCAAAGAAGAGTGATCTTGGGTCCTTTATATCTAGCTATTTATCTTCATCTCCATAGTCAATTTCAACCTTGTAGGGAGACCAATGTCTGCCTACAAATTTAGACAGTAACTACAGGTAACCATGCTGTTAGGTGTTTGAGGGCCACAGGTCAGTTAAGAACCAACTTTTGACAATAGCAACAGCAAATGTTCCACAACGAAAACCCCAATCTTAGGTGTCTTTTGTTTCGATAACCCAATCTTAGGTGTCTTTTGTTTCGATAACCCAATCTTAGGTGTCTTTTGTTTCGATAACCCAATCTTAGGTGTCTTTTGTTTCGATAACCCAATTTTAGGTGTCTTTTGTTTTGATAACCCATAATCCTCATAATTACTTCTAATCTAATACTTCAGCCTTCGATACATTCAGTTATCCTTGACACTGAAATTTACAACATCCTTATTACCCAAGTAGCTGTATTTACTGTACGCATAGATAAATGATAAACTGCATGCAAGGTAAATAGCCATGTATTTTTTTATGAAAGTCGATGTTGAATAGATCTGTGTTTTAATTTGTAGTGCTTGATTATCTCTATTTTGCTTCAATCACCAAGTAAATCACAAGAAAAAGAAAACTGTTTGCAAAATTTGGTCTGCTCAAAATCCTATTCGTCAAACATACTGCTACATAAGTACACCATGACCTTTTACTTGCTGAAAGAAGAAATTTAAGTTCTCAACACATATGATTCCTATGATTTTGAATGTGGGTTAAGGTCAATCGTTTGAATAAAATTGGTAGTGTTCATCCAATACTGCTGCAAAAAATATTAAAAACCAAGGCTGTTTGGTTATCGAGGAAAAGTAGTTTAAAGTTTGTGACATGATTGACCCCTGTGATCTTGAAAGTGGGTCAGGGTCATTTTTACTTCAACAAACAAGGTAGCCCTTCATCCCAGCATGTTACAGAACCAATATCAGTAGCCTTGGCCATTAGTTTATTGAGAAGTTGTTTGAAGATTTTTACACATTTGACCTCTGTTATCTTAAAAGTAGGTCAAGGTCATTCATTTACACAAACCTTGTAGCCCTTCCTCCCAGCAACCACTATGTCCAATATCGCACCCTAAGCCTTTGGTTATTGAAAAAAGTAATTAGAATGGAAAGTTAACACAGGGTAACAACATGAAATAAAATAGCTATAGGTCATCCTGACACTTGTGTTCACTGAATTGTCATACTAGGATAATTTTTACTGTACCTGTCCAGGCTGCTGGTTCACTGTTTTGTCACAATAAGATTATTACTGTACCTGTAGAGACTACCGGTTCACTGTTTTGTCACAATAAGATTATTACTGTACCTGTAGAGACTACCAGTTCACTGTTTTGTCACAATATGATTATTACTGTACCTGTTGAGGCTGCTGGTTCACTGTTTTGTCGTCCCGTACTTTTTGTTGGATCCTCTGTATAACGTTCTCGCTTTTTCTCTGTAGATCCAGTTGACTCCTCTGCTCCTTTACTGTTTATGTCGGAGAACTGAATGTTGGAAGCACTATTTTTGTCCTTGCTTTGGCAACAACCCATGATGAGTGTCTTGTTAGTATCACTACTGTAAATAAATTGAAACAGATGGACACTTATCAGTTCTGTGTCCCAGACTGAGGTCAGTGGATAGTCAGTGTGAACATATGCAACTCCTGTAAAATCCAGTCATGATGATCAATCTGAAAAAAAACAAAAAATCTGTAAAATTTAATGCGTACCTGATATACAGTACATTTGACAATAAGTTATATGAAGTAGGCACTTCCTAATAGCTTGTTCAATGTGTTAAATACAATCAGAGGCAAATTAGCTGTTTCCTGGTCATTGAATCATCAAAAAACATTGATGTGTCTTTATATTTTCAAACAAGAGACATCTGTCAATACATTAAGAAAATCTACTAACCAACTGATCCAGTAAACTCTTGTACCACTCAAAGGGGATAGCAATGATATGTCTTCATATTGAGTGGATAGCATGACTTAGTACAAGAAATCATCATGTCATATCAGAGACATATATATATATGTTATATATGTCTCTGGTCATATCCATCTGTGTTATAGTAGTCAGTATGTCCAATTTACAAATTTTCTTTAGTTTTCGGGTGCCTGATGCTTAAAACTGGACATAAGATTAACACACAAGAGGCCCATGGGCCTTAATGGTCAGCTGATATAAAATACAAGATTTCAAATTTTGAACTTGAGAAGAAGTCAAAAATTGTGTTTTCAAGATGGCGGCCATGTTGACCATGTTGGATTTCGGACCAACCCGAAATTAACAAACTTTGGTCAGGATCATGTCAGGATCATTGCAGGTAAGTTTCAGCTCAATGAGACATGTAGAACTTGAGAAGAAGTTGAAAATGTTTACGACGGACAACGTATGATGGACGACACCAGACAAAAGGCGCTCGCAATAGGTCATCAGACCCTTCAGTCAGATGACCTAAAAATCAACTGTGATTTTATCCTGATTGATTAAATAATAATTAACTGGTTTCAAATTGTTAATGTGTATGTTTTTAAAAATTTTGTTTTGAATTATTTCCACATGAATGTTTGTAGGAATATTTTGTATGTCATCTTGTCACACTTTGATTTTACCTTTGTGTACAAAGGATTTTAGTACAGCCAAACCCTTACCATCTGGTACACTATGTATATCAGTTCTGGTACACTTCACATTGGTCATTTGTCTGATGGTGATGGTAAAGTCATCAAAACACTCAAATCTTCTACTGGTTGTGTTATAAGAACTTTCATTCAAATAATATTACCAACCTGAAGAAAATGTTCATAAAAATATTTCTTAACCAATCAATATTTCTTAACCAATCAATATTTCTTAACCAATCAATATTTCTTAACCAATCAATCTTAACCAATCAATATTTCTTAACCAACAGTCAATATTTCTTAACCAATCAATATTTCTTAACCAATCAATATTTCTTAACCAATCAATATTTCTTAACCAATCAATCTTAACCAATCAATATTTCTTAACCAATCAATCTTAACCAATCAATATTTCTTAACCAATCAATCTTAACCAATCAATATTTCTTAACCAATCAATATTTCTTAACCAATCAATATTTCTTAACCAATCAATATCTCTTAACCAATGTCTGAAGTTCCTATTCCCTTCAGCGAACAAGTCAGCCAGCTCTCCAAGGCTGATAGGACACACAGTTTGTTGGAATTTGTTGGGATCAACTTGTAACACATAATACCATAAAGCACTCACTGCACTTAATATAATCTAATAACTTTTTTTAATGTGTTTCTGAGGAGGTTGATGTAAAAGTCTGCACTGTCACATTGAATATTGAAACAAGAGATCCCATCCATGAAATCTTGGCACCCACCATAGTATCATCTGATCAATTATAACTGAAAATGCTTAATAATTACGGCTACTGAAAATACACTTATGATATTTGACAAAGATCCATTCAGTATGTCTCCAAAAATAGTGATCACAAACTCTAATTTGATAATTCAAGACAGCTGCCTGTTGAATATGGATGAAGAGATCACATTTAGTACTTTTCCAGAAAGGGCAATGCCATTACTGACAAAAGAGATCCAAGATATATTGGTGCCAATTACAATAACATCTTTATTTTTTTAATGAATTTTATCTTTTCCCTTCTTTCCTCCTGTTTTTGCAAAGAAATAACAAATAATTTAGTAAATTCATAAATGGTCACTTTTTGACCTTTTCAGTTTTCTGACCAGTAAAATCCATTCAATCAAACATACAAAAATTATCTACTTCCATTCTCTCAAACATACAAAATTATCTACTTCCATTCTCTCAAACATACAAAATTATCTACTTCCATTTTCTCAAACATACAAAAATTATCTACTTCCATTCTCTCAAACATACAAAATTATCTACTTCCATTCTCTCAAACATACAAAATTATCTACTTCCATTTTCTCAAACATACAAAATTATCTACTTCCATTCTCTCAAACATACAAAATTATCTACTTCCATTTTCTCAAACATACAAAATTATCTACTTCCTTTCTGTCAAACATACAAAATTATCTACTTCCATTTTCTCAAACATACAAAATTATCTACTTCCATTTTCTCAAACATACAAAATTATCTACTTCCTTTCTGTCAAACATACAAAATTATCTACTTCCATCCTCTCAAACATACAAAAATTATCTACTTCCATTTTCTCAAACATACAAAACACTTCACTTCTTCCTTATAAAGTTCATACACATATATATATAAATGGAGAATACTTGTTTCCATCAACAGATGACAGTTTCCTGTTATTCAATAATCTATCTTCAGTGAAAGCTAGGATGGCCATCTAAGTAGGTACATAAGTACACAACGCATAGGACACATGTCCAGATAGTAAACATATCAGATACCTGGGTATATGACTCAGCGTTCTAGGAAATCCCCAAAATCATGGCTGTCCTATTGTTAATGAGTTTATTTGTAATTTGTAAACATTAACATTGATTTTATTAAGAATTTGTTTAAGTAACAAGAATATTATTTACAATTTGGTGTTATATCTTGTTCTGCTTTTCTTAAGTTTGATTATCTTTATGCAAACTGCAGTACTTCCTGGTTCACTTTAACTTACAGCATGTAAGCCAATATTCATGTTTTGTAAACCATCACTTCTTGTAAAATCATACATATATACTATATACCCGTATATTTTTTGCTCAAGGTTAATTTTGCTCTTGTTCCATTATACACAAATTTGTCTCCTATTCATTTCGCCCTCTGGTCATTATATAAAAGGGTTATATAACCTAGCTTCACAGATGAAACTAGACTCGACAGTAACTAAAACTTCAAATTCACCAAACTCAGCTTGGTGTGACCCTATTTTTCCAGGATTTTACAACTTCCTCTTAGTGGGATGCCCTGCATACCATCTACTGTATCCAAGAGGGCACTGACAACCTTACTAAGCCTAAACTACCAGGATTGGCTTTTCATTCATATATCTTTATACTTTGGAAAGGTTATATAGGTGCTGCAGGTTTTTGTCCCCATCTTAAAATTGCTTAAAATAGATGAAAAGGGCAAATAGAAACTGGTGTGAACATTTCCCAGAATACATTATGTAATTTATGCTTTTAGACTATCAATCTAATATGAGAAAACACAAATATTCTGATAATTTACAATATATATTTTAATATCAATCATTATCGATCTTCTATGATTTCTCAAAATCTGAGGATCACCACTAGAAATACACAATCATGAGGCCCATTACAAGAGACAGTGTCTCTCACCTGGTTTGGTTGGAATGAAATTGCTTCATTTGAACTACAAGTATCTTAACAATTGATATCAATTTCCCCTATTAGGCACTGCCCCTCGTACCATTAAGTTTAGCACCACAAATAAATAAACAAGAGACCTATGGGCCTTCACAGTCATCTGACTACAAAAAAACTTTCAGCAAGGAAAAGGGTTATTTTTTCTACTTTGAATGAAATCTTAATAAGAAGCTGTTTTCCATAATGCAGATGGTGGTTTTGGTGAGGAGTAGGTAAATGTAACAAGTGTTACCTATTTTTGAGAGTAAAATTGGAACAATGCACAATTAGGGACCAAGGGAAATAAACATGAAAATTAAGAATGTTTCATGAGAAGCACTGAATGATCAGAGATAACAAGAATTGTTTAAAGGCAGAGGAACAGATCACTGATGACAAGATTAAACCACAGATGCAGGGAGATTTGTACAGAAAACCTTAAAAAAAACCCAGAAATATCTGGAAAAAGGGAGATATTAATAGTTAGTTTGTTTACTAGAGAGAAATGAATTTCACATTACAATGTCTTGGGTGACCTAGCTGGAAACTTGTGACTGTTTAAGTAATTATAATATGTAACAGCCTTATAAGCATCATTCATTGTCTTTTGGTATTTCAAAACATGACATTGAAATCACCTGTCTGTAGAAGTTGATGTTCAATAACACAAAATAAAACTACTGTATTTTTCGTTTGCACACAAGTTTAAGCCACAGAGCCAGTTTTTCGCTTTTCCTATTTGATCCACATATAAGATGCACTCTTTCTTACAATATGATAACTGTTATGTTGACCAAAGTTTGTTGATATAACAGACAATAGAAGGTAATTTATCAAGATCGTCAGTGAAACATTTTATAAAGTTTGCAAATGAATCATACACAGAAAATCCTTTATTTTATTGATGTCTTCAAAAAAAGTAAAGAAGCAAATATTGAACTCGTTTGGCTTGGGTGCCTTCATAGATTGTCTATGCACAGGGCCTGGCGTTATGTATGATTTACTAAACAATCTCTCCATTTGTGTCCATACTGTAAAATATTAATGCAGGCACTTGCATGCTGATAAAATTCTTATAGTCCTATACTATTTCTTATGAGTTACATGAAACCAATCATATCATAAACAAGTTTGGCGATCAACTAGAATTTGACCTATGACCTATCGATCCCAGGATGCAAAAGGCCATTGTAAACTTACGTTATGGCTTCGAAAGTCCAGAAGACATTATTGTGATTCATAATAAAAGGTATGATTAATAAAATCCATGAGAATGTCTTTTTTTTATTCCAAGCTTAAATTATCCTGTATGCAGTTGTAAATGACGATTCTAGACATCTGTTTCAGTCACATACATATGACGGCAGGTACTCATAAAAAAACTTGGTACCGTCTTGTACTGTTGATATTCATCCTGCCATTTTTTTTATCCACATATAAGTTGCATCAGTATATAAGCCACATACCCGACTCACAAGGAAAATAGGTGCAGCTTATAATCTGGAAAATAGGGTGGTTGTATTTCAAACTTATATTTTGAATTGTTTCTCCTGAATATTATATCAAAAGATATGCAACAATGATCACTTAAGTATATATTGTTGCAATAAAATATCAAACAATCATGAAATTCAAAACGCCATCTAGTTAATGAAAATTTGAATCTCCTTACTGCTATTGATTAATGTGATAGCACAAGATGGTGGCCTATAGCACAAGGATGTATGATGGTAATAATGTGATATAATAAAAAGTGTCATCCTCCAGGATCATGGAATAAAAATACCCTAAATTTTCCATTGTTGTTTATAATAAATAGTCATAAAATTCATCTGAAGTGGTTCAAGAGGTTCTGTAGTTATCAGTGTCTCCTGTTACTCGATGCAACACAAGGAAATTATATACTCTACACATGTACAAACCAATTAAATGGAAATCAGATCATTAGGCCCGTCAAAGTTATCATAAATTGTAATAGCCTTAAGGACTTCCATAACAAAAAGACGGTGACATAAAACAACCTTATTTCTTTGTAAACAAAAGCTTTGAAATCTATTTTGACAAAATTCCATCATGACATCCTATAAAAGCCATTCTTTTCATTGAATTCTAATCTTAGTATTATTCATTTTCTGTATAATAGGAAAAATTTGTCAACATTTGCCAGTCCAGACATAAAACTGTTCACCTTCACAAAATCTTTAATTGTGTCTAACATACAGGAAACATGTATTTCACCATAGGCATCTTATGGTAGCCCATCATATAAAGGGTGATTGAAGCAAAAGCTTAGCTGCAGCAAATTTTCCACCATTTACAGTTATTGAAATAAAACCTGCTGAATGTCATCACTTTACACTAACAATCACTGATTCCATCTTGAAACATTCCTAAACCCTACAAAATCAATACACCAGGATGTGTTTGTGAGGGAGATTGAACACTCATGGCCTGCTTCAGTTCCACATTAGATACAATCAGTTATCAACATTTTCTTTTTGTAAACATTTTCAGCAGCAAAAAGGGATAGAAGGTTTACAAATTTTATAATAAAGTTTATAGATTTGTTTCAAATATAGGACTTTACATGTAAGATAGTTTTTAAACAACAAGTTAGATTAAAACCAAGAAATACAGGGTAACATCTGTCATTTCATTTAACATTAAAACCTTTAACCCATTTTCATGCTAAAACGTTGCAAGGCAAATGATGACAGTCATACAAAATTTTACTGGACAAAAGGTAATATAACAAGGCTTTTCAGGATAAACTATGACAGTATAACAAGGTTTTAGTGCACAAATAATGGCTGTATAACATGCTTTTCCTGAGAAAATGATTGCAGTTAAATAAAAGGGTTTTACCACATGAATATGTGTAGTTTAGCAACGTTTTACTTCACAAATGGTTGCAGAATACCAAATTCATACGGGACAAATGGTGGCTGGATAACAAGGTAATACTGGACAAACTGTCAGTATAACACTTATAAAACTTCTCTGCCTAGTTAAAAAATCTACATTGGTCACACCATGGAACCAGTATTGAGTGCAAAGAATTTCCAAACAAAAGTCTACTGATTTATGATCATAACAGATCTCAGAAGGATCTTGGGCCAATCCATTGTCTAGTCTTTATTTATTCTTTTCCCTTACTTCCTCTGTTTTAGGTTGAAACCTTTTTCTTCTTAAGATATTGTTACAACAATCTTTAACTGTCAAATTCACGGTGGTCGCCTATCAGCCATCTTGTTTGTCTGATCAACACCAAAATGGAAAGGCCAAGGGGATGTATGTGAAATTGGAGAAAAATTGCCGTTTTATTACTCTATACCAGAGACGTATATATATATGTCTCTGTCTATACCAAATAAACATTATAACAATCAACTGGATTCTTTCTTATTCTTCTATATACAAAAGATATCAATACTAAAGCATTGCAGTATTCTGCAGATTACTGACATCGATTGCTAGTAATAATGTAAAAACAGTATGCCTATTAAAGTTACTCCTTTTGGAATAGGTAAATATAAAAAAATCCTACGTACAATTGCAAGTTCCAGAAATATAGAGTATTTGTTTTGTTCTCACATATGACTCATTCTTACTGGGTGTTTTTGGGTAAGACTGAGGTGTTTTTTTTAGTGTTTTGGGGTAAATCTTCGGACTGGGCATTTGTCTCAAGACCTTGACCACACACTGATGGGATGCAGAAAAACAATATTATATTCATGAAACATAAAATACAAAATATCATTTTAAAAATTGAAGTATCCTCCTATTTATTGATAACCATTTAATTAAAAATATTTTTTCATTTGAAAATCATGATAATGGGTGCAACATTACGGCGAATTCAAACAATTTGTATTCTCCACAAATGACAAACCACTTTACAAAATCGTAAAGATTTCTAGAGTAAAGATTACTTCTACCACAAACATAAAACCTGATGTCAAATCAATAAATAAAAAAAAAAACACTTTTCACGATAATGGGTCGCCAATCAGAGTACTAAACCACTGCGCTGACACTGGTATAATAATAGAAGTACGCCGACTGCCTTCCGCACAACCGAGTCCATGGGGTCAAATGATCTGCTCAATATCTGATTTGTTATAATTACAATGTTTATGATCGTTACAACAAAAAATATTGCTCAAATAGTAATCAACGGTGGTATGGACAACATAATTTAGGTAAAACAATCTTGCAACAATTATAACAAACGCAAATATTATCACAACCAACAAGGAAGTAGTGGGATCGTCGGACAAGCCCAATGAAATAGTCTCCGGGTTGTTTTGATATAAGAAAACACGAAACAGTCGAGATCCATGTTCACGACAATGTGTTTGTGAATTCTATGAGATTTAGTTTACCTGTTTGTTCTGTTGGTTAGTTGGTCTTCACCCTTCGCCTCCTGTAAACATGACACATCATACCAGTCCGTTGCAACAAATCTGAGACACCGTCTTCTGTCATGTACAGTTTCAGGAAGTAAATCCCACTGATCGCAGTGCCCTGCCCGCATTTCAAGGGGCGATAACTTCGTCACGCGCACACTGATTCGCGCCAAATATTTGATTGATATACTTAATAATATGATCTGCTGACTGTCAACTGTACTGCAACATTTGACAGTCTCTGGAACTAGTTTCATTGTACACATATATATAAACTCTTCCGGAAGCTTGCAGTTCCGGGTGTATGGGGTTTTAGTATTTCTTATTGTATCAAATATATTTAACGGAGATCAGGCACATAATAATTAATATACAACACCTTAATATTAATACAAGATGACATAAATATACATATTGATTTCGCTCTTCCAATGGAGGTACGGTAGAAGTGAGATACAAATAAATGTATAAGGAGGGGAAATGTACATTACGGGTCGGCTACATTTTCAGTTTTCAGTTTTGAGGAATAGCACGTGTTTTTTTTCTTTCTTTTTTTAAATTTAATAAAGAATATTTTCAGACAGAGCGAATTAAATTCTTTCCCATGCCAACCCGATAACTTTACCTCACAAGTCATAACTTATCTAGATACACGATAACTTTACCTCACAAGTCATAACTTATCTAAATACTGTATAACTTTACCACACAAATCATAACTTATCTAAATACTGTATAACTTTACCACACAAATCATAACTTATCTAAATACTGTATAACTTTACCACACAAGTCATAACTTATCTAAATACTGTATAACTTTACCTCACAAGTCATAACTTATCTAGATACACGATAACTTTACCACACAAATCATAACTTATCTAAATACTGTATAACTTTACCACACAAGTCATAACTTATCTAAATACTGTATAACTTTACCACACAAGTCATAACTTATCTAAATACTGTATAACTTTACCACACAAGTCACAACTTATCTAAATACCCGATAACTTTACCTCACAAGTCATGACTTATCTAAATACACGATAACTTTACCACACAAGTCATAACTTATCTAGATACACGATAACTTTACCACACAAGTCATAACTTATCTAAATACTGTATAACTTTACCACACAAGTCATAACTTATCTAAATACTGTATAACTTTACCACACAAGTCATAACTTATCTAGATACTGTATAACTTTACCTCACAAGTCATAACTTATCTAAATACTGTATAACTTTACCACACAAATCATAACTTATCTAAATACTGTATAACTTTATCACACAAATCATACTTATCTAAATACTGTATAACTTTACCTCACAAGTCATAACTTATCTAAATACTGTATAACTTTACCACACAAGTCATAACTTTAAATACCCACACAAGTCATAACTTATCTAAATACCCAATAACTTTACCACACAAGTCATAACTTATCTAAATACTGTATAACTTTACCACACAAGTCATAACTTATCTAAATACTGTATAATAACTTATCTTTACAACAAGTCATAACTTATCTAAATACTGTATAACTTTACCACACAAGTCATAACTTATCTAAATACTGTATAACTTTACCAAACAAGTCATAACTTATCTAAATACTGTATAACTTTACCTAACAAGTCATAACTTATCTAAATACTGTATAACTTTACCACACAAGTCATAACTTATCTAAATACTGTATAACTTTACCTCACAAGTCATAACTTATCTAAATACTGTATAACTTTACCACACAAGTCATAACTTATCTAAATACTGTATAACTTTACCACACAAGTCATAACTTATCTAAATACTGTATAACTTTACCACACAAGTCATAACTTATCTAAATACTGTATAACTTTACCACACAAGTCATAACTTATCTAAATACTGTATAACTTTACCACACAAGTCATAACTTATCTAAATACTGTATAACTTTACCACACAAGTCATAACTTATCTAAATACTGTATAACTTTACCTCACAAGTCATAACTTATCTAGATACTGTATAACTTTACCATACAAGTCATAACTTATCTAAATACTGTATAACTTTACCACACAAGTCATAACTTATCTAAATACTGTATAACTTTACCACACAAGTCATAACTTATCTAAATACCCGATAACTTTACCACACAAGTCATAACTTATCTAAATACCCGATAACTTTACCACACAAGTCATAACTTATCTAAATACTGTATAACTTTACCACACAAGTCATAACTTATCTAGATACCACAACTTTACCACACAAGTCATAACTTATCTAAATACTGTAAAATAACTTTACCACACAAGTCATAACTTATCTAAATACTGTATAACTTTACCACACAAGTCATAACTTATCTAAATATAACTTATCTATAATACTGTATAACTTTACCACACAAGTCATAACTTATCTAAATACTGTATAACTTTACCACACAAGTCATAACTCATAACTTATCTAAATATAACTTATCTAAATAACTTTACCACACAAGTCATAACTTATCTAAATACTGTATAACTTTACCACACAAGTCATAACTTATCTAAATACTGTATAACTTTACCACACAAGTCATAACTTATCTAAATACTGTATAACTTTACCACACAAGTCATAACTTATCTAAATACTGTATAACTTTACCACACAAGTCATAACTTATCTAAATACCCAATAACTTTACCACACAAGTCATAACTTATCTAAATACCCAATAACTTTACCACACAAGTCATAATTTATCTAGATACTGTATAACTTTACCACACAAGTCATAACTTATCTAAATACTGTATAACTTTACCACACAAGTCATAACTTATCTAAATACTGTATAACTTTACCACACAAGTCATAACTTATCTAGATACTGTATAACTTTACCACACAAGTCATAACTTATCTAAATACACGATAACTTTACCACACAAGTCATAACTTATCTAAATACTGTATAACTTTACCACACAAGTCATAACTTATCTAAATACTGTATAACTTTACCACACAAGTCATAACTTATCTAAATACTGTATAACTTTACCACACAAGTCATAACTTATCTATACTGTATAACTTTACCACACAAGTCATAACTTTACCTTTACCACACAAGTCATAACTTATCTAAATACTGTATAACTTTACCACACAAGTCATAACTTATCTAAATACTGTATAACTTTACCACACAAGTCATAACTTATCTAAATACTGTATAACTTTACCTCACAAGTCATAACTTATCTAAATACACGATAACTTTACCACACAAGTCACAACTTATCTAAATACCCGATAACTTTACCACACAAGTCATAACTTATCTAAATACTGTATAACTTTACCTAACAAGTCATAACTTATCTAAAAATCATAACTTATCTAAATACTGTATAACTTTACCACACAAGTCATAATTTATCTAGATACTGTATAACTTTACCTCACAAGTCATAACTTATCTAAATACCCGATAACTTTACCACACAAGTCATAACTTATCTAAATACTGTATAACTTTACCACACAAGTCATAACTTATCTAAATACTGTATAACTTTACCACACAAGTCATAACTTATCTAAATACTGTATAACTTTACCACACAAGTCATAACTTTACCACACAAGTCATAACTTATAGATACTGTATAACTTTACCACACAAGTCATAACTTATCTAGATACACGATAACTTTACCACACAAGTCATAATTTATCTAAATACCCGATAACTTTACCTCACAAGTCATAACTTATCTAGATACCCAATAACTTGACCTGACAAGTCATAACTTATCTAAATACCCGATAACTTGACCTGACAAGTCATAACTTATCTAGATACTGTATAACTTTACCATACAAGTCATAACTTATCTAGATACTGTATAACTTTACCTCACAAGTCATAACTTATCTAAATACTGTATAACTTTACCACACAAGTCATAACTTATCTAGATACTGTATAACTTTACCTAACAAGTCATAACTTATCTAAATACACGATAACTTTACCATACAAGTCACAACTTATCTAAATACCCGATAACTTTTCCATACAAGTAATAAAGTGGTTCAATATTCAAACAACTTCACAATTTGATTGAAAATTCTATGCACGCCCCTCCCCATTCTAACCCCCACCTTCACTACTAACATAATGGTAAAGAATAAAATATTTGTTTTCGAACACTAAGAAAATTGTATTTTTCACCTTAATTCACATTAGTCATAAGGAACATATAATATTCTGTTGTGGTAATTCCTGTCCAAATATTAGCAATCAGATAATACACAAAATATATGCATGTATACCTATATTTGTTGTTCAGGATCAGGGACTTTTCTGTTAAGGAAAATATGCATAAAAACAGCTCCGGCGAGTATTCCAGTCTAAGCCTTTCATGTTATCTAGATACAAGTTACATCAATCAGAAATAATTCAAATAGACTCTGAAACACTGCAACACTTTCAAATCAGCCCATATATCAACTTGCAAGATTCATTGACTTCACTGTCCAAAAACAAAATCCTCTATGGAAACAGTTGATGATAACTGGTTACTTTAGGGTGGGATTGCTAAGGAAGTTCCGACATCTTCATTTCGTTGCTTTGCAACGAAGTAAAAAAGACCGCATTAGCAAACCCCAACCAAAGGCCACCAGTGACCAATGTCGTCATTGAAGTGTATGACGTTATCATTTTTGTTTACTTATCGTAAAGGAGTGTGTGACAATATCATTTTTGTTTACTTATGGTCATAGGAGTGTATGACGTCATCGTTTTTTACTTACCATTTCTGTATCTTTTTCTGCAACGGGATTCTGTGTATCATACCATGGCTCGAGTGGTTGAAGTGAAAGTGAATAAGGACAGAGTGGATTGAGTGTTTCAAGTGAATTAAATAAGGAAGAGCGGAAGAGGATAGGAGCTTATGAACCTGAACATAACCTGAATTTAAGTGTACATTTTGATAAAAACAAAAACAAAACAAACAAACAGTATTGTTGTTACTTTGCCGTTGCCTTTGTCTTTGTATTAACTCTACTTTCTCGAGGTCTAGACGATTGACAGTCAACATTGTATTTAACTGAAGGAACGAATGACTTGTTTTATGAAACACCCGTGTCATCACTGAAGAAATAAATGTTTCTTTGCTTCTTTTTATTTTCAAACTGAGCATGTGAGCGAGAGAAAAAAAGTGAAGTCTCTAGCCGTTCAACAGTTCTATAGTCTCCTAAAACTATTCACATACACTCGCAAACTAATCGCGGTACGTCAACCAAAAATGCAATCAATCGTAGTACGTCAACCAAAGATACAACCAATCGTAGTACGTCAACCAAAAATACAACCAATCGTAGTACGTCAACCAAAAATACAACCAATCGTAGTACGTCAACCAAAAATGCAACCAATCGTAGTACGTCAACCAAAAATACAACCAATCGTAGTACGTCAACCAAAAATACAACCAATCGTAGTACGTCAACCAAAAATACAACCAATCGTAGTACGTCAACCAAAAATACAACCAATCGTAGTACGTCAACCAAAAATGCAATCAATCGTAGTACGTCAACCAAAAATGCAATCAATCGTAGTACGTCAACCAAAAATACAACCAATCGTAGTACGTCAACCAAAAATACAACCAATCGTAGTACGTCAACCAAAAATACAACCAATCGTAGTACGTCAACCAAAAATGCAATCAATCGTAGTACGTCAACCAAAAATACAACCAATCGTAGTACGTCAACCAAAAATACAACCAATCGTAGTACGTCAACCAAAAATACAACCAATCGTAGTACGTCAACCAAAAATACAACCAAAAATACAACCAATCGTAGTACGTCAACCAAAAATACAACCAATCGTAGTACGTCAACCAAAAATACAACCAATCATAATATCTCATTTTATACTGACAAAAAAAATTCACATGCAAAAATATCAACATTTAACATTTCTTTTTTGCAAAACTTTACTTTCAATAAACATTTTTGGCTTCAAAATGTGTAATTTGAACTTTTCCTGTATTCAGTTATATTCTTATGATGGCTACGAGTCCCCTGGATTGTTTACAATTGTTGAGTAACTGTAAAGAGTCCGTATTAAACAGGGAATCATCGATTACCGACCGACTCATTGTTAACCGCTACAATTTTATGGTCCAATAGAGCATTTTTTTTTAAAAATTGTTATTCCCCTTTACTTTGTTGACCACTTATCAGATGCTGAAGGACACCATCTACATAGACATAAAAACTGTTTGCATCGAAATCTTTACGAAGAATTTCCGTTAAGTAAGACATCGCCATCCCTCTTTCTCTGTGTACCAAATAAAATATACATTGCTGATAGTTCAGTTGCCGTATTCGAATAAGATTATGTGACCACGTTTTACATTGTTAAAAAAGTTAACGAAATCGTCGTGACAGATGGTAATCCAAGCGGATCGCAAAATACTCTATACTCTCCACTTCTTTCTTTGTCTACTGCAGTCCATTGTTGTCCTTGTTTCCTATCCCTGGTCGGTATTACAGACTTAAGCCAATATGTTCAATATTTAATTTTTTTTAGCAATATTCACCATGTGTTTTTGTTTATTCTTTTTTTGTTGCCTATCAGTATAACATATTTATTTATACAAAGACTGATCTCTTACAATATTGTCATTCATTCATTTATCCACATGTATTCACATATCACACTTCAAGCAATTATTTCTTCTTCTCAACACCCAGGTATGGTGGAATCAGAAATTCTTCTAGGATGGAAGCTGGTAACATTGTGATATATAATGAACTTGCTAGCCAGCCACTGGCAAACAAACAATTTCTTAGGATTATCGAATATTGGTTTAAGTTGTTAAAGTCTGATAACTGTATATTAAAGAAAACATGTGATTTTCTTTATATTTAAACGCAGAAAACAAAGCTAAGCTCACCTGGCTTGTATATGTGTGGCTGAGAGAGTCACCCAACGACATTGCTCTTTTGTCTAACATTTTTTTTGTTTAAAATCAAGATAAAGTGATCATGGACAAATTACAGCACAGGTAAAAAGTGACATTAACAAACACTTATCTCAACAGTATAAGTAAGTAAAGGTTTCTGGGATGGTAAGTTATATGTCTATACAGACTGAATACGGTTATTGACTTCAGAATTTTGACAGAGTTGGTTTCATAGCGTCAAGATTAAGCGGTTTTTTTGTTTTTTGTTTTGTTTTTTTTTTGTTGGTCTTGTTACTGATCAGAATAAAATAAAGTAAAACTCTACCAAGAATCCGTCTATAATAACCTTATCCTGATTTAAACCAAAAATTGTAATAAGACTCAACTGGTTTTCATTTCATAAAGATTAAAAAAATCACAGACTTTTCCTGTGAAATATATTAAAGAACTAACAGTCAGGCTAATCCAACTTAATTCGCTACATATATTAAATGTGATATCTCTAGACACATAGTAGTTAAAGCTGCACTGCAATTTTATTTTACAAAATTCTTACCAAAATACAGAAGAATAATGAAATCTAACTTACACTCTGTGCTTTAAACTTAGCTATAGACATGCTGACAGGCGTTATATGTATTGTCTAACCTGCTTTCCATGTAGAAGACTTTCCGCTATTTTGTCAACATTATGTAAATTTAAGGGAAAGGTATTAAGAAATAAACCTCAGTTTTTATAGTCGTTGAACTTCTAGATACACACAATAAAAAATTGAATTTGTTAGGAAAATGTATTTGTATTACAAACGCAAAACTTTAGATATACAAATCAATCGTACCCCTCTTTAGCACTGTTCTCATATCATCCTGCTGGAAATTGGTAAAGAGAATCTAGATAGAAGAATCCTGTAGTTAGTATTACTACGCAAAGAATAACTATTGTTTTCGTCGATCAGAGATGGTAATAAAAGGTTCAAGAAGTCGGAGGTTATTTTGTTATGCATCTTAAATAAAAGTTGAAATTTTATTCGTTTTCTACGTTTAAAAAGAATCACCAATTCGTGCATATGATGGGATACAGTCGTTTCGGTACCTAAAAAAGAGGATGTTTCGGTACTTTTCGAAAGAATCTTCACGGTGATCATTCAATCATAACTTTCGTACTTCAAACGTGATTCCGCTGTGCAATGGTTACTATTGCGATATCCCTTTGCCCGGCGTGGTGCGTCGTAAAGTGTTAACATTTTCAACTTGTTCTGGAAAACTACTGAACAGATTTCAATGAAAGTTTACAAAAACCTTCCATGGCTTACGGCGCCGTAATAAAAATTAATAAAAAATTATCCGGCGTGATAATTTATGCTTTAAATGGCAAAAAGTCTTCCCTTTTCTGGGAATGTTTGATGGCGATTTTAATTTAAAAAACACACACGTCAAAAGGCGTGTTTCAAATCGAAAAGTTACATCTGATTGAACAGAGGTCTGTTTTTGTGTTGTGATACCTAGAATTAGCATACTAATATAAACTAAAGGGAAGTAACTCTTGTTTTATGACAGGAGAGTTCCGATGTAAGACTACTGGGCCCGAGAGGATTAGGAAATGACAGGTGTCTGATCTCGATTGTTTGAATAATATTTATGTATTTGGATACAAGTCAGACAGATATCAAATGACGTGACTTCCAGCTACCCGACAATATGGCAGGTTTGTGCAGAAATTAAAAACTACATAAGTATGTTCAGCATAAATATACCTTGCATTCAGGACCGGCTGACATTCGTGATATTTTTGTAGGTCGACATCGATTTATCACGGAGATGCGTTAGGTGTAGCAGAGGGCTGTTGTCAGACTGAAGGTGAATGACAAGGTTGTGTTTTTTAGCTGCTGCATAAAATCGAAAAATCTATGTAGTATCTGTCGTTGGGGACCTATGCACGTTTTGACTGACTAGCATTGTCCCCTCCTCTTCTGCGTTATCACCGTTTCTCACTTAAATTTTGATAGAAACATTCCTTAGTTTAGAAAGATCAGTAAGAGAGATAAACATTTTTTTTCAAATTGCCGGTTACCTCCTGCAATTAGACTCCCACACACTTCCATCCAGGTCAACAGGAGTGATTAGTGTAAGTTGAAATATTTTTTGTAATCGTTGTAAAATAAATAAACGATATGTTATTTTTCCCATTGCAGCTTGTTGTGGTTGCTGCTCAGCTCTGAAGCCGAGATGGAAACGCCTCGTCGACAACATATTTCCTGTTAACCCAGAGGTAACTAAGACTAGAAAAGGTGATATGAAGTATCATTCAACAATTTAAAATCAAGGATCAAAATAATGGAACTTTGTTTTGATGCTTTTAGCAATTGATCAGTATCAGGAAAACGTCTTTACAACTTGTCCATCAAGTGGGTACATATTGCTCTAGATTTTAGATTAAAAAAAAAAAAATAAAAAACAAAACAAACAAGAAACAAATTCAACAAACTTTATTGATATAAAAATTTCCACAGCAGTATTAACATGCATATTGTGGTTATTGCTTCTTTTAGAAATAAGTATACAGACTGTGAGCTAGGAAAATAAGATTTCTTGTCATTTGATATGAGTATTACAAAATTGCAATGAAAATATAACAGGTTGTAACAGTGTTTTCTTGATTTATTGCCTTGTTTGAAAAAAGAAAGAAAGGAAAGAAAAAACAAAAGACGTTTCACCTAGCAATAAAGTGTCTCATTTTCTGAAATAAAAACGGAATATGGTCATAACCTTAGAGAAATTTCCCAGTTTATGCAGACAAAGGCTGTTGTTCATTTCAGTTAGAAAAAATCCTAAATTCTTGTTTTATGATAGATGTATAAACCCAGACAGATATTAATCTAGACAGATTTTACTGCCAGAAAAGGATAGTATTCCCCAAGTGGTATGTTTTCCCCTTGGGATATAAACAGATTCCCCATCAAGAAAATATATTGAAAACATTGAGAAGTTTCACTAAATTATGAAACATTTACCCGCAAACAGAGCTAATTGGTATGTTTTACTAAATACATTTTCAAATTATGTCATCATGAAAAATAAAATCAATTAAACCCAACATTGTCATATTTTATTCACGTTTTCTTCTTGTTTTTCATATGCCTTTACACTATCCCTCTTTTGAATTCTGAATTTTGTCAGAGATTTTCCCATTTCTCAAAATAGTCCAAAAATTCCCTTTTTCCACAACGGGTAGTACTCCTTATATTCTAGATTAGGTTTGAATCAAATATAAATGACGTCAGATATCGTCTTTATTTATGACAAAATGTTTTCTGTCATGAAAAAACTTTTATTCACATTGTTGCTTTTTAGGACGGACTTGTCAAAAATGAAATGGACAAACTCACATTTTATGCTATATCTTCACCTGAGAAGCTGGACAGAATTGGGACTTACTTGGAAAAAAAACTTGCTAGTGACATTCACCGCAGGAGGATAGGGTAGGTCGAGATTTGGTTTATTTTTGTTTACACTTATCATGAAACAAACCCTAAGGAAGGGGCATGCCCTTTGGCATATAAGCATCCCTCTAAGGGGAGGTCTTCAGGTGGAAGGTCTATCTTTTTGTCAGATTTAGACTACTTAGCCCATAGGCCCACACTTGGAAATCACCAAACTGTGGAGGTGCTAAAATAAAAGAAATCACTGTAGATCTTTTAAAATGATAAACTATATTTATGTATGATGTTAAGGATTCAATTTCAGTTTTAGATTTCTGACAATGGTCATTGTTTTAAGAGTCTCTGGTAACATCTATGTTGAGTTTCATCAACCACATATAAAAATTGGAAAAACTATTTTTAAATAGCATTGTGCGTGATGAAATTTTTGTTGCTGTGGTAACCATGTAAGACCCATGATTAAATGGGCCTACTCCAGGCTTCTAATGTTGTGGACTGATTTTAATGAAACTACACAGGGATGTTAGGAACTATGTGTAGATGTGCAAATGTGCATGCAGGATTTTATTGATTTTATTTGAATTTGATCAGATGCTATGGCCATTTATAGTCCATAATTTGACATATTAGAGGTTTACCATGGAAACACATTGGAGGCTTCTTATTGGATGAAATTAAGATATTATCCGATTAAGTTGAAAATTGATATGAATAGGTCTAGGGGTATGAAAAAAAGAAATAGTTGCATTTGGTTGCCATGGTTACCAAATGAAGGTCTCTTGGAGGAATTTTTTTCAGACCTCTTTGAAACTTTTGTTGAATAGGGGGAAGGAATTACTAGTCATCATTTCTAGTTATGATAATAATTGCTGATAACATGTTTTTCCTAAAGTCATCTTGACTTATTATCATCTTATAGTATAGTGTGACATACTACCCTGGTAATATCGTTTGCTTTCCAGTGTGACATTTGATATATTTCTTATCCTCCAATATAATCGGTTTACCCATACTTGGTTATCTCATTTTGGATATGTTTCATTTCAGCAACCTCCTTAGAAGCCTTGTTGATTCAATTTACTAATAATTGTATTTTAGTCCAAGAATTTGTGCCAGGCAGTACACTGTCTTGTCACAGAATTAAACTGAATTGTTTTGGCTTTTAAACCAGTAAGTCCTGGATCATTGATTTTTAAGACATTGTGTTCCAGAAAAAGATCAGTGTGTCCTACACAATATCATTGAGACCCACACAAAATTGATGAGTCCTAGACTGAGTATTGTACTAAACTAGTGAGTCCAAGACCAAGTGAGTAGTACCAGGCAAAATCAGTGAGTCCCAGAAAAAATCTGTTAGTTATAGACTAAATCATTGAGTGTCGCTGACTAAATCATTGAGTGTCGCTGACTAAATCACTGAGTGTCCCTGACTAAATCACTGAGTGTCGCTGACTAAATCACTGAGTGTCGCTGACTAAATCACTGAGTGTCGCTGACTAAATCATTGAGTGTTGCTGACTAAATCACTGAGTGTCCCTGACTAAATCACTGAGTGTCGCTGACTAAATCACTGAGTGTCGCTGACTAAATCACTGAGTGTCGCTGACTAAATCATTGAGTGTTGCTGACTAAATTATTGTGACCTACACTAAATTAGTGTGTCCCAGACTGAATCAGTGACTAAATCAGTATACATATTTGTAAGACTACACCACTTAGTCCTATATAAATCAGTGAGTCCATGACTAAATGAATAGGTCCCAGACTAAATGCAAATTATGCGTTGTGTTTCAGATTGATTTTTGTTGCTATGGATGCCCTCGATCAGCTCCTTGTGTCCTGTCACTCACACTCACTCAATTTGTTCGTTGAGAGCTTCCTCAAGATGGTCCAAAAGCTCCTAGAGTTGGATGAGCCAGATTTGCAGATTTTAGCTACTCAGTCGGTAAGTCCATACTTTTATGCCGTGATGCATCACACAGATTTCCTTGTTAACAGTCTGGTGTGACATTTTACACGTTTGAATATGGACAATACATTGTTTATAAGAACATTTTAACAAAACCAGGAGTAAATTTTGATTCAAAATTATTTCATTTGTTTTCATTCTGGTAGGATGAGAGGAGAATTGTTCTACAAAGGATGCTGATAATTTCTTATGTAATGTTTCAGTTTGTAAAATTCACCAATATAGAAGAAGACACGCCATCCTACCATAGACGATATGACTTCTTTGTGTCCAAGTTCAGTTCAATGTGCCATAGTGGTACACCTAATGAAGAGACTAGGACAAGGTAAACTTGAAATTGATTGTAATTAAAAAGCATGAGCCGACATTGCTGTAATTGTACATTACCTATTAGAAAATCAAGACCAAGAAAAAGTCTAAGGTGAAAGTATTTTTCAATTTTCCATTAAACACTTTATCTGCAATAAGGTTTTTGAAACCAGTTTGTGGTTGGAAATAATATATTTTTTGTAACAGAGGAGTACTCACTAGCTGAGTGGTATATTGTGGCTAGTATTTTACCAGGGTTATAAACTGCTTCATGAAATAACTCATCCTCAAGTTTCCAGAGGTTACAGTGGTGCTGGCAGGGCATTGCTAAGCAATATTCTTGAGTCTGTTAAATTGTGGCCCATGAAGGGATTTAGGAATAATACTTAGTGGCTACAAACATCACTATAACCTCCGTAAACTCAAGGACAAGTTAATTCCTGGAGGGGGAGTATATAACCCTGGTAAATACTAGCTGCAATATACAGCTCGGCTAGAGATAACTTCTCTTTAGCTTGATCGGTTGAGCGTCAGACAGGGGTCCCGGGTTTGAAATCCAAGCGAAGGCATTGGGATAAAAATTGGAATATTTAATGACAATACCAAAATAATATAAGATTAGAAATAATACAATATATGTAATGAGGTAAAATAATGTTCACAAATCCAAGCCTTACTAAAACTAACATATAATGCAGTATTTGAAATATGTAAAAGGTTTTATATTTAGGTATCACAAGGTTCCTATTGAATCCTGTTGTTGAAATCCATACATCCCAATATTGTTGTTTTTATGGTAGAATACAGAGTGCAGGATTGCGTGGTCTACAAGGGGTTGTGAGGAAAACCGCTAGTGATGATCTTCAAGTCAATATCTGGGAGGACGTCCACATGGACAAAATTGTACCATCTCTTCTCTATAACATGCACAATAAAAGGTAAGTCAAATATTTTCTGTAAAAATTTCTGAAATAGGAATCTTTGTTATTTTTACATGGACATAAATCTTAATTAATTACGAAGCTGATTGTTTATTTGTTATACATACATATCAGCAATATCTATTTATTTATTTACTTACTTGAGTTGGATTACATAAGATTGTTTATACTGACCCCAGATTGATTGATATTTTTTCATGCTCTCACCGTATGATGTGTGTCATGTCCCCTCCCATTTTATCTTTATGCCAGAACTTGGGAATCTCTTAACATATTTGGTTTATAATTACCCAAAAGCATCATAACATCGTCTACACCTGATCAGATTCTGGTTTGCATAGGAGTGGGTGCATTCATATTACTAGGGGTACATTCATTTACTAGGGGTACATATACTAGGGGTACATTCCTTCACTAGGGGTACATTCATATACTAAGGGTACATTCCTTTACTAGGGGTACATTCATATACTAAGTGTACATTCCTTTACTAGGGGTACATTCATATACTAAGTGTACATTCCTTTACTAGGGGTACATTCATATACTAAGTGTACATTCCTTTACTAGGGGTACATTCATATACTAAGGGTACATTCCTTTACTAGGGGTACATTCATATACTAGGGGTACATTCCTTTACTAGGGGTACATTCATATACTAAGTGTACATTCCTTTACTAGGGGTACATTCATATACTAAGGGTACATTCATAAACTAGGTACATTCATATACAAGGGGTACATTCATATACTAGGGGGCATTCATATATTTATTTAATTATGGTGAAATTTATGTATTGGGGGGCATTCTTGTATTAGAGGGGCATTCAGGTATTGGGGGGCATCCATGTATTAGGGGGGCATTCCTGTATTAGGGGGCATTCATGTATTAGGGGGGCATCCATGTATCATGGGGGCATCCATGTATTAGGGGGGCATCCATGTATTAGGGGGTCATCCATATATTAGGGGGCATTCTTGTATTATGGGGGCATCCATGTATCATGGGGGCATCCATGTATTAGGGGGGCATCCATGTATTAGGGGGGCATCCATGTATTAGGGGGGCATTCATGTATTAGGGGGGCATTCATGTATTAGGGGGCATCCATGTATTATGGGGGCATCCATGTATTAGGGGGCATCCATGTATTAGGGGGGCATCCATGTATTAGGGGGTCATCCATGTATTAGGGGGCATTCTTGTATTATGGGGGCATCCATGTATCATGGGGGCATCCATGTATTAGGGGGGCATCCATGTATTAGGGGGGCATTCATGTATTAGGGGGGCATTCATGTATTATGGGGGCATTCATGTATTAGGGGGCATCCATGTATTATGGGGGCATCCATGTATTATGGGGGCATCCATGTATTAGGGGGGCATCCATGTATTAGGGGGTCATCCATGTATTAGGGGGCATTCTTGTATTATGGGGGCATCCATGTATCATGGGGGCATCCATGTGTTAGGGGGGCATCCATGTATTAGGGGGGCATCCATGTATTAGGGGGGCATTCCTGTATTAGGGGGGCATCCATGTATTAGGGGGGCATTCATGTATTAGGGGGGCATTCATGTATGAGGGGGCATTCATGTATTATGGGGGCATCCATGTATTAGGGGGGCATTCCTGTATTATGGGGGCATTCATGTATTAGGGGGGCATCCATGTATTAGGGGGCATTCATGTATCTTCAGCATTTTTGATAGGTTCAGGACCAATTTAAAAAGAAATGCAGACAGGGGAAGATTTCTGAGATACAGAAATAATTGAATTTTTGAATATCATGAAGAAACCTTTAGATATTTAATGTCAGAAGAAAATTTACTCAGTTATTAAATCATTTCATATTCCCTAGTTTTTTCTATTAATATGGCCATTTTGGATACGTTTTCAGCATATATAATGTAAGGTCTATTTCTGTAATATGTAGATCTATCCCACCTGAGGACTGAGGGTTTTGTTTAGGGGTACCGTCCTTAAGAATTTAATCGATAATTTGTTTAGAATTATTAGAAGTAAACAGACAGAACCACAGAGAGATCTGGTTTATTTTGGAGTCAATGGGTAAAGTAGGTAATCGGAGTCAAGGAGTAAAGTAGATAATTGGAGTCAAGGGGTAAAGTACATAATTAACCGAAATAGTGAGGCTTTTTGATGTCAACATTTCAGAAGCATTCCCGCTTGATCTTGGAAGGAATTACTACAACTGCTCTGTTAGTCCCCCTCTCTGTTATGTAATTGTTGTTGTTTACTAATTGTATGGCCTGGTTTTGTTTACAGTTTTATGTGCCTGGACATGGACAGTCCTAAAGATGAGGAACATCCAGCTTACATTGCGGAGCAGGTGTTTCGAGACTTAGTGTGTCGGGGATCCTACGGAAACATCAGAACTGTCCTACGGCCTGTCCTTATGTATGTGTCAGGTTCTGTATTTAACGATATCAATAGTATAATTGGTGGTTGTGAATATCACATCATTTTGAGTATAAATGTTTATTATAACACTCCTCTCCGACACACATACATACACACCCACCCACCTACACACCCTCACACACATGCATGTACACACTCACACATGTGTGCATGCACATACACATACACCTTTGTAAAGAGTGGGGTATGTGGTAATTACTTTTTCTGTGCATCCACCTGTGTGTGTGTGTCCATACAGCTGTAGGACAACATCAAGTTCTATACCTGATTAGGTGCATCATTGGTCAAGGTTAAATGGTTGAAGTAAACTACACTTGTTATTGGTCCCGGTGTTTAAGTCATTTTAGTCAGCTGGTTATGATTAGCCTCTTGATGTGTCATACATATTATCAGATGGACATTTTATGTTTTACAGACATATGGACAACCACAAACTCTGGGTACCCAATGACTTTGCTAATAAGTGCTTCAATATCATCATGTATTCTGTCCAGGTAAGCTGTAACTCTGTATGATATATTACCTTTTTGAATCCTCGTTTGTTTGTGATCCATCTTAATTGATTCCGTCATCCTTGTGGTCTGACCTTCCAAATCACTTGTCAAACAGAACTGTCGGGATCATCTTTATGTTGTGTAGGTAGCTTTTGTTTGGTACCTAGTTGTTCATATCAGATTTTAGAACTATCAAATAAAAGAGAGTGTAGGATTAATGGTGATTTCCAGTTTTGACAGATGTATATTAGTTATCACCAGTTTGTAAAAAGCACTATATAGGTCATACCCAAAGTGTATCTGGATATCCAATTGCTAACCTGATCAAAGGCAGAGAATCGACAATTTTGATTTTGCCAGTTGGTGTCTGTTATCACAAATTTCTGAGACAAAAACATAAAAAGCCATATATGTTTTTGAAATGCCTGTTAAGTTATTAAGTGTGTTTATTTACTTTTGATTGTCACAGCAACAATATGCCTACCTGGTGATACAGATGTTGATGTCACACCTTGACAAATGTGTGAACAGTGACCCTGCCATCAAGACCAGCATTATAGATGTTCTCTTCCACTCCGTTCTCATTGCTGCTGGTGGTTCACTGGGAAGTGGTATGTGTCAGTCAGTTGTACTGGATATCATCATTTGTTTTATCAAGTTTAAGATAGCAATGAGTTTGATGTTTAAAGGAATGAAAATATATATTAACTAATAGTATGCAATGCCTTGCATGTATTTATTGATTTGGACAACACAGCATTCTTGAAAAACAGCATATTAAGGTATCTCCTGATGTGCCACACTGGAGGTTGCTGACTGTAAGCTTGTAGTTGGCAGGTTCAATTAAAGAGTTTTGCCTTTCTCTCCAAACTGGCACCCTTTTACCTGCCAGGCATATGCTCACAAATTGGATACATTCAAGTTGCAGTATTGCTTTGCTGGCAGGAAACTGCAAGACAGTCCTTCACAGGATCAAGTTTTTCCTTATTCTCTGTTTCCTTTCATGGGAGGTACCTTCCATACAAGTGTGATATTCTTGTGATATATTGAATAAGTGTTACCTCCCTTGCAGGTCCATCAGTGCTAGATGTGTTCAATACCCTCCTGCGACATCTGAGGATCTCGGTGGACAATAAAAGTCAGGATGAAAAGTCGAGGGAGATGGAGAAGAAATTTGAAGAGGCTATCATTATTGTTATAGGTAAATTATCATCACAGCCAATGTTGTGGCAGGGGATGGTTTTTATTTCATTCGACTGGATTTTAGTGAATTCATCCGGTTTATCCTTCCTTCTCCTAAGAAATCAAACTCAAACAACTACATAACATGAGAAATAGAGAAAAACTTTTGTTTGTTTAATAAATATATCTTGTACTATAACAAAATGCTTCAGCTGACTCAAAGTCAAAGACAGTTTCAAATGAATTAATCATTTATATATTACATATTGTGTATGATGATTGTCCAGATGGTACAGAAGTGACATTCATTTGAATCAATTTATCTGTAGGAGAATTTGCCAACCATCTTCCTGATTACCAGAAGATAGAGATAATGATGTTTGTCATGGGCAAGTTTCCACAACTGGACCAAGAAGAAATAGGGTATGATATCATGCTACAAAAGATGTTTGATAGAATATCAGTTCTCTGGAAATCCAGTTACGATATATGTAACAGAGGTCATTATTTATTCAGTTACCTCTGCTAAGAATTGAACCTAGGACCTCCTACACTCAACTGACCCAGCTGAAGGATCTGACCAGTATGTTGTAACTAGTGTTTATCAAGGTTACTCTTTGAACATGGAACCTCTGCATCAATTTGAGATATGGTGACAATACTTCCAAATGTTTGTGATGTTGGCTTACTTGCTAGAAATATGAAATAAGGAGTTTAAAAGCTATATACATTAATGTTGGTTATATATCCCCAGTCAGTGATTTTATGTAAATTCTATTCTTGTTCTTTTTCATGAAAAAAAAGTTATAGGTATGGAGTGGAAGCTAAAAATCTTGTTGGTCCTTTTATAGTGAAACTTTATTTGTACAAGGAAAGATTTTACTTGTAATTTGCAGTTAAAAGAAAAAACAACGCCATGCTATGGTTGAATTTTGTTATGATTATTATTGGATATTTATTTTACAGAATATCTATTGACATCCAGCTACAGACGATGTTGCTTAAAACACTACAAAAGGTGAGGTGGCATTAGTCAAATTCTTTAACAAAAATTTTTTACCTGAATAATTCTATTCAAGGAGAAACTTTGAGATAAAAAAAAAAAAATCAGATGAGTCCTCAAAAATATTTCTTTAAAACATTTCTGTTGAAGAAGATACTATTTCTGAAATACAAATGTATAAAGGAGTTTGTTTTGATGTTTTCCAGGTAGCAGCCACCTACAAAACAATATACATGTCCAACACTTTCCATCCGGAGTTTCTGACAGGCTTGCTACAGTTATCACAGCTGGATGATCCATCCATGAGGATAACAGTCCAGGAAATACTGCATAGCCTCATAGATCGTCATAACAACACGTCAAAGTTCAAAACCATTGTGTATGTACATTACAAAATGTCAAGTTTAAGGTCACTGATTCAGTAGACTATTACATACTTAAGTTCAAGGTCACTGATTCAGTAAACTATTATTATGCACTTTCTGTGATATTTTGTCTTAAAAAAAGAAATTTATTAAAGTCAAGTTCTTCTCATATCAGTACAGGCTCCAAAGGTCAAGGTTATGGTGTGAGGATGCCAGAGCATTCATGCTTTAGGTATTACGTTTTATAATCTGAAATAATGCAGAAGTTTATTAAAATGGAATGTTACTTTTCAGTATTCAGAAAGATCTAGGCAAGTTGGCGCTAAACGACGCAAAAGTATCTGGACAAGACAGCTTGTTTATGAAAAAGGTTAGTGGTTACTTACCCTGACACATTGCTGCTGAGACTAAGGCACTTTGATAGCTCAGTTCAAACGACATTGGCTAATGGAACCTGAGATGAAGGTCCTAGGTTAGTGATTTCTAACTCTGACACATCGCTGCAGGGATTAAGGCACTTTAATAGCTCAGTCCATAGGATATTGGCTAATGGAACCTGAGATGAAGGTCCTAGGTTAGTGATTTCTAACTCTGACACATCGCTGCAGGGATTAAGGCACTTCGATAGCTCAGTCCATAGGATATTGGCTAATGGAACCTGAGATGAAGGTCCTAGGTTAGTGGTTACTGATGGCAGTTTATGTTGTATGTTTTTCAGGTAGGGTAATCACCAGTTATGACATGGGTATCCCAACTCAAAATTTCCTTGCTTGAAAATTGCTACTAGTCATGAAGGACTGAACAGATATTGACCAAATTTGGTCTGAAGCATGTTAGGTGAAGGGGAATGACTCTTGTATAAACATTACGCCTCTGCCCCTATTGACAGGAGGGATGGGGTGCAATAAAGGAAATAGAGTTAATTATTTAAAATCCTTCTCCTCCTGTAGGAATGAATGGAATTTGCCTTAATTTGGTCTGAAGCAATCTTTATGAACAGTGAATCTGACTTCTATTTGATCACAAGGATGGGACCCAATATGGAAATGGTTTTCAGAAGTTATTAATCATATTTGAAATTCTTTATGAAATAGCTGAAATGTGAGTGATGCAGACCTATTTAGCCTTTTGTTTGCTGTTTTATTTCATTCTTGAAAAAAAAATGAACCTATTGAAAATAACACCTTTGTATATTTTAAAGGGTGATAATTTTTTTTTGCAGAATAATGTCCAGTTTTACACTCACATCATGGACAACATACAAATGGAAAGTAACAAAGTGGATAACTATGAGGCGCTCTACTGTACCATGTGTCTGCTTGCGGTGGAACTAGGTTCCGAGGAAATCCTTACAGAGATGCTCCGACTTGGACTAGATATACAGGTATATGATGCGTTACAATCCTGACTTACTAAAAAATGGATGTTTTTTTATTGTTATAGTGTTGTAAAGCATGCTCATTATTAACTTGTATCTAAATGTATTGATTAAATATACATTAATTATTTTTTACTTTGTGGCAAATGTTGCAATGTGCAAGGTATCATGACAAGTCAAAAAGTTGTTTAAGCACTTTTCAACTCAGTGAGAATTTTGAAAAATTGGCAGGTATGTATATGCATATTTTATTATTCTTGTTCATTGAGGCAGACCTCTTTAATAAGTAAAATAAGATTGAAGTAAGGTAGTCACATACACCCTTAACACCACTTTTATTTCCACAGCAAGGGGTGCTGTCCCATATGAACCTGCCCTTGACACACAAGTGTGCCATTCATGGACTTGTAGCTGCCTTCATTAATTTAGTAGCCCAGCTTGTAGGCCAAACACCGCTCTGTCAGTATGTCAAAGAGGTAGATATTTCCTGTTTTTAATTCTGTGATAAATTTTCATTAATAATTTAATTTGTTTCTTTAAGTTTTGTACATTGGTATGTATACCTCGGCTATTTTATGCTTCCTGAAGGGAGAACATGTAGTCGCCACTTTGTCTCTTTTCCATGGAGGCACCTTTTAAAGGAACACCATTCAAACCGTGTCAGCTATGTGATGAAGCTATGATGATCCACAGGAGAGATACAGCACATCAACAAATGACCTAATGACCTAATCATGTTGACTTGTTGTAAACAATATTGTAACATGTTCTAGTATCATTAGATATAACAGATGGTGGCTGTCCCACATTCCTCTCTTGTTTTCGTTCCAAGCTCACCATTTGTCAATCTATAATCAATCATGCCTCGCTCTTCTTTGGGCCAATTGTAATACATAGACACAAGGTCACCCATATACATAGGGCTACACGGTGCCAGAATATTGCATAATAACCCAAAAAGGCCATGAATCTGACATTAGGACCAAGGGGACAGAACTCATGACGCCGGGCATTCACACCGATGTTGTCTGATTCCCGACTCTTTCAATGCTGGCAAGACTAACACAGTCCACCTCATTCAAACAGATCACCTCAGACATGTTTAAAAGCACAGACCTCAGATTTGAACAGAGTGATACATTGATTTTACCCCCATCCTAACAGGTCTTCCTCTGTTTCGCTCCTTGTTATGACTGCCAAGATATTGTATGACCTGGCTATACAGCCCTTGTTCAGTCTCCGCCTCAGTTCTTATCTGACAGCCAAGACCTCACGACCTAGCTAAACAGCCGGCGGTCAATCTTGCCCCAGTCTGTCCATCACTGAGTCTCTCTGACCAACCTAGCTTATGGTCTTAGCTGCTACACCACAGTCTCAAAACAGGTCACAGGCAACCCTCTTTTCTGCATACTTGAATAAGATTTCTAGAATTTTAATTTTATCTCTTTACCGTTTAAATCCTGTTGTGTAAATTATGTGTGATTATTGTGAGTGTATTCCATATGTATGATTATTGTGAGTGTATTCCATATGTATGATTATTGTGAGAGTATTCTATATGTATGATTATTGTGAGAGTATTCCATATGTATGATTATTGTGAGAGTATTCCATATGTATGATTATTGTGAGAGTATTCCATATGTATGATTGTTGTGAGAGTATTCCATATGTATGATTATTGTGAGAGTATTCCATATGTATGATTATTGTGAGTGTATTCCATATGTATGATTGTTGTGAGAGTATTCCATATGTATGATTATTGTGAGAGTATTCCATATGTATGATTATTGTGAGAGTATTCCATATGTATGATTATTGTGAGTGTATTCCATATGTATGATTGTTGTGAGAGTATTCCATATGTATGATTATTGTGAGTGTATTCCATATGTATGATTATTGTGAGTGTATTCCATATGTATGATTGTTGTGAGAGTATTCCATATGTATGATTGTTGTGAGAGTATTCCATATGTATGATTATTGTGAGAGTATTCCATATGTATGATTATTGTGAGAGTATTCCATATGTATGATTATTGTGAGAGTATTCCATATGTATGATTATTGTGAGAGTATTCCATATGAGAGTATTCCATATGTATGATTATTGTGAGAGTATTCCATATGTATGATTATTGTGAGAGTATTCCATATGTATGATTATTGTGAGAGTATTCCATATGTATGATTATTGTGAAAGTATTCCATATGTATGATTATTGTGAGTGTATTCCATATGTATGATTATTGTGAAAGTATTCCATATGTATGATTATTGTGAGTGTATTCCATATGTATGATTATTGTGAGAGTATTCCATATGTATGATTATTGTGAGAGTATTCCATATGTATGATTATTGTGAGAGTATTCCATATGTATGATTATTGTGAGAGTATTCCATATGTATGATTATGTAGAGTATTCCATATGTATGATTATTGTGAGAGTATTCCATATGTATGATTATTGTGAGAGTATTCCATATGTATGATTATTGTGAGAGTATTCCATATGTATGATTATTGTGAGAGTATTCCATATGTATGATTATTGTGAGAGTATTCCATATGTATGATTATTGTGAGAGTATTCCATATGTATGATTATTGTGAGAGTATTCCATATGTATGATTATTGTGAGAGTATTCCATATGTATGATTATTGTGAGAGTATTCCATATGTATGATTATTGTGAGAGTATTCCATATGTATGATTATTGTGAGAGTATTCCATATGTATGATTATTGTGAGAGTATTCCATATGTATGATTATTGTGAGAGTATTCCATATGTATGATTATTGTGAGAGTATTCCATATGTATGATTATTGTGAAAGTATTCCATATGTATGATTATTGTGACTGTATTCCATATGTATGATTATTTTGAGAGTATTCCATATGTATGATTATTGTGAGAGTATTCCATATGTATGATTATTGTGAGAGTATTCCATATGTATGATTATTGTGAGAGTATTCCATATGTATGATTATTGTGAGTGTATTCCATATGTATGATTATTGTGAGTGTATTCCATATGTATGATTATTGTGAGAGTATTCCGATTATTGTGAGAGTATTCCATATGTATGATTATTGTGAGTGTATTCCATATGTATGATTATTGTGAGTGTATTCCATATGTATGATTATTGTGAGAGTATTCCATATGTATGATTATTGTGAGAGTATTCCATATGTATGATTATTGTGAGTGTATTCCATATGTATGATTATTGTGAGAGTATTCCATATGTATGATTATTGTGAGAGTATTCCATATGTATGATTATTGTGAGTGTATTCCATATGTATGATTATTGTGAGAGTATTCCATATGTATGATTATTGTGAGAGTATTCCATATGTATGATTATTGTGAGAGTATTCCATATGTATGATTGTTGCGAGAGTATTCCATATGTATGATTATTGTGAGAGTATTCCATAACGAACAACAGTGTAATGTGTGGTTTATAACAGAATAATGATAATTCCCTTTGATTTTACTACAGTGTGATTTCACGCAATCAAAACAAAAGACAAAAAGCAAAAAAACAAATGGATTAAGTGAAGTATTTGTCTGTTTTATAGGTGATAGAAGTGAGGCGTGATGAGGCTCCATATCTACTTCCAGACTTTGCATTTAACAGGTCTAATAGACCCAGCAGGTAAACTTTAAAACTTGAAATTTTACAGAAAAGTTCTGTTTTATATTAATAAATGACAATTTTTTGCGATGATTTCAGTTTTCTACATATTTTGACTCAGATTTTATGTAATCATGATTTTGAAATGGTGCATAATGAGAAAATATAGTTTGTGTACAGACAGCAATGTGTCTGTGAGATATTAAAAATGATGACTTTCATTCTGTAAGATATTAAAGATAATGATTTATAATGTGCCTTGATTATGTAATTTATCCAAATTTTACCTATAGAAAGTCAGTTGAAATTGGTTGATATGAATTAAACGATTTAAATGTTAATTAGAGTTTGAGATCAACAGTCCAAACATTTTGAATTGAACCATTTTAGCTCTGAAGTATACTTGTAAGTCATTTTAGAAATATCTGAATTAAACAAAAAAAGTATCAAAATTAATCATCTTTGTTCAGCATGTCTTGTTTTGTTTCATACAGTATTGAAAATACATTCTTGTATAAGAAAAGAAGTGATTGTAGGGTTCGATAAATCAGGATTACTAATGATGTTTTCTGTTTCATTTCATGCTTCAGCTACTCTCAAATCGATAATATCCAGCCCAAGTGTCTATTTGACCAAGCTACTCTGCAACAGTTTCTTGTGGACTGCGGCCAGGATGCTTCCAGACTGACCACTCCGATAGCCGTTAAGCCCTTCAGCACACTTGGTATAGTAAACTAACCAACTCAATCTTAACTTGACCTTTGACCTTTAGCTTAGAGCTCATATGGAGTTTTCACACTTTCATACAGTCATAACTCTGTCTTCCTTTTTTGACATCTTTTTAATCACTTTTTTCATATTTTCAGTATTAATTTTCAAATTAGTTTACACCAAATGATATTTGGTAATTGTTAATGAATGTAGATTATATTTCACGAGTAGTTCTAGATTTTCAGTATTAGTGACTTACTCATACACATTTTCCAAAGTTTGGTACACAAGTGTGATCTAAAACTGCATCAATGATTAATTTCAGATGTGTTACTTTTTCCAAGATTCAGTTATGCTTAGTTTGGGATGCATTCTTCTACAAACACATTTTACATAGAACATATTTTGAATGATTTAAAGTGGTTCCTGTATTTAAGGTTTTTTTGTTTCTCACTCTGTTAACAGCCAGTATTTTAAGAAAAACCAAAATTTGTATTTGTCATTCAGCAGGCATTTCTTTACTTGTCATGTTACTAATTCTCTAGTCCAATTGTTCATTGTGATAAATCTAAGGGGGGAAAGTCAAAGCCTTGATTTGTAGAACCATGCATCCCAGTATGCTTTTTCTCCAATTACATTCATTTTTTCCTCCATTGTTATTCTGTCTTTACATTTTATTGATGTGTTTATGTGTTTTAAAGTCTTTATGTGTTAAAAAAAATGTTTGGATGTCCGGCATGAAAAATAGTTTTGTTTGAGTGAGTGTCTAATATGTAAAATAATGTTGTATGATTGTCATACTTGTAAAATAATGTTGTATGATTGTCATACTTGTAAAATAATGTTGTATGATTGTCATACTTGTAAAATAATGTTGTATGATTGTCATACTTGTAAAATAATGTTGTATGATTGTCATACTTGTAAAATAATGTTGTATGATTGTCATACTTGTAAAATAATGTTGTATGATTGTCATACTTGTAAAATAATGTTGTATGATTGTCATACTTGTAAAATAATGTTGTATGATTGTCATACTTGTAAAATAATGTTGTATGATTGTCATACTTGTAAAATAATGTTGTATGCTGGTCTTACTTGTAAAATAACACGGTATGTTCTTACATCTTTTGTTGTCCTACCTGTACAGTAATGTTTTTGGCGTCCTATGTGTACAGTAATGTTTTTGGCGTCCTATGTGTACAGTAATGTTTTTGGCGTCCTATCTGTACAGTAACGTTGTTTTTGGCATCCTGACATTGTAGGTGTGAGGAATGGGGACCTGAACGGTAAATTTTTTGTTGTTATTCTAGTCAGCCCAACTGGCATGTTGCATTTTTGGTTCTCACATAATTCCTCACGTTTATTCTGTTCTGATTCTGTTATATTCACTATGTTTGGTCGTCATGTTGACTGGTTTTTAGAAGACTATCAAATATGATAATGATAATAACAAGCAATTTCAAAGTTTTCATTTACTCTTGTATTCAATACAAGTGCATCGTTCATTATATTTCTTTTTACAACTTTATATTTTAGTCAAAAAAAGCATTTCAAATGTTAGGTAATGATTTATCACACAATTTTTCATTAACATTAGGATTTTTAATTTATGTTGATCATGTGACACATTTGATCACAAACACACCTTTAAGTGTATCTATAAACTATGTGGACCCCAACATTTCTCATAGACCCCTCCTAATTCCTTACCTGCCCCAGTCATATTTGACCCTTCCAACTAATATGTGACCCCTTCCACTCTTTCCCGAGTCCTTCCACTGATTTATAACTCCTCCTAACACACCTAACCCCTCTCACTCTTTTCTGGTCCGACAACTTATGTCTTTTCCTTCCCACACTTTCCTGGCCCTCCTTCTCATGTCTTACCCCTCTCACTCTTTCCTGGCCCTCCTACTTATGTCTTGCCCCTCCTACTCTTTCCTGGCCCTCCTACTCATGTCTTGCCCCTCCTACTCTTTCCTGGCCCTCCTACTCATGTCATACCCCTCCCACTATTTCCTGACCCTCCTACTTATGTCTTACCCCTCCCACTCTTTCCTGACCCTCCTACTTATGTCTTACCCCTTCCACACTTTCCTGGCCCTCCTACTTATGTCATACCCCTCCCACTCTTTCCTGGCCCTCCTACTTATGTCATACCCCTCCCACTCTTTCCTGGCCCTCCTACTTATGTCATACCCCTCCCACTCTTTCCTGGCCCTCCTACTTATGTCATACCCCTCCCACACTTTCCTGGCCCTCCTACTTATGTCTTACCCCTCCCACTCTTTCCTGGCCCTCCTACTTATGTCTTACCCCTCCCACTCTTTCCTGGCCCTCCTACTTATGTCTTACCCCTCCCACTCTTTCCTGACCCTCCTACTTATGTCATACCCCTCCCACTCTTTCCTGGCCCTCCTACTTATGTCTTACCCCTCCCACTCTTTCCTGGCCCTCCTACTTATGTCTTACCCCTCCCACACTTTCCTGGCCCTCCTACTTATGTCTTACCCCTCCCACACTTTCCTGGCCCTCCTACTTATGTCATACCCCTCCCACTCTTTCCTGGCCCTCCTACTTATGTCTTACCCCTCCCACTCTTTCCTGGCCCTCCTACTTATGTCTTACCCCTCCCACTCTTTCCTGACCCTCCTACTTATGTCATACCCCTCCCACTCTTTCCTGGCCCTCCTACTTATGTCTTACCCCTCCCACTCTTTCCTGGCCCTCCTACTTATGTCTTACCCCTTCCATTTTTGCCTGACCTTTCCCACTCATATCTAATTCCTCCTACTAATTCCTAAACCTTGGCACTCATTATTGAATGTGCATTTGTATCTTTCTCTTTTCACTCATTTTCCCGCTGTCTTTTTTTATGTACAAAATTATAATCCCCACTACCCCTCTACACTCTCACCACCACCTGGTTCTGCAAACACTTTTCACATGTCTCTGACTTAATCTTATCATCACTTTTCTGCCCAAACTCATTCTTTACAATTAAGAAAATAAGACCATTTAAGACATTGTGTAGATAATATTTCTTAACAAAACATATAAGAAAAACATGAGTCTTATGTGAGAAACATTTGTGATGCAATTCATTGTTAGATTTTGCCACAAAGAATGTTTCACTGCTAAATTATTGTACTTAACCCTGCCTGTAGCACTTCAGCATCAACTGTAAGACAGAACATTGTCAGTAATACTGTAACATTGTATAGATAGCTTTCTTATTGTACAATGTTAAGGATGTATTCAGATGTTAAGGATGTATTCAGGTGATGTTTGACTGGATGTAAAACATTTAACTTAATTGAATGCTAACATAATATCTTGGACATTTGTGTCCTGATACACTTTGTAATCTATAGTTGTACTTATCAGTTCAAAAACGGTTAATTTTTATGACCTGTTGTGAAGAAAGTTTGCTTGTAGACTATTTTTTTTTGGCATAGTTGATGGCATAATTCAGTTAATAGCATCAATAATTTAAATGTTTTCTGGTCGCTAAGGTAATTTTCTTGAATATTACTTGAAAGTCTTGGGTAGATTATAACTTGATTTTGTATGAATTATTACCTCAAATCACAGATGTCAGATTTGTGAATTCCAACCTTGTGGACCAATTTCCTGGGTTTTCAGGTGCAGAAAACAATTATTTCAGCTTGTTTCTTGATCTTGGAAAAACTGGCTATTCGGGTGAAAATTACAACAATTCAAGCAGATATCTTCTTTTTAAATCATTAAAGTTATCTTTGAAAATTTCTCTGTCCAAACATAAAATCTTGAAAGAAGTTTATTTCTAGGAAGTTGGTCAAATGAAGTCATTTTGAAACATTTTCATTTTTTTCGCTGTTCAGTTTAAATCTCATTAAACCAAATGAAATCTCAGCATTTTCAATCAATTTCTTTCTTTATATCCAAATATCATATCTTTAAATGAAAGATAAAAATTTATTTAAAAAAGGTTGCTGCAAAATGAAGAAAATGTTTTAGAAAAAAATAGTAACAATATGTAAAAATGAATTATTTGCTTTTACACAAATCCCATGGAAATATCCCTTTCATAATTCTTGTTGTGAAAATGTTTCGGTAACACAGGGTATACTTGTCTTATTTGGGGACCAGTACCTTTCCTTTCAGAAAACTACAGAGGACAAATTTCAGAAATGTGCGAGTTGAAATAAACACCTATAAAATCTATCTTATTATCTTTGTAATGGGTGGTATCTAACAGTCTCTGTGATTGGTGATCTTTGTGATGGGTGGTATCTAACAGTCTCTGTGATTGGTGATTTTTGTGATGGGTGGTATCTAACAGTCTCTATGATTGGTGAATTATTATCTTTGTGATGGGTGGTATCTAACAGTCTCTGTGATTGGTGATCTTTGTGATTGGTGATCTTTGTGATGGATGGTATCTAACAGTCTCTGTGATTGGTGATTTTTGTGATGGGTGGTATCTAACAGTCTCTGTGATTGGTGAACTATTATCTTTGTGATGGGTAGTATCTAACAGTCTCTGTGATTGGTGATTGTTGTGATGGGTGGTATCTAACAGTCTCTGTGATTGGTGAACTATTATCTTTGTGATGGGTAGTATCTAACAGTCTCTGTGATTGGTGATTGTTGTGATGGGTGGTATCTAACAGTCTATGTGATTGGTGAACTATTATCTTTGTGATGTATGGTGTCTAACAGTTGCGGTGATTGGTGAACTATTATCTTTGTGATGTATGGTGTCTAACAGTTGCGGTGATTGGTGAACTATTATCTTTGTGATGTATGGTGTCTAACAGTTGCGGTGATTGGTGAACTATTATCTTTGTGATGTATGGTGTCTAACAGTTGCGGTGATTGGTGAACTATTATCTTTGTGATGTATGGTGTCTAACAGTTGCGGTGATTGGTGAACTATTATCTTTGTGATGTATGGTGTCTAACAGTTGCGGTGATTGGTGAACTATTATCTTTGTGATGGATGGTGTCTAACAGTCCTGGTGATTGGTGAAATATATGTATCTGATGTGTAACTATTACATTGATTGGTTAATCAGAATACTTGTAGTATATACATGTACTTAGGTGGTTAGGAAAAGCAGAACAAATGTTAAAGTACATAGCAAACTAATGAAAAAGTTTGTAAATTTTTCAAGAAATTTTGTTATATAAAAGAATCTGATTTTATTAAGAAAAAAAAAATTTGGAGGCATGTTAATACCAAAATTGATAAAATTTGCATAAGATTATGTGGCACCTGCAAGGTACTTCAGTTAAATAAGAAATCATGATGTCAGGACATTGGATTGACAGTTTTTCTGTAAAACAAATTGTCTCATATTGGTAAGATTAATTTGAAAGCCTACAAATTGAGGTTGTAGTGTAAAAATGTACTGGCAGTGCAATTCCAGTATCTAGATACCTAGCTGTGCATTGGAGTATATTGGTTTGTAAACAGTGGGAAGTAATAAAAAGATAGACCAGAGATTAAACAGTGATAATACAGAAACAAGCTAAATGCTTTATAAAGCTTTAGCATGAGATCTTATTTGGAGTGTTGGTTAAGGGATACAAACTGATATATGTAAAACGCTACGTTGGTAATAAAAGTAAAGTCCTAATAAGTTGGTTTTAATATCTAATCATTACAGAGAAGAAACCTCTGATTACTTTCAATGATGATATAAGATGAAGGGGATGTATATGTGTATACATTTCAAAACTCTGAAACCCATTCATGTGGAGACCTATGCATGTTCTCTCGTTACAAAGTTGGTGTGCAATATTTGGTACATGGTGCTTAATTTGCATGAATATTAACAAAGTTTACCGTAATTGTAATTTTTGATATCTCCCTAACATTCAAATATCTCGTTACATAAGTCTTATATTCATCCTAACACATGCTAGTCATTGGAGGTTATGGGATCTGTTTACTATAAATGTACCTATTGTAGCAATTATAATCTAGGACTTTTTGCACTCCAAATATTCCACATAAATATTGCAATAATTGAAGTTTCTTTACACCTTTATATAGTAGTTATTGTTAATGTCCATATTTATTATTGTGCAAATTTGCCAAAAAGTGATTACCCGGTAATGTACTTAAATTTGACCACATCATACTGAGTACATTTTACAGTGATCTTTCTGAATATCAGAACCATTTCTATAACTATCATATAGAATTATCACAAACATGTATTTCTAGGATTATATACTAAAACGATAAAGAAACACAACTTCTTTAATTGTAAAATATTTTGTACTGAACAGATATATTCTAATAAAAGGTAAGAGGAATATTAAGGCACCTTACCCAATCCCCAATAAATGTTAAAAATCTGTCATCCATGTCAAAAATCTTATCCACATCTAGTGTGTCTATATTACCAATATACCATGACTGTACAAATCATGTGTTCTTTTCCATTCAAATTAGTGTCGATTTCTGACTGTCACCAAGACACGTGATCGACAATACATTTGTAATGATTGTTTTTACAAATATGTCACGGCTAACTTGTTAGAGGACAGACTCTCCTAGTTTGTAGGGACTGTCTCGCAACCCAGAACATTGTCTCTATAGATTGGCCTCCTTGTGGGATGAAGTCTGGAATGGAGCAAACATCCAACATAACTTCCACCAATTGGTCAATGCACTTACCAAGAAATGGAATAACATTACTAAACAGAAGTCAATGTCCTTATGAACTCCATGCCTCACAGAATTAGAGAGACTATAGCTGTACTGGGAGGGCACACACGTTATTAGGGATCAGTCTGACAACTGTTGTTATTTCAACTCTGTGTACATTAGGGTGCCCTTATTCATGGCAGCCTAATGAAGTCTTCATTTGTTAAAAATCTAAATATACATCTAGAATTTGATTAAACTTTAAGTTTGAAGTTGCGATTCTTTTTCCTCTTAGTATATGTTAACTTGCTTGTTGACTTAAATTTTAATTCATAATACTGCAGAATCATAGAAAATTTCATACTATTTTGTGAGCATGTTATCTTCTGAATAAATCTTGATCACAAAATCCACTATGTGATTATCATTTCAAAAATTTTGAGGATTAACAGTAACCATGATTTCAATGACAATACCCCCTGACCTACCATGATGTTTGTATGTTAGATATTAAACACAGTCTGATAGGTTTAAACTAGGTAGTGTGTTGTATGTACCATAGAAGTGTGTGTGTTGTATGTACCATAGATATGTGTCAGTCCCATAATTACCTTGCCCAGGTTAGTAGGCTGTACCCAAAAACAATTATTTCTATACATTAAAAGTTAACCTGATTTCTTCATATTTGTTCTGCTTTCAAATTCCACAAAGTGATCCACCCATTCCTTCATCAGCCCCTCCATCTATCCTGTTTTGATGTCCAGGTTTGAGTGGAGTTGTTTTTAGAATGTCTAGCTGTCCAGACAAAGCTTACAACAATATTGTCTGTGAATTTGTTTCAGATATAAACTTGAGTTGAATCACATGAGAACTAGGTGAATGATTTTAAGATGTTTTGATGTGACTTTTATTAAGTATAAATGAAAATTTATTGAAACTTAAATTGACAGACATTCTGGGTTTAGATGTACTATTAGTAGCCTTTCCATGACCTTCTAGCATTCAAGGTCAAGGTCAGATCAAGGTTGCAGCTTAAGATCTAAAGAGAAATACTCCCTTATGTTTGAGAATGTTGCATGCTTTATTTGTGCAAACCTTCAAAGTTTGCTTGAGTTTAATTCTCAGGTAGTACAGTGATGATAAAAGCTAGAATCTTGCATTTTTAATAATTTTGTGGGGAAATATTATGGTTTGTGTCATTGTGAAAACTGGCGATATTCCAAAGATTTGAACTTAATTTCTTAAAATTTCAATTTCATGCTTTTAAATGCATCAAGTATTCAGCTGATGTCAGTGAGTTAAAGTGACTTATTGACATTTATAGAGGTTATGAATGCCAACTGAAAGCAGCTCTATACATAAGTCAGCCATTATAATCTGAGTTTGGGGATAACTTTGTTGCCATTATTTCAAATGTTCTTTAATACAATTTTAGGCACAAATTTCAAAATATTGAAAAAAAATAGTACTTAATGCAAGTTTTATAAGTAGAAGAGACCTACATGTTCCCATGTGTAACTGATTAACACATTAGGTTGTGATGCCTTTTTTAGAATTCCTTCAATTTTTAGAGGTTTAACTTGATTTAGAATTTATTTAACCAAATTTCTTACTGGGTACACCACAAGATTAATGACTTTATTTTACTTCATAAAATAGAAAATAACTACAGATGACCTGATATTAATTTTAATTCTCCTGATATCTTTGTTAATTTTCACCAAGTACTAATAACTTTCTTATTCACTAAAGTTAGATGTAAACAATGTTGGTAATTGAGTATCATTATTTTTATTGCGTCTATTTATAGATATTGCTGTAAGTGGAAGTGCCAGTGATGTAGGCTCCATCAATTTGGATTTAGATAGTGCAGAAGGCTCCCCAATATTCTCCAGGGTAAGTAAAAGGTTTCATCCTTTGTCTAGCAGTCATCCTTAGATCTGTATCAGTGTTGCCAACTCGCCCAATTTCATCAAATTTTCAAGATTTGGGTTTTTTAATCTACTATAATCAAATTGATGGTCGTACATTTCAAAGTACTTTATCTAAATATATGTAGATGTGATAACTATACAATGGTATTGGTTTGTCTGTGTTACTATTTAATCTCTTTGGTTGCTTGGTAATACTAAGACCATGTGCTAAGTACCAAATTCAGGGCCTGGAATCTCTCAGGTACAGAGATGTTGCCCTTGGTTAAAATTTCATGACCAGAACATAACTTTGCTAACATCAAATCTAGGATAAAGCAACTTTGTGTGTACATTGGTAATACTAAGAGGATGTGCAGTGTACCAAATTCAGGGCTTAAAACCTTTTTATTACAGAGCTATTGCCCTTTGTTGGAAATTTTACGTCTAGAGCACAACTTTGCTTTCACTTATACTAGGATAATGAAACTTGCTGAATACATTGGTCTTGCTAAGAGTAATGTGAAGTGTACTGATGTCAGTGCCTGCAAGCTCTTAATTATTTAATTATTGCCCTTTGTTAAAATATTGGGTCCTGTAAAATTGTTTTCAGGGAGCATTCATCAGTTTCAGTGATACTCTTGTCTTAAACAGGAAGTAAATGCAGGTTGATTTATGTTAGCAATTACAGACATATTTTCAGGATAGGCTTATTTCTGAGGTCTGCCTGTCAATGAGTTTTACAGTATGTTTGAAAGTTTGGTTATTGCTTTCATTTCTACCAAAGTGTTGGTATATTACCATCTTATCAGGTAACATAGCTCACACCATTTTTTATTTTTGTTTTTTTTGTTTTGTTGTTTTTTTTTTTCAGTTGAGATCAGGTTTGGATCAATAATGAACTGATTGTGTATATTTTTATGTATTACAGAGATGGACGGATGAAGAGATCACAGTGGAGTATTTAAAGAAGATGTTAGGTGAGACCATGGAGTTATCTCCCCTCTGTACAATGGCAATCAGTTCCTTTTATGAGCAATTCTTTTAAGACACACCAGCTGAACTCTCATACAGTTACCTTTTATAAACAGTTAATGTGTCAACAGAAATGGAAAGAAGCAAAACAAGCACAGAAATATAGAATCTTAAATGAGATTTCATTTCATATGATATTTTTTGAAACAGGTCTTGGAAAGGTTTTATTTTTGCAAGCCTTTTACAGCAGAAATTTAAACTTCAAGAGGAGTTTCTACAAAATGAGAACAAATTCAGATGGAAGCTGTCATTTTGTTACTTCATTTTCAATTCATGACGTATTATCTTATTCCATAATATGTCCCAATCAGTTTCTGACCAGCACAGTCAATGGAAAACGCTCCACAGAATATTACACTAGTGATTTATAGAAACAAATTTAGGCAAATTAACTGAACAATGGACTGATTTTGTGATAGAAATGTTTCCAATAAAAGTCTAGTTACTGGTTATTCTGTGTTATCCAGCCACTGTCTGGTTTCTCATGTACAGTGCTTTGTTTCTCAGGACATACTGTTTCCATATAATTATTGTCTCTTTAATCTAACTTAGGTGATGGCTGAAAAGTACTTATGTATTTATGATTTATTTATGAGAGATAGATTTCATACTAGTAAGGAAATAGTCTTTCTGTTCGAGTGATTTCATTGAAAATCTTCGTTTACTGTACTATAATTACCAGTATGACTGTTCAGCTTTGATCAGAACTTTTGGATATATATTGTTGTTGGTATAACACTTACAGAAAAATAAATTCAAATCTAAAAGCAGAGATTGTAGATGTTATTTCAACATTTTGGAAATGTTCAAAGTATTTTGTACCATCCTCCCAATGCACACTCATGCAGCACCTGCACTCACCTGACACTCATTGGAAGGCCGTCCCTAGACGACACTAGCTGTTGATAGGACCTTCAACAAAGATGGCTGAATTCTCTTGTAATGATAGTATCTGGCTTAAAGAAATATTAGATTAACATTTATATGAAATTTATCATTTGAAGCGGAGGACAATACAGAAAAGAAAGAAGAGGAAGCAAAGAAGAGACAGGAGATTTACCAAACCTATCGTACTGCACCGTTTGAGGAGATCGTGGCTCGCTCTGAACAGAAGGTAGGTACTTGTTTTCACCAGCAGCAGCTGAGGAAAGGTAACTGAATATAAAGAACACTGGAAATATAATTTCACCTTTCAAGTTTGTCTGATTGTTTTATCTTGTCTATGATCAGAAGTGTAGAATATCATACAAACAGCTTTCCAATAATAATCAGGAATATTTTTATCAAACCTGTAGACTTTCATTTGAAGAATTTATAAAGTAAAGAATATATAAAGTGTTCAGATATAGGTGATGTAAAATGATTCATTTAGTTGAGCTCAAAGTTTTATGGCCTTTCCAGAAATTTAAATACAAGTGTGAACTGTAAGCCCTAAAGATGCCTTGCATCTGTGGTCCCTGATCCGTCCATCTGTGAACAATTTTTGTTGTCAGTCTTTCTTGAGAGGTCCTGGATGGATCTTTCTCAGATTTCATATGTAGGTTCTCCGTGGTCCCTAGTTGTGCCCATTTTAGAAGTACTGGATGGATCTTTCTCAGATTTCATATGTAGGTTCTCCGTGGTCCCTAGTTGTGCCCATTTTAGAAGAACTGGATGGATCTTCCTCAGATTTCATATGTAGGTTCCACTTGGTCCCTAGTTGTGCCCATTTTAGAAGAACTGGATGGATCTTTCTCAGATTTCATATGTAGGTTCCACTTGGTCCCTAGTTGTACCCATTTTAGAAGTACTGGATGGATCTTCCTCAAATTTCATATGTAGGTTCCACTTGGTCCCTAGTTGTACCCATTTTAGAAGTACTGGATGGATCTTCCTCAAATTTCATATGTAGGTTCCACTTGGTCCCTAGTTGTGCCCATTTTAGAAGAACTGGATGGATCTTTCTCAGATTTCATATGTAGGTTCCACTTGGTCCCTAGTTGTACCCATTTTAGAAGAACTGGATGGATCTTCCTCAAGTTTCATATGTAGGTTCCACTTGGTCCCTAGTTGTACCCATTTTAGAAGAACTGGATGGATCTTCCTCAAGTTTCATATGTAGGTTCCACTTGGTCCCTAGTTGTGCCAGTTTTAGAAGAACTGGATGGATCTTTCTCAGATTTCATATGTAGGTTCCACTTGGTCCCTAGTTGTACCCATTTTAGAAGTACTGGATGGATCTTCCTCAAATTTCATATGTAGGTTCCACTTGGTCCCTAGTTGTACCCATTTTAGAAGAACTGGATGGATCTTCCTCAAATTTCATATGTAGGTTCCACTTGGTCCCTAGTTGTACCCATTTTAGAAATACTGCATAGAAATTTCTAAAATTTCATGTACAGGTTCTTCTTTGTCCCTAGTTGTGCCTGTTTGAGTTTGGGACTGGTCAGAAAAACAAAATGAGATTGTCATCCCTATTCGTTAAGAAGTACTGAATGGATCTCTCTCAAATGTCATATGTATGTTTCATTTGGTCTCCACTTGTGCCCATTTGATTTTGAAGCTGATCAGGAAAAAAACAAAACAACTTTGAGGCAGCTATATTGGATTCGGCAGATAAAGATCATCATTGCTATTTCTGCAAAAGAATGATTGAATTTCTGATCATTAAGAGCACGGATGATTGAATTTCTGATCATTAAGAGCACGGATGATTGAATTTCTGATCATTAAGAGCACGGATGATTGAATTTCTGATCATTAAGAGCACGGACAGAGAAGGGAAAAGATCCAACTTTCAATATAAAGATCACACAATGATGGGAGCCACGATGCCTCTAGGATCTCTTGTTTAATTGGGAATAACTGTTAGAACATTTTTAATTCCATATTGAAAATTGAATATGAAAAGGATTTACACTTAATTCATTATTGACCATAAGACTTTGTACATTAAGATTGATACAAATAATACTATAACTACCATGAAGGTCTCTTAGTGGTAAAGTCAACACAAATGGATAGGAGACTTCTGTCAATATATTTCTCAAATTGTAAATTTTCTGTATTCAATTTTCAAATCTAAGATTTCCACTTTGTCATTACAGTCGTGTAAATTCCATAACAAACTGACGGAGATCCTAGACATGGTATCTCGTCCTCCGGATAGTCCAGAAAGGATGCGAAAGTCCCTCCAGATGTCACCAAAGGCTGTGTTTGATGTGTCCTTTCCAGACTTATTTGTATATTAATGTGGTTCGTCTTTTGGGAATTTATGAGATTACCTCCCTTTAACGGTAATAGGAGAATACTAAGTTGCCTCCCCTTAATTGTATTTCACTGACTTTATAGTTCAGCCTCAAGGAGACTGCCTTATGTCCTCTATCCATTTGAAAGCAGACGAAAGGAGACCAAGTTATTACCCCTTGTGGTTAAACAATCTGTTACTTGGGCCACTTTCATTTAAGCTGATGTATTTGTTTGATGTGCATTTTGAATGTAGTATATCAGGCAAAAGCCAAAAATGAATCTGCCAATATAAACACAGGCTTCAGACCATTGTCAGAATAAGTAAGATCACTTGGTTTATACTTTTTTCTGATCCAAATTGTCACTCACATAAATGAAACAGAAATTGAGAAAGTCAAATTACCACCCCTTTCGTGTTGATAATCTATGTCCCAGGCCTTCATTTATGGTTTTATTTCTGCTGGGTTTTACATTTGGAAAATGACAATTTCTAAAATGGGCCTGGTGCACACTTTTGGTGAGATTTCTGCTGATGTTGCCTAATTTGATATTAATTGTTCAGGCTGTATTAGTAGAACTCCAGTATTTCTCAAATTTGAATTCAATACTCAAACACCAACCCAGTTGTCAATCCAGACAAGTGTTCCTATTTAGTGTTTGTATCTTAGCTAGGAATAACTCTCTTATGTCTCTTGTATCTAACATATCAAATATTGTTACACCTGACAGATATGGTTCACCTGTGTATCACTATATACTCTGTAGTAACGGAATGTCTCCTGACATAGACAGCAAACTTCACTTGTTAGGTACATGTTGTGGTTTTGTGTGTGATTTTGATGTCATTAAGAGAAGTGTTTCAATCATTGTGAAGTATTACTAAAGAGGTCATTGAAAGCCATTCTTAAGTTATGAAATCAACATTTTATCTACACCAATGGTATTCAATTTTGCATCTTTTATGCGATTCCAAAAAAATCGAACAAAAAACTTGATGATTGACATTATCATTAGAAGTTTTGACAAATGACAAACATGTCACATGCTTAATTGGATGATGAAAAAGTTGCAATGAATTTGTCGTTATGATTTGGATTGATCAATGTATTACTGATCACAAGAAATCACTTCGGGAATTAAAGTATCTTTGGTTAGATAACATGAGTATGTAAAGTGCATTTTTTTTACCCGATTCTGTCCGTCTTACAAAAATATTGAGGAAGTGAAAGAGAGGATAATAGCAAAGGGAGGTAATTTGTGTAAGTCTTCTGGGCAAAAGCCAAGGGACATACTTGATCAAGTGTAAGCCCAGCAGTAAAAGTATGTTTATTATAAAAGTTCAGTGAACAGAGCAGAATAGCTTTCTAAGGGATCAGTTGAATTCATTCTTAAAGGATTGTAATAATTTGAGATTATTTTTGCTATGAAGCAAAAATGAATTAAATAGAAATAGATTGTATTCCTGTTCATTCTCCATGATTACCAGTAGTAAACCTATTTATCTAAATTGTTCTCAATTATCATACTATGTCAGGTAATACACACACCCACATCTATTGCAGCTGCAGAAGAAACAAAGAGTAAATGAAGAGAACCTTATTTCCTAAATGTCTGAGATATTGCTTTTGTCCTAGGGCTTACCATAGAACAATATTATATATATACAAGGCTGTAATAAACAAACTCCATTAGCTTAATATTATGACAGTTTTTCAAATTGATTTTGTCATTAAATTATAAAGGACAAATTAAATTTAATATAGTTGTACAATATCATGATAATCCATTTTAGTCCTAGGAGAGGTTTTTCATGAGAATTTAAGAAAACATTTCATTACTGAAATTGTGTTGTTTGATCATTCAGAAACCTACACAGTTGTTGGTCAGTAGGCATAGAGAATAGTGACCGACTGACTGCCATGTTTTGATGTACAAGTGCTATGCTTTCAGAGAGTAACAATAATGTAGAAAAAGTTATTTTTACAATGTGGTAAGTTTGTCACTGAGAATGAATTAATTCTATTCTTTTATCCAAAGAAATCTATTGTAGATCATAACAGTTTGCTGTATTTCATGTAAGTTGTGGTAGTGTTTATTTATTTAGACCCTAGGATCAATATATGTATTAAGTACCTCAGTTTTACAAGATATAGTGGAATCTCTCTGTTCCAACTCCACTGTACTTGTGTTACATGGTACCATGTGTAATTTGACTAGTCTGTTGTGTTACATGTGCCTGATGAGACAGGTTTCACTGTACTTGTGTTACATGGTATCATGTGTAATTTGACTAGTCTGTTGTGTTACATGTGCCTGATGAGACAGGTTTCACTGTACTTGTGTTACATAGTACCATGTGTAATTTGACTAGTCTGTTGTGTTACATATGCCTGATGAGACAGGTTTCACTGTACTATCAGTCTGCTACATTATCTACAGTATTTATTTTTGGACTGCTCTGATTTTTAATCTGCAGCATTTTCAGTCTGATAAGTATGATAAATTCTACACTAGCATGCAACCTATCCATGCTTTTGTTTTTGCTTAAATGTTCATTATGGGTAGATGTTTGATGTAGGTGATATTTTGTTTAACAAGCACCAGTATTCATTTGAACACAGAGAGATATTTCCCTTTGCGAAATACAGAAAATTTCAGCAGTTGACACCGTATATCCTGGTTTCTATGTTATTTGTTTCATATTTTTTTGCATACTTTGTATGAATTAATTTATTTATGACATTTCTGTATGAAACATTTATTTTCATGTCACAGTATTTGGAAAAGAATATTTGTTGGTAAGAAACTTCTACTTTGTTACCTGTTTGTTACTGTAAATTATGCAATAGATATGTAATAAATACCATTATATCTCGTATAATGTGGCTCTTACTGATATATTACTGGGTATTTACTGATTAAATCATTAAAACAGAGACAGTATCTAACACTATATACAAGATACACGGACCCATCAGCTGAGTGACAGAGACAACACATTGTACAAGCCACACGGACCCATCAGCTGAGTGACAGAGACTGTATCTAACACTATATACAAGATACATGGACCCATCAGCTGAGTGACAGAGACAACACATTGTACAAGCCACACAGACCCATCAGCTGAGTGACAGAGACAACACATTGTACAAGCCACACGGACCCATCAGCTGAGTGACAGAGACAACACATTGTACAAGCCACACGGACCCATCAGCTGAGTGACAGAGACAACACATTGTACAAGCCACACGGACCCATCAGCTGAGTGACAGAGACTGTATTTAACACTATATACACTATATACAAGATACACGGACCCATCAGCTGAGTGACAGAGACAACACATTGTACAAGCCACACGGACCCATCAGCTGAGTGACAGAGACAACACATTGTACAAGCCACACGGACCCATCAGCTGAGTGACAGAGACTGTATTTAACACTATATACAAGATACACAGACCCATCAGCTGAGTGACAGAGACAACACATTGTACAAGCCACACGGACCCATCAGCTGAGTGACAGAGACAACACATTGTACAAGCCACACAGACCCATCAGCTGAGTGACAGAGACTGTATCTAACACTATATACAAGATACAAGGACCCATCAGCTGAGTGACAGAGACTGTATCTAACACTATATACAAGATGCAAGGACCCATCAGCTGAGTGACAGAGACAATACATTGTACAAGCCACACAGACCCATCAGCTGAGTGACAGAGACAACACATTGTACAAGCCACACAGACCCATCAGCTGAGTGACAGAGACAACACATTGTACAAGCCACACGGACCCATCAGCTGAGTGACAGAGACTGTATCTAACACTATATACAAGATACACGGACCCATCAGCTGAGTGACAGAGACAACACATTGTACAAGCCACACGGACCCATCAGCTGAGTGACAGAGACAACACATTGTACAAGCCACACAGACCCATCAGCTGAGTGACAGAGACAACACATTGTACAAGCCACACAGACCCATCAGCTGAGTGACAGAGACAACACATTGTACAAGCCACACGGACCCATCAGCTGAGTGACAGAGACAACACATTGTACAAGCCACACGGACCCATCAGCTGAGTGACAGAGACTGTATTTAACACTATATACAAGATACACGGACCCATCAGCTGAGTGACAGAGACAACACATTGTACAAGCCACACGGACCCATCAGCTGAGTGACAGAGACAACACATTGTACAAGCCACACGGACCCATCAGCTGAGTGACAGAGACTGTATCTAACACTATATACAAGATACACGGACCCATCAGCTGAGTGACAGAGACAACACATTGTACAAGCCACACGGACCCATCAGCTGAGTGACAGAGACAACACATTGTACAAGCCACACGGACCCATCAGCTGAGTGACAGAGACTGTATCTAACACTATATACAAGATACAAGGACCAATCAGCTGAGTGACAGAGACTGTATCTAACACTATATACAAGATACAAGGACCCATCAGCTGAGTGACAGAGACAACACATTGTACAAGCCACACGGACCCATCAGCTGAGTGACAGAGACAACACATTGTACAAGCCACACGGACCCATCAGCTGAGTGACAGAGACAACACATTGTACAAGCCACACGGACCCATCAGCTGAGTGACAGAGACTGTATCTAACACTATATACAAGATACACGGACCCATCAGCTGAGTGACAGAGACAACACATTGTACAAGCCACACGGACCCATCAGCTGAGTGACAGAGACAACACATTGTACAAGCCACACGGACCCATCAGCTGAGTGACAGAGACAACACGTTGTACAAGCCACACGGACCCATCAGCTGAGTGACAGAGACTGTATCTAACACTATATACAAGATACACGGACCCATCAGCTGAGTGACAGAGACAACACATTGTACAAGCCACACGGACCCATCAGCTGAGTGACAGAGACAACACATTGTACAAGCCACACGGACCCATCAGCTGAGTGACAGAGACAACACATTGTACAAGCCACACGGACCCATCAGCTGAGTGACAGAGACTGTATTTAACACATTGTACAAGCCACACGGACCCATCAGCCGAGTGACAGAGACTGTATTTAACACATTGTACAAGCCACACGGACCCATCAGCTGAGTGACAGAGACTGTATTTAACACATTGTACAAGCCACACGGACCCATCAGCTGAGTGACAGAGACTGTATTTAACACATTGTACAAGCCACACGGACCCATCAGCTGAGTGACAGAGACTGTATTTAACACATTGTACAAGCCACACGGACCCATCAGCTGAGTGACAGAGACTGTATTTAACACATTGTACAAGCCACACGGACCCATCAGCTGAGTGACAGAGACTGTATTTAACACATTGTACAAGCCACATGGACCCATCAGCTGAGTGACAGAGACTGTATTTAACACTATATACAAGCCACAATGTCCGATCAGCTGAGTGACAGAGACTGTATTTAACACTATATACAAGATACAAGGACCCATCAGCTGAGTGACAGAGACCGTATATTTAACACATTGTACAAGCCACAATGACCCATCAACTGAGTGACAGAGACCATATTTAACACATTGTACAAGTCACACTGACCCATCAGCCGAGTGACAGAGACCATATTTAACACATTGTACAAGTCACACTGACCCATCAGCTGAGTTACAGAGACCATATTTAACACATTGTACAAGCCACAATGACCTACCCCTTTTACAAACCAATCTCAATATTTGTAGACTTTATTACGATTAGAAATTTGACCATATTATATTTCTAAGATACTTTTCTTTTGCAACTATGGGATTGATATCCACTTACTGGAAAACCAAAATAATCGAGAGGCCATTTTGGATTTTAAATGTCGGTGTTGGCTGTTCTTACTCCTGAGAAGTTCTGGACAGATCATTCTAAACTTTCCTATGTAGATTTCCCTTGGTCCCCAGTTAATGATATATTGTGCATTCAAGAACTGATTGGAAAGTCAAAGGACTAAATGCCTTGGGATGCTGAAAGGTGACAGGACAGGTGACTTGGCCTCTGAAGAAATCACATAGGTAGAATCAATATTCTCAGGAGGTTATTACCAAGGAAAGTTTAAATAGGTAAAGAGTCCATCCTAGACATGAAGATCACAATCATAATCCCAGGTATATTTTGCCAGTCATAATCCCAGGTATATTTTGCCAATCATAATCCCAGGTATATTTTGCCAATCATAATCCCAGGTATATTTTGCCAGTCATAATCCAAGGTATATTTTTCCAGTCATAATCCCAGGTATATTTTGCCAATCATAATCCCAGGTATATTTTGCCAGTCATAATCCAAGGTATATTTTTCCAGTCATAATCCCAGGTATATTTTGCCAGTCATAATCCCTGGTATATTTTGCCAGTCATAATCCAAGGTATATTTTTCCAGTCATAATTCCAGGTATATTTTGCCAGTCATAATCCCAGGTATATTTTTCCAGTCATAATCCCAGGTATATTTTGCCAGTCATAATCCCAGGTATATTTTGCCAGTCATAATCCCAGGTATATTTTGCTAATTAGCTGCATGCTTATCAGTTTAGTTCATCTGTATTTGCATTTGCCTTATGTAAAAATATAGTTTCAGCTTTCAACACACTTTTAATTTTCACTCAGTTGAAAATTGGGTGAAACAGGCAAATGCTAAATTGCAGCAAAAGCTCGTACAGTATAATAGAGAAACGATCAAAATTAACCTGCACTTCTCTACCTGGTATTAAACTTTCTACCAGTTCAATTTTCCAAGGATGCCTCCTAGGTTTCAACAGTTCAGGGCCATAGCATCACTGAGAAGTTCTAGAAGGAGGAAACATGACAGCTGTACGATGTAGTTTAACATACCATTTTGTTGTACTGTACCTAATTCATAATGTGTAGAGGACAAGTCCTTTCTTGGAGGGGGAATATGTCACCCTGGTGGGATACTAGCAAGCTTCTTAGGGGACATTTCTCTTACCTGCAATAGGTAGTGAGTTAGTCGAGTAAGCTAGAGGTATCAGTTTTGATCCCTACAAGAGATATTGAGAAAAAGTGAAAGTAAAGAAAGTGAACAAGGGCTCAAATAAATATATATGCCCCTTCTCTCCTCCTCCACTCCCTCATCTATTGATTTTCAACTTAATAGGTTGAGGTATTCATAAGACATCTTGAACACAAGCTTTAAGTAAAGGTGACCTTTGACCTTTAACCTCGACTGATGTCCACCAAAACTTTATCAGGCGTAGAACATAATAATGTAATGCAATGGTGTGAATATGAACTGCTTACATTCAGACATTCATGAGACACAAGCTTTGTACAGGCAGTTGGACAGAACCTTAAAGTGATTACTATATATAACCCCATTTACCAAGGGGTGGGTGGGTATATAATACAAAGAAAATAGGAAAGCACAATTAGCTTTGTCAAACACTTTATTCTGCTGTGTTGGATGGAGGAGTACCATGCCACTTTGTTGTGACAGAAACAACACATGGTTGATAATGAAATAATGTTTACATGCTAAGCTGTTGACACAGATATGGAATAAACATGACATTCTATATATGGATCATACATGGGTCGCCATTAATAGATCATTGTTTTTACACAATTGATAGTCAAATGACCTTGAAATTTACATAGGGTATCAAAAACTTGTTCATGACAAACCTTAAAATCAATTAACCTTGACATTTACATAAAGAATTAAAAACTTGTTTATAAACAGAACTTTAAACTTTTAGAGCTGTTTTATCATGTTTTTTTGGGGGTTGGGTTTAGCAAATTTCAGAATATTACAAGGAAGGTGTTGTTTGATTAAGAAACATTTTTTTAATTAATTTTTACTTTCACTATTTTCTTATAGCCTGTTTTGGAGTGTAATGAATTGATAAAAGTATCATTCTGAGAAATTCTAACTTAAATCAATAGACTCCACATTGGGCGACCTATGTAAAAACATACACAGATATGAGAAACTTGAAGTAGCACCTACTTTCAAGAAATGCAGAATTCACAGAAATATTTACCAAACATTTGTGTTTTAACGAGTCAAGTGCTCTATTTCAAAATAAAGTCTATTCCAGCAAAATATATATACGACCATCATACTTGAATACTTCAACAGAGTTCTGCTCAGCAAGAACATTCTATTTGAACAAATAATCAATTCACATGTAGTTTATAATCTCGAAAAAATGTGAGACTCAACCAAATGATGCTCGTCACCTGCCGTACAATGAGTATATATATATAAAAGCAAGCTTTATCTCCTACTAGAACTATAGGTTTGATGTGAAGAATACATACAGTACAGAAGAAGAAGATTTCAGCAAATTTATATAAAAAAAACCTGCATTAAATCACTTGCGACAGGAAGTCAATAACGTAGATTAATCTGCCCATGATTATAAATAACAATAATAATGGATTGTACAAACTTTTAACATCTAAAAACATTATACAGCTATTTTCTCTGTATTCCATATTGATGAAAGGAGATGTCTATCAATTTTGACACAAGGGAGACAACTCCATACACAGTTCAATGTATGCAGCATAATGATAACTCAAATTTAAAAGAAAAAAAAAAGAAAGGCTTGATATATATAAGGTTTGCTTAAAAACAAGTACATGGAATTAACAAGTAATTATTTACAAAACGAAGCAACTTTTGGCATTTATATGAAAATACAGGGACTTCATCGGGGGAATACAGGTGATTAAAACATTTTACATGGAAAGTGAGGCATTTTCTACAATTATTTTGCTATGAATATCCATATCATACAGACAACATCAAGTAATCGTATACATTATTATTCGCCCCAGGAACAAAGGCATATGATTTGATGGCATCATAGATCTCACACATGAAAATCTCCACAATGATTAACAAGCTTTGAGAATTGAATATGAAAATTGTAACTTATTTTTTCTACAAAAGTTAAAATGGATGTATCAAGTATGAATTAAGAACCGTTAATATGGCATTGATTTCGTTGACCATCTAAAATACGACTGATGCTTCCCACAAATAACTAATGTACAATTAAAGCTAACAGAATTGTTTACAAATGAATGAAAATATATTTCTTTTTACATGTATCAAATGAAGCATTATCTCTGTTTCCAATTCACCAAGAATATAAGAAAGATTTCTAATTGTCAGAAAAACAATATTGTGATAAATAGATTTATCGTTCAGTTTTGAAAACTTACACTGTGTAATGGTTTATACAAAGAGGCTTTTATGAATGAAAAAATGAATATTTTTCCTTGCTGAAAAATCAATTTATCCTTGACTGGAAATATGTTGTAGTGAAAAAGTTTGAAGACTTTTCCCAATGAAGTTGTTAAATTTCTATTGTTGAAATGTAAAATGTTTTCCAATAACACTTTGAAATGAATTTATTTAAACTTTTATTATGAAAAAAGAAATGTTGATTTTACGATTTAATTAGTTCACAAACAGAATACATTTTGGACACCTAAAACAACACTCGATAACTTTAAGGCATTTGGAAATTCACAACCGTACACACAGATATAGTATTTCTACATTAACTCTGACAATATACTGAACTATTTTGATTTTTAACATGCCATATTTCTAAAGTAATAAATATAGATTTCTTAACTGACACCATCTCATCAAAAAATATCTTGGTATAGTTCTGTTTATCCTTCTAATCTACAAATTTAAGCCAAGATATATATCTGAAGGATAAAGAAACACAACTTCTTTAATTTTAAAATATTTTGTATTGAACAGATATATCCTAATAAAAGGTAAGAGGAACATTAAGGCACCTTACCCAATCCCCAATAAATGTTAAAAATCTGTCATCCATGTCAAAAATCTTATCCACATCAAGTGTGTCTATATTACCAATATACCATGACTGTACAAATCATGTGTTCTTTTCCATTCAAATTAGTGTCAATTTCTGACTGTCACCAAGACACGTGATCGACAATACATTTGTAATTAATGATTGTTTTTACAAATTTGTCACTGCTAACTTGTCAGAGGACAGACTCTCCTAATGCTCCTGGGAGGTAGCACTCAACAGCTGGTTGCTACTCACTTCAGAGTTCACAAATCAGTTAATTTTACATCTCAAAGCTTCGGGAAGAGTTGACAACAGATTGAGATCTGGATGTTCATGAAACATAAAGATTGGTTCACAACATTTCCTCACATGTATGACAGGAGATTAAATGGCAGCTGAAATGGCATGGAATACCATTGGAAATGAAAACAGTCAAATCCACACATAAAGTATCAGAAGTAGACTGTGAGCCCAGGTTACCATCGACACCTCACTGTCAAGCATGTCGTATGTGATGGTAGACAGCTCATGTGTCCCTGCCATTTTCCTAGGAGACATTGGAGGTCGATGATCTTCATGGATGAACCTCAATTCTTGTTCTTTTGATCAAATGGCTGTTAACACACTTGTATTTGGATTATGACAGATATGGGGGTGGATCGTTTATGGTTTGGGGAGGGATTTCCTATGGTTTACAGACACCTTTAGTGATCATTCACAGGAATTAAACGGCTGTATAATATTGATATGAGGGTCTGAGACATCCTGCTGTGCCTTTCATTATAAGGTATGATTTGACCTTTCAGCATGATAACACTAGACCACACATTGCAAGTTTTTAGAGACTTTCTTGTGACCCAGAAAATCGAACCTATTGATTGGTCTCCATATAACCCCCATTTGTTTCCAATCGAACACTTGTGGGATGAACTAGACAGAAGAGTTGGGAATCAAGCAAACATCCAAATAACCTCCATTTGGCCAACACACTTACTGAGGAATGGAATAACAACTGACAATCAATGTCCTTATGAACTCCGTGTCATGCAGAAAAAGAGATGTCTGAACTGATACTAGGGATCAGTCTGACAACTGCCGTTGTATCAACTTTGTGTACATATTCATGGCAGCCTTATGAAGTCCTCATTTGTTAAAAATCTCAGAAAATTTGAAGACAAATGAACCAATATTTGAAGTTTCATTAAACTGTTAAGCTGAAGTTGGGTTTCTTTTTCCTCTTAGTATACTTTGTAATAATTCAAACAAGCAAAATAAATATCAGAGATTACAATATGGGTGATGTCAAAAACAGGATCATCATCTGCACAATCCAAACTTGATCCTTCGGATGATTTTAGTGTTTAATGTAATTTTTGGGTATATAAGCTTGAAGTCGGCGGAGATTATCATAATCGTGAGCACAAATATATGTAGGGGTGCGTGCAAGAAACTACAATCCTTCAATTGAAAGAAATTGTACAATTTCATTTGTGAAAGTGATTACGAAACAGTACAATTTCACATTTTCAATAATAAAAATATGATAAAAATGTTTATCCTCATTTCAGAGTACACAAGAAATTATTGTCTGTAAATCTCATTCTAAGAGTATTCAAAAGACTTATATAATCTTCTAATATTAATGTTTAAGGATCCATCTCTATACAATGAAATGTCACGATTTAAAAAAACCATGACGGACATTATACGTACATATATATACATATATATATAAACTTATAATTACATCACAATTAAGTATAGATATTATCAATAATTGCAGCACTGAATTTCTAGAAACAATATGCATTCTACAATTTATTTGACTAGAAAGAATTACCATCATGCATCAAAAAAACTATTATAACATTGAACATAACAAAATACCATAAATGACAGAAAAAAAAATCTTAAATGTGCATTTTCCATTTACTTGGCAACAGAAAATTGGGGATTCTGTTGTTTTCAGTAAAAAGATCAAAGGTTATTCCTTCGAAATATTCTTTACGCTTTCTTAAATAAGGATTATGTGTCAACTTCAAAAAATGAACATCCACACGACCATGACAAATGATCATGAACATATGAAAGTTTTATTGATTGATCTAAAATACTTGGTATCATTTCAAATATTTGACATTGGATAATGAAGCAGAATTTTTTCACCTAACAGTGTGGAAAATTGGAAATAATTTTTCAGGAAAACTGTCCTTTGAAATTGATAATGAACATTTCTTTTTTATCAAAAAATTTGCCAGTACTGTGTTTGTTTTCTGAAAAATCACATTATTCTTTAACTTTTCAGGGTAAATTTCATTAGAAATTAAGAAAATCATGTTTTTCCTTTGAAATAAGATAAACCAAGTTGGCAAAATGATTTTTATTGAAGATTGCCTTTCAAAAATGCTTTACAATAAATGAAAATTGAGAATATTTGTATGTAGTTTCAATCCAATAAAGGGACATAACTCTTGCATGATCCTTATTTTTTTTTTTTTATCTTTTTGCATATATCCACCCAGAAATTGGGATGGTAGCACCAGTCTGAAATTTATATGTTAAACACATATGTATAATTATATCTTAAACTTTGTGATTATATATGTTAAATGACTTACATAAAATGTTGACAATATATATCATACATACATATATATATAATGTAATGATGATCACAATAGTTTTTGAAAGTTAATCCATTTTTGTAGGAATTTATTTTTGGTAAAAAAGAAAATTGAAAAAGAAAGAAAAAAAGAATAATCACACTCTGATTGTGTTCTATCATAAAGAAAAAGCACAAAAAATCCCTACATACTACCCATAATCATGGCAGAATTTCCCAAATTCATCTGTGATAGGTTTAAAAATTTGGTATTTTATATACCCTTTAATCACTACTGTATTCTTTTCTGCTTAAGAATGAAAGTTTAGAAAGCAGTGCAAAATTTCTGTATAGTTAATCTTGTTAAATAGAATGTTATCTACTGCAATGAGATTCTAGAAAATAAATAATATTGTTTCACAGCCGAGGAATATAAATCTACACTTGTAATTCATTTCTGTCTCCGATATCAATAAAAATAAAATTCAGATCACATATCGCATTAAAATTGTTTTAATCTCTAACAATTAAGTATAAATATTGTAAATGAACTCTGAATTTAAATCACAAATCTAGAAAATCCTGATACTGAGGTTTTCTTGACAGCTGACCATTTAATCCGAGTTGGGAATTCCTATCCATGATCATGTATCTAAAATATGTGAAAATTTCTTACTTTTAAATGTGAAATCATCCATACTTGAGAATTTTTGGGGAGAAAATTGAGAATACCAAAAAAAAAATGGTTTCTATCAAATAAATCTGATTAACTAGTTGTCTGAGTGACTTTGCGATGGTTTAGTTTGAAGTACATACTGCAAATTGACTGCTGATGATTTTGGATATATGAAAAAGTTGTCTCCCTTTGTATGGGAAAGTGCACAATGTTTTCTGTAATGTAAGGACTAATATTGCCTTGGTGTTTCCTTTTTTATCCACTTCAAAGTAAGGTTGTCTCCCTTTGTTGGAAAACATCAATTTTTTATCCTTTATCACACTGAACATCATAAGCATATACAATATACATAGTCATATGATGACAAAAGTCATGAAAATTCCATGATGACATGTTTTTTCCTATAAACTTTTCAACAATGCTTATAAGGTCAAAGTAGCAATATTAAGTAACAGTGAACTTTGGCCGGTAGCAGTGTAATTTAATGTATTGTCATATTTAGTTTTTAAAAACATATACAGTCTGTTTTTTTATTCACACCGATCGAGACAATTGAGAAATGCTGCATCATTCTGCGTATGATGTAACTGAATCGTCTGTGTCAATAAAATGTTTAAAAATAACACTCATAGCTACGGGACTTTATTGGTAGAGTATGGTTGAGTAATATCTTCCTGTTACAGTGTGTCTCATTACACAATGTTCACAAGCACGAAAACATCACACAATATGTTATACTCCAGGTGATTTTGATATTAAGGTACAGTTGATAATTTTTCTGTTAAAGTCATACCTCTGTCTAGCAGGCCACATGTATGGACCATGTTGTATCACATCTATGGTCCATATGGTGTCTGACTAAGTTCACCATTTCTGCACAGATCTATTCAGATTTCAGCACATCTGGCATCAATCATATTACCACATCTGTGCTCCACTAATGTTCTGCCATTTTGGTAATAACATACTTCTATTCCTTAATCTAGTCACACCTGTATTCAAATATCCCGTTTCCAAGGAAAATATACCGTTACAATGTATTCCATTATTCCAAATATGACACATTATCTGAATTCCGTTATTCAAAATGTAGTATACAAAATTGCACTCATTAGAAGTACTATCGCACACAAATAACCGTTACTGATGCAGCACATTTCCATTATCTACACCAATTACGAAACATCTGTCTTAATAGACCTGTAATTGCCAGTGTAGATTTTCAACAACACAGATATATCACACATTTACAGAAACTGGTCTCCACAGACACTATATCTCGTTATACTCAGTTCGCTGGTCTGGAATGTATGTATTCTGTGGACCATACTTGTTGCTACTGTCTGTAAGAGGGAGCACTGCCGGACCATTATTGGTGTTCTGTGAGCCACCTTGTGGCACTGTCTGAGAGTGTGGCATCGTGTTGGGTTTGTAGGGTGTGCCGGAGCCCTGTGACCCTGAACTATTTGATGCTTTAGAACTAGCAACGGACCCCGGCGGAGATAGCTTACAAATTCCATTTGGGATCTGGTTGGGAGGGCTGTTGAACTGTGCTAAGAGTTTCTGGTTCATTGGCTGGCCATGAGTAGGACCCATCATGTGTGGATGCTGGGGCATCTGCACTTGGTTGGCCAGATAGTGTGGGGGTAGAGCGTGATAACTAGGGGGCATCATGCCCAGTGGTGGAGCCGGGGACATTCCATGACTGGATTGGGATGGATCTGAACCTCCACTTGATCCTGTCAACCCTGTGATCGCTGTTGTGTTGCTGGGGCCAGTACTACCCTGGTGACTAGGCCCACTCTGGGAACTTTGATGACTGCTTGAATGGGCGGAGTGACTTTGACTCAAACTCCAGTGAGGGTTTTGCATCATGATCTCCGTCTTCCATGCTTTAAGACGTGCAGCAATTTCCCTAAAGAGAGGTCGCCGTGCTGGGGTCTCGTGCCAACATTCTACCATGAGGCCGTATATACGAGTTGGACAATCCTCTGGGCAAGGAAGGATCTGGCGTTTTCTTACCACTTCAATCACCTCCTGATTGGAGAATCCATAGTAGGGCTGCAGTCCATAGCTAAATATTTCCCACATCACGATTCCAAATGACCACACATCACTCTCCGTTGTAAACTTTCCGTATAAAATTGACTCTGGGGGCATCCAGCGGACGGGCAGTAGAGATTTACTCTGTACCCTGTAATAATCTGATGAGTAGATGTCTCGTGATAGTCCAAAGTCCGATATTTTTACGTTCAGATTTTCTCCAACCAGAACATTTCTGGCTGCCAGGTCCCTGTGTACAAAATGGTGACTAGCCAAATACTCCATTCCCGAGGCCACTTGAGTAGCGATATGTAACATGTCTGGATAGTCGAGCATCGGTTTATGAGCACAGTCATCATCCGCCGCTGATACATCTGAGTTTGGTGAGCGACAAATAAGATATTCATGTAAATCTCCATGTGGCATGAACTCAAACAACATACACATGGGTTCTTGTTTCATACAAACGCCTAGTAAACACACAATATTCGGATGTCTCATTTCTGTCATCAAGTCAACTTCTCGTCGGAAATCATTCTTCATCTTTGGTGTTGCATTTTCTTTCAAAGTCTTTATAGCAACTTTTGATACAGTGTTTTCGGCGTAAAGACCCAACAGATCACCTTTGTAAACCTTCCCAAATGCTCCTTCTCCAAGCTCCTGCATGAATCTGATTGACGACAGTGGAAATTCACGGATACGAGTACCAGATTTGGCAGTTAGTGGATGAGATTCAGTGTTGTTTTGTGGTGCTGGGCGGCCATTTTTTAATCCTGCACCTTTTTGTTTTCGATGTCGTTGGAATAGGCATACAATTGCCAAAAGAAGAACCAAAGCTAGTGGTACGATAATCCCCGGAACCAGGATAAACATGAGTTTGTCGACCGGCTCTCCAGCTAAGGGGAAAAAAAGAAGACAATTATACACACAGACTATGGATTGTAAACATGGCACAGATTTCCCATAAAACATGAATACTAATTCATAGCAAAACTGAATAACATATTTAATCTTAAACTAGTTTTCTTTTCTTGTAATTTCCATGTATTGACAACAGGGAAAATGTTTTCTCTTCTAGAAACTTACTGTTAAAGATATTAACAAGTGTAATGTCATAACGTCAGTATTTGTAAGAATTTTTTATATTAATTTTTCAGCATATGCTGTGAGATATGAAGCTACGTTTTGAGAGTGGACACTTGATGCAGATGATCTCTAAATACTGGTTCAGTTAGTCAGAAATAAGTGTGAAATGATAGGCTTTAAGAATGTCTGTTAACACAGGTAATTTCTGTAAGAGAGGTGGTCTGTTATTACATGGTTGCATTATGGGAGGTGGCATTTTAAGGGAGGTGGCATTTTAAAAAAAACATAAGTGATTTCATTATAGAGGTTGTCTTAAAACACATACAATCTCTTGATAAAGATGATCTTAAATAATATTACATAATTGAGTTGAACTCTCAAACAGGTTTTACTTAATATCAATTTCAATCTAAAACCTTTCATTATCCTAAAAAAAGACCATTTAAAACTGAGACTGTAGATAAAGGAATACTTACTCTGATAGGGTGTACACTTGGGAATGTCACACAGTTCAGAGTGGTGGTAGAAGGGATCTGTGAAACACCAGGGGCCAGTAAATGTCCCGTTAGGGTTCCGGCAAAAGTTGTGATTTCCTTCAAAATCAAAACGTGTAACATGAAATACAACCAACTAGTATTACTTATTAAATATATTCATAATTTTGTTTAATTAAATAAATTTTTCAATAAGTAATGAGAGGTCACTCATGCATGTAAATTTCTTATAAAATACTTTTTTAAATGAAAGTTTTTAAAAAACATAAAATTTTGTTATATGTTAAGGTTACTACAAAGTAAGATCTAAATGAAGACTTTTCCACTATGGCAACAATCTGCACTCACTTCATCTATACAGAAAATAGGAAATTTTGCCTGTTTTTTTAACAGAAAATTTTCTCTTTCAGATTTTTGATGCCTACCAAGTTCTTTATTGTCTTTAGACTTGAAGCTTGGGTTGTGTAGCCAGTTCTGACAGGTTCGGCCAGAACGTGTTCTATTGACGTGTCCACGGTAGTTTTCTCCACTTCCATTATAGCAGTTCTCCTCTGTAAGATCATTACAATCATTATATCAAATAAAATTTTTGACTTATGGAGCTATGCTACCTTACTGTAACATGATTCTTCATTTCAAAAGAGTTCCAAGCTAGGTGATGACTTTATCAACATCGCTTGTACTTACTTGGTTGGGACTTTGTCACACCAATGCGAACACATCCATCACCCTCCGGAGTACCAGGGGGAGCCAACTCATAACACTTTGGTAAAAACTTGTCTCCTGTAAAATTAAAGGAATTATTTCAAATGTACAACCTAAATGTGTTTAATGAAGATGTGACCTCTAACCTTCATTATTATGCATATGACCTTTGAGCTTTACACACTTACTTCCATGCACTTATTCCGGGATATTCCACTTGATCAGAATGTCATAATTCAGGCTTTATTTTAAACATTGACCTGAATATAATGACTAAGGAACACACACATATGACCTACATACTGTATACATATTCAGGGCATGTGACCTACATACTGTATACATATTCAGGGCATGTGACCTACATACAGTATACATATTCAGGGCATGTGACCTACCAATGCGAGGATGATGTTTGCCGATGACATATTCTTTTTGACAGATGTTACTCTTCAGCATCTCGCACTCATCCCGACACACCTGTCGTGGCTTTGGACTCGTCGGGTCGTTGTCACACAGTGGGAAGGTGTGGTAACAAAGGAAGGGGATCGCATAATCTTGGCATTCCTTACTCATTGTGTTGGATGCCTGGATTGTCGTAAAGGCAGCTACAAAATGAACAATTACCACTTCTGATGAAATCTCTCAAGACACCAAGTCAACACCCGAAGAAGTTACAACCGCATAGTTCATCCAAATTGATATAACAGATCATGATCATTTTCTGATTACTGCTGGTTCTGTTTCTATTGATTTATAATTTATCAATTGTCATGCAAAACTACTGATACAGCAGATGTGATGAGTGATAGCACAAATGACTCCATGTCATACTCCAAACATCTCCAGATCCCTGACGTTCTTGTGAAAATCAAAATGGAAAAAACTGTTTTTCTGTACATTTATAAATAGCTTTCAAATAAAGTAAATTGGCACATTACACAATAATTATAGGGGAAAAATAATTAAATGGCCAGCCATTTTGTTAACAAAGAGTTAAAACAGAAGTATTAGAGTTCACTACTTTAATAAAGTCAGAAATTCATTGACTACTTTTTCCTTCTATAGGTACTATCAGATTCATTGACTACTTTTTCCTTCTATAGGCACTATCAGATTATTTATAGGTTAGTGAGCAAAGAGTCAACAAAATGATAATGCAGTAGGTGTATTGTTTTAAACAAGGAAGAGCAGAAAAGTCTCAATTATGGCTGGACGGTTCAAGCCTCAGCCGGAACATTTTTTATTTATCAATTTTTTCAATTTCTTTTTTTTTTTAATTTTTCAAACAAGTCTAATATTTATGCTAAGAAACTTGGGAATACCTGGTAATAAATAATTTACCCAAATTATTTCTTACCACAAAGATTTGATTGTTTCTCCAAGGACCCCAGTATTGTGACATAGTGGCATTACAGTGATATATGCATACTTATCACCAGTCAGCTTGTAATAATGATAAAATATTTGTAAAACATAAATTTCTTGCTCTTTTGCAATCCAGATTCTGATCAGGTGTAGAAATTGGTGTTATGATAATATGGAGTAAACCAAATCTTTTGAGAGTTTGTTGTGATGTTGATTCTGAACATGTCAGAGGCACAAAAATCACCTAGATTGGAATACCAAAAAGCGTGCTGATATGACCATTACAATCTTAACTGCAACTTTTTTTTATTTCAAAGGCTGGAAGAAACATCCACTTACCAAGGAAATTTTCTTCCTTGATGCCTTGAGAATACTCGGACGTGACATAGATTGTTCGGTTCTGTAGGAAACGTGAACATGTTGTACCCCGGAAAACCTGACAAAATCCATCGCCCTCCTCTTGTGATTTACGATCTTCTTCCTTGTATCTGTAATATATGACAACACATGTCAACCATAACCACATGTGTCATACATACCTGTATCAAGGTGTGCATTCTCAACACATGACATCATATGCTTATTCTTAATGTCATGGGCACTTAATGTAATTTTTCATTTGATATTTTAACATACAAGTATTAACATTTCAGCTTTTCACTCCAATCTCTACACAATTTAACTCAAGACCAAGCACAATTTAAACAGCACTGGTTATCACATTTCCTTAAACCTCATTAGACCGTAATTTAACATTTTCATTACTGGGACAAACTAATCAATAAATCAATTATAATCAACAAATTGATTCAACTAAATCAGGTGTTATATGTAATCTAATAATTTCCAAACATGAACAATATACTAGAAATTACACAGATTTTTTTTAGATCTCCAACAAATGTCCAATGATCTCGATACTAATAACTAGATGGATTGTATCTTTTTCATTGTGTTATTTAAAAAAAAAACCTACAAGAAAATGACCAACAGTCTTGCAAGGACATTAATTGGAAAAAACAGATTAAATTATTCTGATGTTGAGAATATTAGCTCAAATTATTAATTAACACCAGGGACGTATTAACACTAGACTCAGATAACAAAATTATAAAGATCAAGGGGAGATAATCCTGGAGAACAGCTAAAAAGACTTCTTGAAAACTAAAGAATTCAAGAACATTTTTCAAGTTGAATTTGCTTCAGGTTTTAACATACATAAAAGTTTGATTTAATCAAATAAGTTTCAACTCTACTAAGCAAATGAAAGCATTTTAAAACAGCAAAGATGTATAAAACAAAATGTCACAGATTTCCTTTTCTATGACTTGATAAAAAAGCATGCATTTGCCTTTTAAAGTTGCTTCTATTTTTCACAAACAAACACCATAAAACTATACAGTTACAACACCACAAAATACAATCATTGAGAAATTATATTTAACATTATTTGAAAAAGGAAGAGAAAGAAATAAAGTCTTCATGAAATTTTTCATTTACAAAAACAGTAATCAATCTACCACACCATATGGCGATAACCTTCATAACATATCAAGTTGAATTAGAACAAGAGGCCCATTTGGCCTGAACTGTTTACCTAGCTTTGTTGCTTAATTAAAGAAAAAGGAATTCTGATTGTTTCTATCAGTTCCCACCCCTCTGCCCTCCTGGGGTCAGTGAAACTAGTTATACCAATCTCCTTCACCCAAGAAAGCTTCTGTACACAAGTACATCAATGAAACTGATGAATGCTCCCTGAAAATGACTTTATTGGACAAAAAAACTTAACAAATTCAGCAAATAATTCTGTGGCCATGAATTTGGGTACTACAGATTGTTTTAGTATGACCAAAGTATACACCAAATTCTTATTATTCTAGTTTTAATTCCAACAAAGTTATGCTGATGACACAAAATTTTAACAAAGGGCAATTACTCTGTAATTATGAGGTTTGCTGGCTCTAACAATTTCTTAACAGTGCATATTGTCTTTGTTTGATCAATGAGTATACAAAGTTTCATTATCCTAGATTAAAAGAAAGCAAAGTAATGCTCTGGACAAGAAAATGCTCTGGATATGAAAGGATGGGTGGATGGACGGAGGGAGCATAAAAATTGGGATAGAATGCTGTCATTTCTACAGATGAAGTCGGGTCTTAAAGAATTTGCTTAAATTTTTGGCCCACACTTAGGGGAATCAGACCCACACCACATATACCAACTTGAAAACCCTTCCTCAAATGATGCTGCGGACCAAATTTGATCAAAATCTGCTCGGTCCTTCATGACAAGTAGTGTTTAAAAGAAACTGTTGATGGACAACGGATAGACGCCAGATGGATGATGGATGCCACGGTATAGCATGAAAATTTAATTTACACAATGTAAAAGGAAATAGATAGTTTCTCAAGTCATTCAAATCAATTTCTGTCAAGATTGATTGATATTATGTTACCTGAGATGAGAAAATTCCAACTTTCACAAAAACAAAAAAATTTACTTAAGCTTGTCTCCCTTGAACTGCTCCTTTGCTATGTAAATCCAGACAATAATTCCTGTAGACTGGCAGTATCCCATGAAATTCATTTTTTTCTCCTACCATAGACTTTTTACTCTCTCCAACTGGTGTTATTTTAACAAGGAAATTCTACATTTATCTTTTTAATTTTTAATTGCTGTTGATAAATTTAGAAAAGGTGTACATGCCAATTTTTCCCCCCTACAAATGAGTTTTTCTTTTTTTTATTTATATACTGAAACAATTTCTTTTATTCAAAAAATGAAAAAAAAAATTATAACTGCATGTTAATAAAAAAACCATCATATATTAAATAAATGACATAGAAAAGGTGATGAAAATTTACTTTCTGAGTTGTAAACTTAAAATCTAAAAACAAATATCAAAACCAAATATCTCTAAACTTCAACATATGCCAAAATCCATATCAATAAACACTGCAATTTCAAAAGTATAATTCAATATTCATGAGCCATGCCTTGCTGCCAGCATTTTAATTAGCATATTCTAATTAGCGCATAAATAATGATAAATGAAAATGCCTGTATGCAAATTAGGTTAAGTAATATGAGCTGAATGATGTAAGTATGAAATATATGTATATTATATGTTTGAGCAAATGGCAGTTAATCATAAATGATGAATTATATTAATTTTTTTTCATTAAATGGTTAATCAATGCATACAGTATTTATTTATTTACTTCATTAATTGCTTAATTTTATTAATTAAACATTGATAAATTGATAATTACATATAGAAACATTTTGTAATCAGTCATATCCATGACAATTCATCAATGGATTCCACTTTACATTTACTGTATGAAAATTGCTGGCTTATATTTATATATTTAGCATGTCTTGTAAATAAATAATCAAAGCAACAACACAAAAACGCACAAGCACAACAATCAACATGACTAAATACAAGCTTGAAAAGGCAAATGCAGTCATTCTAACAGAGTTCTCTCCCTTCTTGTACAAAAACAATTTAATACTGAAGAGTTACCTCCCCTCTTCTATTCAGAATAGGTTAGGAAAACAAAACACAAAATTTTACTGAAAATAATTGTTCCAGTTACTTCAGAAAATTCTAAATCTTGAAAGTAGAAAATACTTCAGGAAAAGAAATGGCAGAAATTTGATAGCTAGGAATGAAAAAGGCAGAAACTCCCAACAGAGAAGTGAGACAAGACTAAACTGGTTGGCGAGGATGTGAATACAAGCTAAAAAGGCTGTCTGGAATTCAATATAGAATTACCCAGGATACAAAAATCATACTCTCCATGTCAACGTTAAATACTGTAAAATGTCACTACAGTTCTTGGCAATTTTTCCTCAAATTTTTCCTTCTTTTTTTTCCAAACTCATAGGAAGAAATTCACCATTAAAACACCACTGATGGACATAGTATTTCATTACCATTATCATTTATTAATTCTTTTCCCTAATGAAAATATCAATTAAAAAAATTTTGATTTGAATATCACAGTATTTTTTGGTAGCGTTTTAACATGTGGAGTAGGAATCTACCTGGGACATTCCTCCATACTTACTTGTTATAAATGTCTGGGTCATATTTTCCATAGAAGCTTGCAAAGAGACAGGTACACCAAGCTCACACATTTGTTTTAATATATTTTCTTCAATTTCAAATTCAATTCCACATCATATTTACTTCCCACTTATATTCAAAAGAGATGTAATTAAAAGATTTTTATATGAAAACTTACACCAAAAAAAACCAACAGAATTGTTAGGAAAATTAATCAGATTCTCACTGACACAGTTATTTTGGACAAAAGTCCAAGGGCTAGTCCTCGAGGTCAGGGTCAGTGATGAAAAGTATTTTTTTATAATATTATGACCTGATTTCTTTGTCTGATTGAAACCTGATATTTAGTGCCAAAGTTGCTAAATCTGTTTTAATACATAAAACAAACACACACTCCCAACAGTATATAATATCCTTGCAACTGTTCACATTAATTGGAAGAAATGAGAGAACACAGGCAAGGGACACTCCCCCTCTTGCTAGTCACCGATCTATGTTTCCAGTGAGAAGTGACATATGCGACATTTTAACCAATCAAATGTAATATTACAGCCAGATTAGTCTGCCTGCGACCTTTGGAGTGTCATCTCTAGATGGCAGCACCGTTGGCCATTAATTTGCCGAGTGACAGGGCTTTGTCTATCAAGACCTCAGCCATTGTTCCACCAGGGTAGGATTTCTCATCTCTACTCATCTTGAATTTCAAGGCAATCAGTAACACAAAGAAATCGTGTGGCTCGAAGCAAGGGGAACAAGCCATCTGATACGACTGACTGAAAACATGTACAGTTTGAATGTTTCAACAAAGATTACACGTATAAACTAATGTCCCCTGTTGACAATCCTTGATAAAACACATACACAGAATTTCCACACTGGTCAAACACAAAGCTCAATAAAGCACCAAAGTATATATTGTTATCAGCAATATCTTTGTGTGTAGCTTGATCAATAAAGTTTTTCATGAATTGCCTGAATTCTGATGAGTCTAAAGGTTTCATTTTTTCCAATTTAATAAAACCTGAAAATACATTTCGAGTCATTTAGAAAAATATGTTTCATATTGTTGTGAATATAACAATAACAGTGGTTTTGTATATGTGAGTCAGTAAATTTTAGTGTCTGTGGTGCAATATATGTTTGACTTATTAATGGTTCTATAATATTTCAAACAAACATTCAAATATATACCAATATGCCATCATCATTCCTCATCAACAGCCCTATCATTGATGAAATATTAACCTTTTGACCTTTGATGTCCTTCAGCTATTTCTTAAATTATTCTAACAAGGGCTATCTTGACCAATAGACCTTTTAACCATTGACCTCATTCAACTGTTTCTTATACTGTTCTAACAAACGCCACAATGACCTCTTGACCTTCACCTTTGCGAAACTCTTCCAAACAGTGACCTACATTTTGAACTCTGACCTAATTAGCATTCCCTTACCTGTCAGTGTTGTCACTGATGTCAGGAGGGTTAGATCTACCTCCATCTCGCCCTCCAGAACCCTTGTCTTTGGTTGGCGGGTAACCTATCAATGTAAGGAAAATACATAGAGATTAAATTCTACCAAATCAGTAAACAGAAATCTTATATCTAATACTGTTATATCTTGTACCTACCAAGCAAAAACAATCTCTACTGCAAAGTTAGGAGGTGGACCAGGCTTACTACAGAGAAATCATATAGTATAGCACCTCTAACATTTCTACAGAAACTTCAATGGATGTCAGTGGGCTTATTATCAGACACAGACTTATTACTGGATATATAAGACATAATAACACAAGAGGCCTAGCGACCTTGACAGTCACCTGAGATAAACAATATTGAATATAAAGGTTAAAGGGTAAGTAGCTTTCGAGTGTCCTGAAAAAGACATTGTGACATTGATGATAGTAAGCCAGTGTCAATACATGCATACCATCAAAACTGTCATCCTATACTGATAATTCTGACAAAGTTATTTCCAGAGGGAAATAAACAACATTATGCTCAAAAATGCTATTTTTTTTATTAAAATTACTGTAAAGTTAGCCTCCTCCCAAGGAAGAAATGTTAGCCCCATTTCACTAATTAATAAAGCACCTTAAGACACTTTCCTCCATGAAGAGCATATATGATTGTTGAGAAGACGATTTTAGAAATCTGAGCCAATTTGCCCCCTTTTTGGCCCCCTCCCCATCATTCCCTCTCCCCACTGGGAAATATGAGACCTGGGGCTACCAATGTCACAATTTTGGTAAAGCATCTTATGATGCTTCCATCCATGAAGATCATTTGACTCTACTATATCTGGGCGTTGAGAAGAAGATTTTAGAAATCTGAGCCAATTTGCCCCCTTTTTGGCCCCCTCCCCATCATTCCCTCTCCCCACTGGTAAATGTGAGACCTGGGGCTACCAATGTCACAATTTTGGTAAAGCATCTTATGATGCTTCCATCCATGAAGATCATTTGACTCTACTATATCTGGGCGTTGAGAAGAAGATTTTAGAAATCTGAGCCAATTTGCCCCCTTTTTGGCCCCCTCCCCATCATTCCCTCTCCCCACTGGTAAATGTGAGACCTGGGGCTACCAATGTCACAATTTTGGTAAAGCATCTTATGATGCTTTCATCCATGAAGATCATTTGACTCTACTATATCTGGGCGTTGAGAAGAAGATTTTAGAAATCTGAGCCAATTTGCCCCCTTTTTGGCCCCCTCCCCATCATTCCCTCTCCCCACTGGTAAATGTGAGACCTGGGGCTACCAATGTCACAATTTTGGTAAAGCATCTTATGATGCTTCCATCCATGAAGATCATTTGACTCTACTATATCTGGGCGTTGAGAAGAAGATTTTAGAAATCTGAGCCAATTTGCCCCCTTTTTGGCCCCCTCCCCATCATTCCCTCTCCCCACTGGTAAATGTGAGACCTGGGGCTACCAATGTCACAATTTTGGTAAAGCATCTTATGATGCTTCCATCCATGAAGATCATTTGACTCTACTATATCTGGGCGTTGAGAAGAAGATTTTTGAAAATTGAGTCAATGTGGCCCTTTTTGCCCACCCTTAGGCCCCTGTTGGGTGGGGACCATATAATTCACTATTTTGGTTCATCTCTGGCCAGGGAATAGTTCTGCAAAAATTTCAATGAAATTGGTCCAGGAATTTTTGAGAAGTCGAAAATGAGACTTTGTCTCTGGCGACCTAATAAATAGATCGTAAACTTGTGAAAACAAGTCAGAAAACTATAATCAGGTTTCATCTTAGTCAGTGAGTAATCCAACTTATAGTGATGGTAGATAATAACACTATATAATTATACTGAAATACAGGCAGAATTTGTCCCTCTGATAGTCATGTCAAACAGATTCAGTTCCTCTCATGGAGATATTTACCCTGATAATGAGCAAAATTGTCAGACCTACCTTCCTTGACTTCTAAGAAACCTGTTGTGTTGACCTGTCCAGCCTTGTTGACCGCTCGACACATGTACCAGCCACTGTCGTATGGCTCCAGTTTCTCAATCTTCAGCCTAATAAAACATGTAAATCAGCTGGTAAACATTTAGGATATAAAATTTAGAGCTGTAATCCGTGATAATTAATTATACTTCCTACAGAAGTTTTTATATCATTTCATTACCAAAGCAAGCATACGGCAACCATTTATTTCTCGAAAATGGTACCATTCTGTTTACTTTTCTTTAAATCCTATAAAACCTATTTTCAACTCCATTGGGAAATATCTCAATTTCAACTAAACAGAACCCTCTACTGTGTTGCCATGGTAACAGATTTAGAGACAGCTACATATACATAAGATTATTAATGAAACTCTATGTTTAGCTACATCATCTGACCAAGGTTGTATAACAAGAGGCCTAAAGGGACAACTAATTTCTGTAATAATTTCCCTTACGTCTCTTGACATTGTAGTCAAACAGATGTAAGATTCGCTATTCATAAAAATATGATTTCACAGTGCAGAAAACCCCAATTTATCTGTTGTTCTTTGCATACAGTAACCATAAGGTATAATAAGGAACAAAGAGATTTCACTCTGTATATGACAGGTAATGCCATATATGACTGACAAATTGTTTTGGGAAATGTTTTGTTCAATGACAGAAGTGATAAATGATTTCTGATATCAAGAATCTACAGTTGCTTCTCATCTGATCATATATATATACTACCAGGTATATCCATTCATTTCTACAGTAAGTTTCTAAAGAGTTTTTCTATTTTCCCTGTTGGACCCCATCCCTATTGCCTGACAGGGCCAAGACCTTACATCTATGCAAACTTGTGTTCCCTACACGTTCACCTTTCCCAAAGGATGCTTCTGAATAAATTTGGTCAAAATCTGTTCAGTCCTTCATGACTAGTAGCCATCTTTGGCAAAAAGTTGATGAAGCCATATCCCAAGTTCAACACTACTCTAGAATATATAGACTCAAACCTGAATACTATTTTATCTGAAATTATGGCTTATATATAGGGAAATAGAGTCGTTTCTGAAATGAAACATACATAAAATTGTTTAATTTTTAACATTTGCTATTGAAGAAAAATCCAAAATCTGATATCTTTATAAAGCTGTGGGTTGATGTTGTGTATTCTATTTCAAAAGTTTGAAAAAAAAACATTTCAGTTTAGTTAGAGAAAGAAATCAGAGTGTATGGATTGCAAAGTTTCTGATATATAGACCAATGCGTTCAGATACAAGAGGTTCTGACACAGAGTAAATGTTCAATTTGCTAGAATTATAAACAAACACCTATGCATTTGTAACAAACTAGAGAGGTTCTATATTACAGGACTGATCAGAAAATCATTAAACAAAATAATCTTCTTCAAACAAAACCTCATTTAAAACGATCTAAACAAGTTTTGTACTACTTTGGCAGCCAATACACCAGAAATTTAGTCATTAAATCAACCCATTTATAACAGACAGTGAAAAATCAATGCAATGTAAAATATATTTGATTTGCTTTCGACAACTTTTCGTTCCAATCTGTTAGTTGTCAGAGTAATATATTGCCGGCAATCGCAGATCTTGGCTTTATCGCACAAAAAATGGAGAAAATGACACTATAAGCCCTGACCATAAATAAACGTGTTATCATGATAATTCAGTTTGATGTGATTCAACATCATTATATAAAATCTAACCTCGCCAAAACAGGGACAGCAAAACTTCTCATTTATATCAGGTCAGGTGACAGGAAATGGAATTATTTTGAGCGGGCAGAATATCATGATCATCAATCGACTTGGCATTGTGGCTGTAATCAGTCAGAGTTTTTATTGTGTGTGAGAAACATTTGTTGTTGTTTGTTTACAGTGATAAGTATAAAAAATATAAGACAGGTTTAAGTCAGTTGGCTCTTTTATGTTAAGAAGAGTTGTCTCATCGACCTTGACCTGTATTATCAATCAAGATGAAGGTCAAATTCAATTAATCCTTGCATATCTGGAAATTTTAAGCCTTCTTAGCTACACAAGATATTAATCTTTAGATAAGGAATTTACTGGGTCTCCCTCTGAATGAGATTACAGCAGTTTTCCTTCAAGAAATAAGAGTGAGGCTGTGTGGGTTTTTATTCTTTTATTTTTAAGCTCATGAACGGATGGCATGTCAAACTTTTTAGATTTGACTGTTAATCAGACATTTAACACATAAAATTGTGTTAAGTCTCTTACACTAAACACTGGACATAAATCACCTTTTTTGTTTTTCTATCATTATGATTAATTAAGGTGTCTGATCAGTATAAATACTATAATGAAGTGTTGATAAAAGTATCCTAGGTCTGAAAAAGCAGTTTAGATAATTCACAATTTACATGGGTTTTTTTTATCTCATTTGTCAATCTTTTACAAAAAAAAAAAAAAAAACATAAATAATCAATACCATTCCTGAATGAGTCTACAAAGGCCATGCTTGTGATGGGCAATTCCAACACATCAGTTGTTTCATTTGCTCTTTCAAAACTAAAAAGACATCAATTTTCTTTTTTCAAGTCTGAAATCTTCATGTTTGTGGCAATAAATTTTTGTCCTGAACCAAAATATCTTTTCCATAATATCATAACCACTCAGAAAAAACACAGGGAGGAGTCATCCAAATGTCACACACATTTTACACAAATTTTCTAAATGGCTGTAATTATATATGAAAAGCCATTTACATATAAACTCATAGACCTAAAGAAAGGGTTTCCTGTCAATGTATCATCATCCTAGAACCCCACAATCTGTCATAATGTCATTTTAATGACCTTAAAGATCAGACCTCCATCAATAGATGATCTCTATTTTAATTATGAAATTAGATCAATTATTCTTTTGTGCTTCATTTAGCTGCAAGTTGATTTTGAAATGTATCAATATTCTAAAAGAGAACAATTTGTCATAATTTGGTTTTAAATGACTTTCACACATTAAAAAAAATAAGACCTCAACACACAAAAAAAAAGAAAATTTCTCAAAAATAATTTGAAAGCTAAGTCTTTAAATCACAATCTTCAGAAATTAAAAATAAAAAGATTTCATGCCCGAGTCCCATAAAGTAATTGACCCTAACCAAACTCCGGTGACGAAATGGCCATAAGTCTCAGAGTTGTCAACCCCTGAGGGAGCTGGGGACTACCAGGGTTCGCTGGGAATAATGGAGAACCTTGTTCGTGCTTGACATCCCAAAATCTAAATCTTTTATTTTCTCACTTTTCTCTAAGATCGCTGTCTCCAATTTTTTTTTCTATGGGGGTAAATTCAGTTTTCAATTACCGATATGGCACCATTCTATCATTCGCCTGTTACAAGTGATCTGCCCTATCTGCCACCAGATGGCATCTTGTTAGTTCTAGTCATACAACCCATGGTCCATCTCGTCAAGGACGATCCCACACCACACTTTAACAGTAAAGCAAATAGTGTAATCGTCCTACTGTATGACTATTAACTTGTTTTTTTCACCACAGCTTGGTATCAAATTTACATAAAATGAAAAAAGTAACACAGTGTGCCCTATTTTAAGCTAACACTCTTCGGATGACAAAATTTGGTTACTTTATAGAGAGTTCTGGATTAATACATTCTTCTTAAAATTGCCAATAAAAATGGCCTTATTTATTGCCATGTTTGTTAATCCATTTGTCTTTCAGTGATAAGCTGCCCACAATTTTTGATAATGTTCAATTGCTTATTTCTTAAATCATAACAAAGAGAACCCACAGTGACTTAAATGTTATTTAAACAAAATAATTAATTCTTTATTTCTCCAAATATGAAATCTTTATGTATATTTAACAGACAAAAGCCACAAATATGTGTAACCATGGTAACATACTAGCCGCTGGGCTAGAGAGAACTTCTCTTTAGCTCAATCAGTCGAGCATCAGACTGGTATGCCAGACATCCCGGGTTCAAATCCTATCGAAGGCATTGAAACAAATAATGACCTATGTTACATATGTATATAATGACCTTTGTTACATATGTATATAATGACCTATGTTACATATGTATATAAAGACCTATGTTACATATGTATATAATCAATCAGAAATGGAACATAAGTGCACCATATCCAGTAACTCCACAAAAAGTTGCTACATGAAACAAAACGGATGGACCACATCTTTTGGTCGATCAGTGATTGATCTTTTAATTTTCATCAGAATCGTTGTTTCTCGATACCTTTCTCTAGATTGGTGTCACAGAGAAAGCACCAGACTGCCAAAGTTACCAAAGTACTCTTTCAATTAACAACACATGTTTCGGGTTCTCAATCAAAAGCCAATCAGGCATCTCTTTCGCTTGTTACTTGTGAATTAATTTTGGAGAAGTACAACAACTAATTACAGTGGCTTAGGTACAATTTCAGTAATTTTACTTGCCTGAGATAATTGGTTTCTCCATAATTGCATTTATTGTAAGGTATGAGGCTGTGTTAAGTGTATACCTGCAGTCACCATTACATGAACTTTGGATTTATATGGAGTTTATTACTGTATAAACTACAGTCAAACTTGGATTTATATGGAGGTTATTACTGTATAAACTACAGTCAAACTTGGTTTGATTCGAGTCTTAACAAGAAAATGTCATACATAATATTATGCTGTTAATAAAGCCATGTCTAGCATGAAGAGCTCCTGTATTACTGCTGTTCTGTGTTGTTTGGTAATAAGCCTAACCCTTGTGAAGAGCTCCTGTATTACTGCTGTTCTGTGTTGTTTGGTAATAAGCCTTACCCTTGACTTTTTATGTGTTTTGGTCTCTATGGCTTATTTTGAGTATATATGGTGGTAATGATATTGATACAGATAAAACCCCTGATATGTCGATAAAGAAATCAGAGTATCCAGCATGGTATAACCCTTTAATTTTCATTAACTTCATTTTGCTTCTTCAATAAGCCTATTGGGTCAACATTTTCATGCAATTTTAATTTTTGAGGGTGAAAATTTTCTGATAATTTAACTGAACAGAAATAAGTAAGGTTAGACATTACCAGACATGGCCTTATTGTTAGATAAATATGGTTAGACATTACCAGACATGGCCTTACTGTTGGATAAATATGGTAAGACATTACCAGACATGGCCTTATTGTTGGATAAATATGGTTAGACATTACCAGACATGGCCTTATTGTTGGATAAATATGGTAAGACATTACCAGACATGGCCTTATTGTTGGATAAATATGGTCAGACATTTCCAGACATGGCCTTCTTGTTGGATAAATATGGTCAGACATTACCAGACATGGCCTTATTGTTGGATAAATATGGTAAGACATTACCAGACATGGCCTTATTGTTGGATAAATATGGTTAGACATTACCAGACATGGCCTTATTGTTGGATAAATATGGTAAGACATTACCAGACATGGCCTTATTGTTGGATAAATATGGTAAGACATTACCAGACATGGCCTTATTGTTGGATAAATATGGTAAGACATTACCAGACATGGCCTTACTGTTGGATAAATATGGTCAGACATTACCAGACATGGCCTTATTGTTGGATAAATATGGTCAGACATTTCCAGACATGGCCTTCTTGTTGGATAAATATGGTAAGACATTACCAGACATGGCCTTATTGTTAGATAAATATGGTAAGACATTACCAGACATGGCCATACTGTTGGATAAATATGGTAAGACATTACCAGACATGGCCTTATTGTTGGATAAATATGGTTAGACATTACCAGACATGGCCTTATTGTTGGATAAATATGGTTAAACATTATCAGACATGGCCTTATTGTTGGATAAATACGGTATCTGGGAATACATGCCACCATATAGTGATTAATTATAGATAACAGTACTTTTTAATGTTATCTATATTGATGTTGTGTTCATAATCAATAGTTTATCAACAAAATTCATCAAATATTAACTCATATATACGTCTTTATTATCTCCAATAAGCCCATGCTTAGCATGACGCTCAATGTTTCAAATATTTATCAATTATGGACGTTAGATGAGGTCAATGTGGTGTCATATCAACCTGGTAGAAAAATACTGACCTCGAGAAACAGGATACACTAAAACAATCAACTTTCATTTATTTGTTTTCGATGTGTGAAATTCTTTTGACTTAATGGGCTCTCTGTTTCATGATTGATATATAAATGCTAACATCTATACTTGACACACTTAAAGTCCCCATTTAGCTTTATCAATCAGAAACACACTACAGATCCTAAATTTGTAATTCCATCAAAACCATAGTAACCACTTTTCCCAGATGATGATCTAAACCTTTCTAGGTTTGCATGTACTTACCGTGATCCCCATGGAGTTTGCCTAACACTGATACGACCTTCATTCTCTCCGATGGGAACTGTATCCTTAAACCACTTGTAGCGAGGTAGCGGATTTCCTGATATCTCACATCTGATACGAACACTATCCGTTTGGTACTTGCTTATGTTTTTCATCGCATAATCTAAGTCCAATTTGGCTGGAGTTCCTGATAAAAAAAAGAAAATTGATTTAAAAATATACAATAACTACTCTGAATTCTACAAACACATTAGTAAATGTCTTACCTTACATATCATACCTAAAATCTGTGTCAAAGTTATCTCCCTTTGTGATATATATGCGGTCTTGATATACATGTGGTTTGTGTTTAAGGGTGTATGTAATCTTATTTTCTTGTACATCATTCCTGTGATTATCTTAAAGAGTTATTTCCCTTTAAACCTTTTCCATACCTGTGAATTAATGTGTTATTTCCCTTTATGATTTCATATACATTGTACTTAAATAACAAAAAACTATTAATTTTATCAATCATTTTTAATCTTAAAGGATAAAATCATTTTGAGAATTTGAAGATCCAAAGGCACCATAATCCGTACCAAAAAATTGTAAATTCTCTGTTCTTGAGCTTGACTTTTTCGAATTAATTTAATAAAGGTTTAAAGTATTATCTGTTTGGTTATCTGAATGGTTATACACAAGAGAATTCCTGGAACAACTCCTAACCTAGGACTAGGCCGAGACTTTATTTAATATACATGTTAACTTAAAGCTTAAAAATGTATATTCAATTAGAAGTGATTGCTTTTGTTTTAATGTAAAATAATAGCCATAGCTATTTCATTATAATGTGATTTATTTTCTCAAAATCAAGAGAAAGAATCAAGAATATTATTCCAATTTTTATACAATTTTGTCTCTGCATGAAGAATACTTCAAGTTGTTTTCTAAATCTCAAGAGCTAAAAAATCCTTATCATTTTTCAGAAGATGTCAAGCAAGCACTGTCTCAATCAAAAATGAATTTTTTGCTCTCCACAGCTTTTGCGTAAACTTTCTAGAATCAATTTTTATTCAAAATTTGTCAAATTCAGATTTTTGGCCTGTAGGATGATCAAACACACTAAGTATTCCAGTATCAGAAAAAGATGGTGAAATTCATGACATCTGCATAAATAAATTAATTGCAAAATGTCAAAAAAATTGGTTTTATAATTTAAAGTGACAAAGAATTGGTTAAGCAGATGCTTTTTTATCTCCAGTATCTAAATTCTATGCATTTTGATATCAAATACTAGACAACACCATAATATCTGAAACACATTTTATACTCGAAATCTAAAATTGAATAATGAAATTCATTTGAATGTAACTAGAAAATAAATTTGACACAACACACAGTAAATGAATTTAAACACTACACAATTTTTTTCCCACAATTGAAGTTGGAATCTCTTCTACAATTATCGAAATATTTTTTGCCTGATTGTGCGAACAAAAAACAAAAATCCTAATTACCAATCGGAGAAACAACGCTTATCATGCACAAAGTAAATGATCTTCATTACGGAGGTTTCTAAAGTACCTGTTTCTCTTCACCATTAATGTACCTATGTCAGGCAAACTTCAAACTAAATCACCCATTGATGTGTTAGTTTGTAACCAGCATTCGGATGTATGCAAAACTTCGGATCAAGATGATCGAGACATTGCACTGTATTAAAGGCTTGTGTTAGTCTCGTAACAGGAAAATCAGAACTTTTATCTTGAATGACTGATGAGCATGTTTTTTGACGTTTTGAATTTATTTCATCTTCTGTATTAAGAAATAAAATTTTATATTTCCATTATCAGACAAAACTATACTAGTAGTATCAGAAATGACAACAAAACCTGTACACTTAATTCCTTACTCACACTGTTCTAGAAAATAATGGATGCAATGAAATTTGAAAATCTATGAAATCCTAAATATATTGATCATTCAAATATTTTCCTAAAAGCAAATTCTTTGAAATTTAATTTTTCTGTATAAAAATGAAATAATTTTATTTCACTAAATTTTCTTAAAGCCATGAAATAGCAATTTCCCAAATATAAAAAAAATTCAAAGTCAAATATGAAGAATTGGTAGGCTGAAAATATATAGATTAAAGCTTAGTAGGAAGAAAGTTTGCTCAAATCGAATTTTACTGACACAGCTGTGCTGACACAAATGGTTAAAACTATTTTTTTTAGATAAAAAAATTCAAACACACTGAAATTGAGAAGATAAGAAAGTTTTTAACTGGTATCATGCAAAAGAAGAAAATCCTATCCAGTATACTCACAGGCAGTTGTAGAGAATTAGAAATCCAGAAATGATTGCAAAACAGAAAGAAACACAGAAATGAAGGAAAGCAGATACACATCAATATACTGATATTATTAATGGCAATAATGTTTGAAATTTTTGAAAACATGAATGTCCATGCTTTTATATTTGTTTGTTTGGTTTATAAGCTCTGTGAACAGCAAGGGTCACTTTGGGGTAGGCTCTCCTTGAAACAGCTGGTGGTATCTTCACTGAACAACATACTGGAGGCCTGTCACATGCCATCAAGAGAATCTAAATGGAGTAAAATATCTTCCCCTTGGACAAAACCACAACAGCATGTACCATTTCTTGGAAACTCACTTCAGATCTTCACCTGACAAACACACCCCACAACAGGTAGGGAACTTGGAACTACACACTTCAGATCTTCACCTGACAAACACACCCCACAACAGGTAGGGAACTTGGAACTACACACTTCAGATCTTCACCTGACAAACACACCCCACAACAGGTAGAGAACTTGGAACTACACACTTGAGATCTTCACCTGACAAACACACCCCACAACAGGTAGAGAACTTGGAACTACACACTTGAGATCTTCACCTGACAAACACACCCCACAACAGGTAGGGAACTTGGAACTACACACTTCAGATCTTCACCTGACAAACACACCCCACAACAGGTAGGGAACTTGGAACTACACACTTCAGATCTTCACCTGACAAACACACCCCACAACAGGTAGGGAACTTGGAACTACACACTTCAGATCTTCACCTGACAAACACACCCCACAACAGGTAGGGAACTTGGAACTACACACTTCAGATCTTCACCTGACAAACACACCCCACAACAGGTAGGGAACTTGGAACTACACACTTCAGATCTTCACCTGACAAACACACCCCACAACAGGTAGGGAACTTGGAACTACACACTTCAGATCTTCACCTGACAAACACACCCCACAACAGGTAGGGAACTTGGAACTACACACTTCAGATCTTCACCTGACAAACACACCCCACAACAGGTAGGGAACTTGGAACTACACACAAACACACCCCACAACAGGTAGGGAACTTGGAACTACACACTTCAGATCTTCACCTGACAAACACACCCCACAACAGGTAGAGAACTTGGAACTACACACTTGAGATCTTCACCTGACAAACACACCCCACAACAGGTAGAGAACTTGGAACTACACACTTGAGATCTTCACCTCAGGTTGCTGTGGTCATTGCTCTACTGACTTTGATTTTAATAAGGAACAAGATTCACAGAGAAGACAATAAAATGTTTTTTATAACTATGTCATTATATTGCTGACAACAAGTCCATGTCTGTTAATAAGCCCACCCAAGTATAAAGCTGTTCAGTAGAATTACAAACCAATGCACTATAACTGTCATGTAATAATTTCAGCCTTGACTGGTAAAGATATTACGCTCTGGTGTTGTAACTTTCAGTTGTGAAGATATCATAATCAATATCATACACATATCACAGTTATAGATTTCAAACTTGCAGAAAGAAAACAAAACAGTGCATTTTTCTGTGTTTTTAACATTATTTATTGATAATACGTAAATGTTCCTTTTGATTAACGCCCTCTGGCAGATTTTTGGTGTTGGTTTATGTACATTATCGTCATAACTTAACGTTTCCAATGCTAGATATTGTACAATTTTGGCATTGAATCATGTCTTTTAACCAGAAGCGGAAAGATTAAATCATGTAAAGTTGACAAAGTTGAGAATTGATAAGACTTCCCTGCCACCACGCCCCACCCCAAGTCTACCTCCATCCATGCCCCATTCCTGCACACTCAACACATGTAATACGGCTCATTAGATAATTTCACTTGAAAAAGTGGTTCTAAATATAGGTATGAAAAAACATAAATAACAAGTTATCACATTTATGATTGACCCCCACCCCAAAGTAATTTTGTGGGAAAAAAACACCATTTCCTATGAATCAAACACGATATCCTACTTCCATCATGCTGACAGGTGTCTTAGGAAATCGGGCTAAAATTCTCCAAACGCTTTAAATGTAATTAATCATTAAATACACACGTCAGAAGCTGAAGCGATATGGTGAATGCATTCTGTCTCAATAAGCCAACAGCATAAATCTTGCATATATTAGCAGAAGACCTGGGAATGTCTGCACTTTTTCTGAGTGGGATTGATTTATGTTCATAGTTCACAGTTCAAAACTTTTAGGTAATGTATATATTTCTGTTCATTGAGATTTATACCACACACAAAATTATTCAGATATCTTAAAATTCTGATGAAGAGGAACAAAATCTAATATTCTACAGAAAACATCGTTTTGAAACATTTGTAAAATTTATTTGTTAAAGAAAATAAAATATTTTTTCTAATAATTTTCAAAAACTCTAACAAATCAGTGACAGAGGTGTTAATGTGACTGAAAATTTCATAAAATATGTAATATTTTGAAACAAGAAATAAGTGAGATCCCATACAGTGTACAAAGAGGAAGCTCCTTTGTTACTGATATCTATTATGGTGTTGTATATACTTTACATAAATTGTGATCTATATATGTTTTATCAATTGCTGTCAACAGATAAATAGGAGCTAGATGGCCTTTGGTCAGCAGCTGATCATAACACTGATTGACCTGGTGGTCCTCAATGATTCTATTTGCCTGATTAATCTGCATCCACGGTAACCCAGAATTCAGGAAACAGAACTTGACAGCATCTTGTGGCTATTTTCTGCTTCATGTAAACTCTTGAATAAATAGCCTTTTGACCTAACCTGATAGTTCCATTGTAAGGTTATAGATGACCCTGATCAACTTAGCCAGACCAGTTGATTAATGGACAATCTTCAAAGCTACCTTACTTTGTGTGGTTGGTCCTGTTGTACCAACATTATTCCATTTATAAAAATAATCAAGAGATTAAAAATATTCATTAATTTCTTCTCCGCACCTGGTATGAAACATTTTCCATCAGTATTGTTCCAAAACTGATAAAGCTGAAAGTACCTACAAAAGAGGGTTTACAAGTTCAACCAATTTGTCCTTGTTGTCCCAGTTCCTACTGCTCCAACCGTGATAAAGAAAGCAATACAAGAGTTCAGATGATCTATCATTATTAGACTCTATCAATTCCAATTAAAACAACTTCTCTGAACATACATCACCTGTCAAATTGACTTCAGGACTACCTACTTCTTGCTAATAAAGATTTATTTCTTTCCAGGTGCAATGACAAAGCATCCAATGAAAAGCTGGACTGGTCAGATTCCTGAAAGTTGATTCCACAACATAATTTCGTGTTTTTACCAAGGATCCAGTCTATTTTTTCATCAATGCTACAATTAACTTTTTTGGGGGATTTTTTTTTGTTTACAGGTAATTACCTGTGCGTGCCCAATGAAGCTGATTGGTGAAAGCGACCAGAACTACGACCTCACACTGTTCCAAAAGAAATCCGTTTCTTATGGCAATTCGCTGGCAAGGTAAATAATTTAGAACTAGCTGGTTTGAAATCAATGGCCAAAAACGTTCCACAAAGGTTAAAGGGTTTTACTTATAGCCTCTCTGTGGTGTCATTACATTAATAATGTATACAATACTGCAGGTTAGAAGCAGATCTAGAGGGACACAACACACATCAATTAACCCCTACCTTCCCCCAACACACTTCTCAACATAAATCATCATTTTTAAACCTCTTTACACCTAGGAAAAAAAGCTGCTGAGCCTACAAAATCTTAAAATCACAATGTATCATTTGAAAAAATTGTATATATTTAGATTTTTTTTCTTTTTACTGGTAAGTGCTTTGGTATTATAGAGTTGGGATAACAATGTTGTATGTTTAAGTGATGGCAGATTTTGATATTTCGTTTTGCCCAGTGTTGAGATAGCACATATTGATTAACTCTGTACATGTGTCCCCCATTTGTCACCTCATACCCCTAATCCTCCAAAACCCAGACACTATAACTTTGACAAGCCAAGCAGCTTTATTCTGCACCAATCGATATTGGGGTTATGGGGTCATGCAACTCTAATGGGAGCTAGTTTATATATATATATCTGTAGATACTTTCCCATACATGTAAAAGGAAATAGCTTTATTCACTTTTCCTTTCTTTTTTACAACAATATTTACAAAAAGGGTTATGTTTATAGGGACAGATTTCAATATTTACAGAATTGTTCCTAGGATCAGACCAGGCCAGAGAGACCTGGGGAGAACCCATGTGGTCAGACAGGTGACCTTGTACGTTTTCACCTCCGTTACAGGAATCAAACCCTCGTAAGTTTCACCTCCGTTACAGGAATCAAACCCTCCTAAGTTTTCACCTCCGTTACAGGAATCCAAGCCTTGTACGTTTTCACCTCCGTTACAGGAATCAAACCCTGGACAGCTACGTACATTACCACTGCTTGGTGCGGTAATTTATGGTTCTTAGCATGATACACAAAGCAGGATCAAAAGCAGTTTTAAAACTGTGTCTGACTCATGTTTCACTATCTCTGTTTTAATGATGATACAAGTGTAGAATGTCTTACTAGCTGGACACAGCTGGACATCTAATTAGCCGAATGACCTCTGATCATCCAATGCAAAACAGGAAATGGTCAAAGTTGGCTGACCATCACCTTTCTCTTCTGACCATGTAAACAGATAGATTTAGTCATTGTTGTTTTTAAATACCACTGAACTTTGAAATCCTCTTTCCTAAATAAGACAAAATTCAATGTTTTCTTAATTTAACTACGGCTGACATGTTTGGCATATGGTTTGTGCAATTTTCTTTAATTTCTGTCACCCATATTGATCTTACAATATCCCTACGGTGCTGACATAATACTTCTTGATCAAGATCAGGGGTAGGGTGATTATGCAACATAAAAACAATGAACAGCATTAAGCATAAGTCTACTGCTACTGCAGGAGTTAAGTAAGGTAACCATAGACATTGATAGAATAAGGCAAATTTCACAAAAAAAGGTTGGGATCATTTTCCAGAAAATGTTATGATTATTTTTTAAATCACTCAATGTCCACAAACAAAAATCCTATGATACTGACATTTTACAATCAATACTGATAGTTACTGATGTTTACAAAGAAATATTGGATTGTAATATGACAATATAAAACTATACAACTGGTTTGTGATATATTTACTATCTACTTGCGTTCTAGCACCTCACAGACCGAGACGTCAGCTCAGCTAATGGTGTCTGATCAGATCTATGAGTGCCAACATTGCTCAACCTTTCCAACAGGAATTCTCTAGGGACTACTGAAACTATTTCAATATTGCATACATGGATCTATATATCTATCTTACAAATTTCTACAGTCACCATAACACAATGTTTGAAACAAATCTTGCTAAGTATCAAGCTAAAATTACCCAGTCTTTCCACGAGACATCGTTAATCATGACAATAAGGAAGATTTACAATCATACCGCTGCCTTCTCACTGGTGTCTGTTTTTTTCTATTTTTAAGAATCATTTCATTTATTGATAAATTTTTAAAATCTGAGTTTCTTTTAACATTAATATTTTTAATTGACATGTTATAATTGAAGCTTTAGTAGTCCTTGTAAGCTAAATATTTTTCAGTAGATGGAGTTGTTGCCCTTGTCAGAGTAACTACTTACTTTATATTTAAGTTTTAACACTGCACACAAATTTTGTAAACATCTTACAAAATGTCTTATCAATTCATACCAACTATCACTTCATCAATTTTTTGAATTCCTTTAACATACTGCCATAATTTTCAGTGTTCTTTTCAAATGTGAGATTAAATTTCATCTTTTAGAAAATTGGTAATAATTTCTTAATGTGTTTTAATTAAGTATCATCAGTTGTTTCCATTTCAGAAATATAAGGAATAAAGTAAATATCAACAGTTTCCATTGATAGATATAGAAATTGACTTCCTAAACGTGTGTTAATGTATACTACGATCTGTCGTCAAAGTGAAAATAGAGGACAAGTTATCTTTATAGTCGCACAAAGTCTTGCACATTCAAATTTTACAGGAAGATCACTTGACTGGACAAAGGAGAATCTCTACTCCAAAACATCGCCTATCTCTCCACTTACACCCTCAACATGATCACGCATTTTTATCGTTGAATTACTTCTAGATTCATGGCTAGTCGACAAAGCCTGGCATTCTAACAACAAATGGCCTCCATTGTGTCAACCTGTTATCACGTTTCCCGACATCAGCCTTTCCTGTTGTTACCAGGATCATAACTCATTTACCCACAATGCTTGGTACAATATAGCTCTTGACGCACTGCTATGATATACAGCACATTGCTACTAGGTGGCTGCACCATTGACAACTAGACATGTCAAATGTTCCCTAAGTTATCATACAGGAAATCCCACTGACCACATTAAACCCAAAATGACCATTTTGCTACCCATACAGATGCTTAATCCTTAAGCAATCCCTTTTTATCATCATATGTTTTTATTACTGTGGTCTAACAAGCTGTAGAAATGGTTAGGGACATGTTGGAATTTTTTGTATGAGAGCGAGTTCAATCTGTCATGAAGCTTAAGATTTCGTCTTCTATTTTTTTCCAATCTTTTTAATCTCTAACCTATTTATCTGGTGTGAGAATGCATTATAATTGTAAGGTCATTTCCAAAGAGACAGTATTATCATGATATAAAGGATGAGAATGGAATCCTGAAATATTTATCTTCTGAATGAAATTGGATGAAAGAGCATGAATCCTGCATTCTTTTTAAGGGAGGAAGGAGTAAAATTCAG